TATAATAATATTCTGATTATTTTATTATATTTTATGTATAAATACAATGTATATGTATAAATGCATTGAAATTATTCTCTGGTAATTATGTTACTTTTATTTCTCTCTAGTTATAGTAATGAATTTACTTCAGTAGTAGGAATGAATTTGTGAAGTGTCATTTTAATACAATATAGCCAATATGTTTATCTGTAATAAAATTTGTGTGTCTATATTTGTACAAACGCCCTGAAAGGACCTCGGGTGAAAGGAGAAATTTTTGACCTCGAAGTTAAAAAATCGTTCAAAAATGTCAATTTTATAGTTCGGGAAAGACATTTAATTTTCTCTGTGGTTTAGCAAATACCATTAATATGATTTAAACTGTAGACAATTCTCTTTATTCAGATATTTTAAAGATAACTTCAGTGATGTTTGATAGCTTATAGCTCTGTTTTATTAAAAGGAGTCTCTTTTTATTTTATTTTATAACCGTCGTTAAATATCTGACCCTATTTTGGGTTTACGCTTACAACCATTAATGTTCAACTCCATAGCCTTGTAATTTTGAACCCAATCCAGAAAACAAGGGAGCTACTGGATCAAGTATTGGGAGAAATTTTCCTTTGTGGAGGACTTTTTGAGGGAACTGCACCTCATTTGCGTTACGTGGAGAAAAAAACATCGAAAACTTCCCACGGTTAGCCTGTTGGCAAGGGGACTCTAACCCATTATCAGTCTATCGATATCTTACGTCAACACTGTGGTCGGTGCGAGCCGGGTGCAGAATTCGTATCGACCAGCCAACGCTGGGATTCGAACCCGATTCACCTCATTGGAAAGCGAACGCTCTATCCCCTGAGCCATCACGGATGATTTTGCTTTCTTTCAGAATTTTAATTCAATTTGTTAACTGTGACATCAAAGTTTTTAATTAAAAAATATCTATTCATTTATTTACAACCAAATTGTTAAAACAACTGTTAAAATATAACTTTATAAAATTATCCATCTCATCGTCAGCCATACTTTGCGCTTTTTCGAGTCAAAGCTTTAAATTTATTCAACTAACAATCTTGACGAGACATGTCCTGCTGCTGGCGAAAAAGTACGCTTTGCATTAAATTAGAACTCTAAATGGTGTTTGATTTAGAGGAGAGATAGGCACTATTGTTAATTGGCGAAATTTAATTGCATTTAAAAGATATCAGATTTAGAAAGGCACGTCCGGGATGTGCCCATGTGTAAAGATGGCGCTGATAAAACTCTAAAATGTTACTAACATTAAAAATGTCGTTAACAAGTAATGGTATTATATTTTGAAAATATTTTATTGAAATGTTTTTTTTTTAAATACTTGTTATTTTGTTAATATTAATTTTATAAATATATTTCACATATATTGGTGAAGGTTAAATTAATCATTTAAGTATCAATTAAAATCAATGAAAAAATTAAATACTTCCATGTACTTGTTAGGATTAAAATATTTTTACCACACCTCAAGAGTTAACCTTGCTTGATAATTAATCGATGGCAAAATCTTTGTAATTTTTTTAATTATTTTTGCGATGAAAAAAGAGAAACTTTTACAGAAAAAGGTTAAAAAGAAAAAGTTCCTATTTTGACCAAACTCAAGACCATTCTCTATGAAACAATCAGACTATTATAATTCATAAATGAAACAATTAAAACCAATTTACAAGATAAAAATAAAGAAACGAAAAAAAGAAAATGCTTGCACAACTTGAAACAATGAAGTCAACCAAATTTATGATCATTACAAACTGTCTGAAAATCACGCTTTAGGTATGGTAATGTTTGATGTGAAAATATGCAATAACTAGTACAGTATCAAGTCAGAAGTGTAATTTATATTCTGCTTCTTGCAAAGAAATGGATGATTTTAATAAAATTACATAGAAAATTACTGAGTCGAGTGTTTGCGGCTGTAAAGAATTAGTTCTTTATACATTGATTCATTTTTTGAATGGTTGAATCATATATCAATATGTATCATCGTCTCAAAATATCAAGACTCTTACATATTTTGAAATGTTAATGACCTCTATCTATTTTTTAATGAACATATTAAATAAATAACCCTTTTGAAAGCAAGCACAATATAATAAAATTCTGTGAAACGGTGTTTATCACCAAAATTTGTCACCAACACCAAAATGATGAGTTATTATTTTTGTAACCTCTTCGAATTGAAAGGCTATAATTTCTTACTTTACAAAGATAAACGAGTTTGAGTTAGAAGTTTAGATATCCTTATACACACAAAAATTAAATATTCTATAGAAATATGCAAATTCGACTTTTTAATTTTGTTAAGGGATGGAAAGTCTAAATCCCATGTGTACCGTACATAAAAATACCATGAAAATTTTTTTTAAATATAATAAATATAAATACTATATTATAATATTGGTAGTTAAATTTCATACTGTATTTATTTACCTCCAGTAAGAAATCGAGATCAGGCGCTATCATAAAAAACAGTTTAAATCAAAAGTGCTTGTGTGTGCAAAACAAAACTTTACAACACTCTCGTAATAATCATGTCATTGGTTAAAATTCATATATGATAAATAGATATGAGATAGGCTCAACTTAAGGCCGGCGCGGGTTTGAACTCGTATCTGCAAACAGAAAAAAAAGTCTTGAGTGAACTCGGATTCACGATAAAATGTTTACTATTCTTTTTACTTCTTGTATGCAAAGGTTCAGATCAATTATGGAATATACAAAATGCAAAATATATAAGGTATAAGAAACTACGAAGATCTGTTGCTTCTGTTCGGTGCTTTTGCTTTGTGAGGCTAACACTAATTGCAACATGACTTACATTTAGCTTAAGATTTTATTTTTTAATTTATGTTTAGGTCATCTTGGAGTTTCAGTTTTTCTCTAAATTTTACCGGTTATTAGTGATAAAAAATATTTTATTGACTTTCCTTGTTTAGAAATCAAAAACCAAATGGAGAGGGCGGACACGGATTCTTTGGGCTTGTCTGTGTTCGGAACTCAAAAAGCGAGTTCAAACTAATGAGAGATCTTGTTCCTCGTCACACTCTTATATTTTCTAGAATCAAAAACTTTTCCATCGATCAGCATAGGATCACCTCAGCAGTAAGGGATGTTTTGATAGCAGTTCTCGCCAAGTTAAAACTTTCTTGAAATCTTTTTAGAATTCGCACAAATAAAATTATCTGTTTTGTAACTCTTAATTTAATTACACACATATTTATTGAATGAGTGTAATCTTTGAAAGGGCAGTGTTCTTTCGTTTCAAAAAAGGGGGAGGGTTTCATTCTTGTATATAACTGTTAGGCTAAGTTTTGTCCAGTGCACTCTGTCGATTTTTAAAATGGCAAAAAATATCAATATATGACGTTATTAGAAACATTAAAATAATAAGCTGTTTCAATAAGTGGTGCAAAATGAGGGTCACGTTTCACCTTTAAATTTTAGAGTGTATTTTTTAAATTCAGTGGCAAAATTATTTCATTTTTGCAACTAAAATCAGTGGTATTGTTTTTAGAATGTATAGTTGAAAATTTATGCGATCTATTTTCCTGCGGCTGTTTGCATAGCAAAGTCTTATCAATACGGCAGAAATTAATTCTTTTTTGCCATCATTTATAAATATGTAATTATCAGATTACTTATATGATTTATCAGTTTATGTATCTTAAAGATTAAAATCTTCTCAAATCAAATTTATAATCACAGAAATCAAAATGCTTAGTTTTATTTTTCACTAGAAAACTTAATTAATTTATTTATTCATTTAAAAAAAAGAGTGACACTGGGTAGCTGTGTAATGAAAAAAATTGTAAAAAATTAAGCACAGTTTTCTTCAATATTTTATTAGTTTTTGATTCAAATTAATAAAACCACTGATTACGAATTAGCTAGAGTTTTATATTAAAAATTACAATTGGTCCTCCCTTTAACAGTTTTACCTAATATAGGCTCGTAAACATTTAAAACTACTAACACTAAAAGGGAACAAATTTTTTTAATGAATACTTGATAAGCAAGACCGATGGTTGGAAGAATATTTTAAAACTAAAACACATAAAGGAAAGGAAAATGTAACATAAAATAAGATAACTATCTATCAGCTTTTCTCTTTAAAAATTTTCCAAAATAATATTAAACTCTTTCATAATTTTACAAATTCTATATTATTAGAGTCTCTAAATAGCCTATTCTAATCAAAAATTGTTGTTAACAGTCTTTGAGACATACTCAGAAACTCATTTTTGTTCAGAAATCTTTGAATTAAATCTAATTTGCATACATCCTCATTTATAACTTCGATATTCAAATATACCTTAATGTATTGCCATGTCTCTGTTCTTTTTCAAATATATCTTTTGGTGGGTCTAATCTCATAAAAAAATATTTTGCACAGAAATTTGTAAATCATAAGGCGTCGTGGAAGCAATATAGCGTACGCGCACAGCGCGTGATGTTTCGCAATTGTATTTGATTGAGCGAGAAGAAGTGAGCTAAAGTGTCTGAGCAAAATTTGCTGAAAACTAATTTAAGCCGAGCATAGAGAATGTTTTGTTGCATCATTTAAACCATAGATTCCCAATCTTTTTTATCCCACTTTAACGCTTTCTTACTAAAAAAAAAATAACGATAAATAAATAACAATACTAAAAGTAGATAATAGAAACTCACACATAAAATTTTTAAGTGTTTGCAGAAAATTAAATTCAACATATCACTTTGAAGTTTAAATTAATATTTAATTAAATATTATTTCTTTTCATATTTTAAAAATATATGAAGTACTACCACTTATGAATACAATCAGGTTGACCGAAATAATTCTAAGTTATTTTCTCGCCTCTGTTTTTTGTTCTCCCAATACTGAACGAAAGCTTCAAAATCAAAAAGGAGAGTGATATTTTATGAGTTAACAACAGTATATACTAAGTTAGTTATGTTTTGATAATACCCTTTCGAATTATTAAACAAAAGAAGAAAAACATATATTAACTTGAAAATATATTCTAAACTTTCTTATACAGTGTATTCCAAGATCATTGGAACAATCTTTAAGGGCAGGTAGGAGACATCACAAGGATTCAGATTCGCTTAGCAACACATGGTCGGAAACGTTTTCGTTCGTCGTTAGGTGTTGTTGTTTACAAGAGCATTGTATGAAACAGACCTGCATTGCCACAGATATTTAGGCTGCTATCGCTCACAGAGAATATGTAACGTTTCACGAACACCGAGCTTGGAGATTTGCACATGACGTACAAATCGACTGAGGAAAATGCCTGAGTACCAGGAAAATTGTATCGAGAAAGGTACCAACAGGAAGATTCACGGGCAGGACGGATGTTTATTAATTTGCATCATAATTTGAGCGAATATGGATCAGTATGAGGTAATAGGTATAGTGAGGATGGGCCACGAGTGACTCGAACTCCCATCATGGAACAAAATGTATTGATACCGTTTGAAGGAATCTCTGTTGCAGTAGGAGGATATCGGAGTGGTGTTCATCGTGTTTTGGCACGTAAAGGCTTACATCCACAAGTTAGTTGAGTTATTTGAGAGTCACAATTTCAGTTGGCAAACAAGTTATTTGAAAGTACTTTTCATTTTTTTACCTCTGTAAATGCTAATCTATGACTGACGCTGAGTAGAAAACTTTTACTATACGAAAAAAATATCTCATTCCACTGAACTCATGCGAGTAAGGTTAAAACCAAATATTAAAAGGTGAATATTAAAACACAACTGTAATTGAATTCCGCTTGTAAAAGTTTCAAATGATTTCGAGATGAACTTCGAAAAAAAAAATAGTGACGAGCGTTCGTGTTTTATAAACTCTCCCTGATCATGTGCTATTCAATTTCACGTAACCCCTTCACAGTGGACGTATGTTATAGGTAATCTCAAAAACAAACTATTAATTATCTCTCTTTTAAGCACTTCATTAAATTATGTTGAGGGGAATATACTCCCCTTCTAAAGGATAATAGCCTCCTTCAATTTATATCACGTAATGAAAAACACAAGGACTGTTTTTTTTTCAAATAGGATTCAACGCAAATGATGATTTTATGTGTAGTACGTCGTTCGAAACATAGTCAGCGAGTAATGAGTTCAGAGTGATGAGACGGGGAAAACCACAAGAATGATCGTTCTGCATCTTTCGAGGCCTCTGGAAAGCCTCAGGGGGACACATGCTGTGGAGAGGATCAATCACTTTTTGAATGGTTTTCCCTCCTCCACGAATATCCACGATACTGAGCGAGATCAAAGTCTGAAATGGCCACAGCAGGACATCGTCATAGGGACCCCACTGAAGTGTCCAGTACAGGCCGACAGAGAGTTCTCCCTCAACACCTGAGTTCCCGTTTCGTTTTATGGACAAAGTGAGTCGGACAGCATAGCCTTGATTCTCTGTGTAAAATACCGGACTCTCTAACTTGTTCTTTTCGCCCACCTCAAGCAATCTGAGGGCTTTGGGAGCATTTTTTAAGATCCACGAATATTTTGCTTTCAGAGATCCTTGTTCGAAACCGATCGATGCAATGGGATGCATCAGTTCTTGCAGGTAAACAGAGATGGCAAGCTTGATATCACCGTCTTCGTCCATAAAGGACTCCTTGAATAATGAATTGTGCGCAATCATGTTTCCTTCACCACAGCTCCACTCGGCCAGTTCTCTGGTGGGTCTATCAAAGGCAATGTCTGGACATCCACTGTCTGCACGTCCCGGAAATGTGCTTCTGCTTATGGAATTTCCAGAGCCAATGATCTCCAGTTTGTAGTTGTATGTGAATGGCCACTCCAAATCAGCATCGTACGCTCCTTTCGTCAAAACAGCGTACGCTCCAACAAAACCCTCCGTTTTTTCTGGGTACAGTCGCAACATCATTCTGTAGCCATTGTTCGAGAGGTAAAATTTTTCACTGTCGATAAATGTCAATCTTCCATTTTTTGTTTCACGGATCTTCTCCGCCAGATCGGGAATTCGCCAAACATATTGAGCCACTAAAAAGTTTTCAGAAAAAGACAAAGTTGCGAATCGAGGAGGGCGTAGCTCATCCAAAAATAGGATGACCCTTACAACCAAAGCTCCAAACCTAATGAATTTCCTAAAAGAAAAGAAAATTTAATTATTCTAGTGTTGAGCAATTATGTGTATACCCCCTGAAATAATAAGGGATAGAAGCAGTCTGGAAAATAGGATCTTAATTGTCTCAATGGTCTTTGTTAAGTCAGAAGAGCTATCTAAACTTTGAAAGCTTTGATAGTCATTTCTCGCCATATGTATTCCATCACATCTTTTAGTATCGTTTAAGCGAATTAAAAATCACTCAATTACATATTATCCAAAATTGCATGTAAATTATAGTTTTTTTAGATTATTAATATTTTTTTTATCATTGAAATAAGTAAGAATCTGTATATCTTTTGTAAAGTAAGGTATAGAAAATTGTATGGTATATAAATCATTCATTTGATAATTTTGCCACTTGTTACGGCAATAATTTTACAGTTCTTATAACTCCACATTTAGCATAATTACAAAACTGAAAAGTAAATTTGACAGAAAAAAAATGGTTTTCACGCCATTCTCTGAAGAATTATGAAAAAAATCCCCAAATTGCTTTTCAGAATTATCATTCCATTTATTTAGTACTTTCAGCATGCTGAATAAGTCTAGGCATTTTATCAAATGGAATGATATTTGTACTTTATTTACGCCACACTACAGCTGCGCGATGGCCTAAAAACATCCCTAACGATAATCCGCAGACATGCGAACACAATTTAGATTCTCTGCAAAGAGTATGACTCCACCGCTTTGGGAGCCTGACGATTTACTCGCTAAGCCGAATATTTCACTGTAGAGCATATTAAAGAGTACCGATCCAGGTGGTCACCCACCTGCTTACTGCCCCCGCAGACAATGATGCTCGACTTTGGCGATCTACTGGGAACCAATACTGTGGTAATAGAATGGTGATAAACCTTATAATGTGTTTAAATATATATAATACACATTATCTTATAATGTGTATAATGGGCTCTAAATAATAAAGTTGTCTTCTTAATCTTTCCTTTGTTTTTATGTTCTAAATGAATGATGCTTTCAAGTCTGTTAAAGATACTAAACTCAGGCAGACCAAAGCCTCTTTTATGATAGTAGTAGGATTTATTTGTCAACGTTTTTTTTTCTTTGTTAACACAAGGAATGGTCCTTTTCAAATTGAAATACAGGTATGAAAAGGAGTTTGATCCCATTACTTCCAAACTTCAAAGCGGAATACCGTAAGACGAGAAATTTATAGAAAGTAAAATACATAATCCGGGCCTCCGTACCACCATACACTTTAAAACGTAGTCCAAAGTCGTTGATTCAATGCCTCAAGTCCTGGGTTCGATCCTCGGGCCGAGCAGGGTGGACTCAGCCTTTCATCCCTTCACTGGGACAATAAATGAGCACCAAGCATTCTTGAGAACTAAACACTGGGGGTTCCGCGTTCGGCTGACCACCTAACCGGAACATCTGCTCTCGCACCCCAGAGCCCAAGATCAAGAAAACTGGGATGGGCACAGTAGGCCTTGGCCCTCTATGGGTTGTCGTGCACACTGATTTTTAGAGAGTAGTCAAGTTGAAGAACAGAAGCTCGAGTTAGCGAAGGGCAAGATTAATTTACTATAATGTTGAGATATCGGGTTCGAATCCGGCAGTAACCCTAGATATATCTTTGTGATGCCCTTCTCTATCTGGTACTATCTGTCCTGCAATTTGACAAGGGCTTATAAGGCTTATAATTATTGCATAAGCATGCATACGTACTGTGCTCAAAATAAAGAAGCCGAACAAACTAAATAACAATTGATGTAATGATCGAATTTTTAGATACTAAGACTCAATATAATTTAAAATATACTTTTTTCTACTCATACACTGTAACTTTAAATGGCAAAATATACGTTTTGATCAAAATCGGCAAGATAGTTCCCGAATTAAAATGTATATAAAAAACAATTTCTCGGAAGATATTAAACTTATTAAGTTTAAAAATATTGGATTCTTTTAACTAAAATTACTTCGGGTAAAAATGCGCATAGTTAACAGTTTAAATTTTCTTGGTTATTATTGAAAATAGTAAACAAAAAATAATACTGAAAAATAAAAGGAATTAAAAAAATAACAACAATAAAAAATAATAATCGTGAAATTATTTCACTTAAAATTTTTTTTAATCAAAAAAGTTTTACTTGTCTGGGCAAAAGTTTTTGATTCATATGAATAATTCCAGAAATATTGGAAATACGCAGAAAGGTGAATTAACATTGGAGGGGCCAAATCACATAAAAGTTTTTAATTTGGATGCGTACAACCTATCAATATATTTCGTAACCTTTGCATTTTTTTTTAACTCTTAAATTTTTTTTATAATTCTTAAATTCGTAACTGCATAATTTTTTTTCAAACTTTGTCTTAATTTCAAATTAGAGGTTTATTCCCTTTCTCTCTCTTGAAATGATCATTAGTTTAAGCTTTTTTTTAATTATTTTCATTTTGCTTACCAAATAATGTCGTTATAAGGATAAAAGAGTTAATTGTATAAAAAGCATTAAGTAACACTGTAACATCGAGAGTTGCAAACTAGTAATAGATTAAACAATCAACTAAAGATAGAGAGTGCTGCGACAAAACAACGCTCACTCCAACAAATTCGAGTGATCTCACCTGTCATAAAGTTGATCGTATTGGACAACAGTAGACGATCCACAAGCGTCATTTCTACCGACCGGCCGCCAGAAAGATCCAGAACAGAGGTCGGATCGAATGTAAGGATCCGAGGGATCCACGATTACTTCCAGATGACCAGAATCTTGCTGCTGGTCCAGTACCGAGAGAACGAATTTTTTGGCAAATGGCCACTCTAAGAGATGATCGTATGCACCTTCCAGAAGAGTCAGGAAGAGTCCAATGTAACCTTCCGTCTTGTTCTCGAACTTAATCTGCAACTGCATGAGGTATCCCTGATCAGACGTGTAAAACCTCTCACTCAGCAAGTTCTGCATTCGATTTAATTTGGCTTGTTGAATCTAAAAGGGAAGAAGATTTACGATGTAAGTAAAATCACCTCATTCAGCATTATTATGTATCTATCTAATTCAGCAACTGAAAATGCTTAAGATTGTATCTTAGGCTAAATATTTTCTTCCCCTATTTCATTAAAAACCAAACATTCATTCCAGAAATTTATGCCTCTCGATTTAAGGTTTGGCTGATGCAAATAGTGCAATTATGAGGGCAATATCCTTTAATCGCAATCCTAATGAACATTCAGAAAACAATGGTTTAATGCTTATTCTGCAGAGATGGAAATCGAAATGAAAGGTTAAGAAATTAAAGACGTGCAAAGATACGGGTTTTTTTCTGTCTTTTTACAAGAATTAACAATGTATACTCATGGAAGAATCAAAAATAGTTTGCATTTTTTGGGTAACTATTGTTGTAGTGTAGTTATTTTACGTCGCACTAGAGCTGCACAATGGGCTACTGGCGACGGTCTGGGAAACATCCCTGAGGATGATCCGAAGACAAGCAATTTTGATCCTCTGCAGGGGGATGGCACCCCTGTTTCGGTAGCCCGACGACCTGCACGCGAAGTCGAGCACTTTACGGTAGAGCAGTTTAACGATGACCAATACCGCGCACCCTCGCTCCCTACGCAGACTGATTTAATTGGTCACCCACCCGCACACTAACCGCAGCCAGTGATGCTTGACTTCGGTGATCCGCTGGGAACCGTGTCTTAACGATCAGTCCACTGCGGGACTTGGGTAACTATGACATTATACCAAAGAACTGTATGCTTCTTTGACTGAAGTGCAAAGTTTTTATTATTATTATCAGGGATTTTTACGGAGCTCGGACTTGAGCTTTAACAAGCAGATAGTAACAAAGATTTTCTTGGACGGTGTCATTATGTTAACATCCAAGAAATAAGCAACAATAAATAAGCTGGTGGTCTAATAAATCTGATATCTGTTTAAACGTCTAACAAAAAATATTTTGGACTTTTTATTTTACTGTTTTCTTCTTCTTAATTCCATCTTCTGTTAATTTGCATATTTCGAAAAGGAATTGAAATCTTGATTTTCAAAAGGGGCGATAAATTTGGCTTGCATCATTTTTGCACCATTTCATTTGACTTACATCATTAATTGTAAACGGTGTTAGCTATTAGACACGAAGCTCGAGTTAATTTGAGCTTTAAGACAGATTGTGGTCAAAATTTTGAAGAAGAATGAACTCCTTCTGGAGATGAAAATAATTCTTACAGTCATAATTATTCAGCATAAACTACCTATACGATCAGGGAATAATTGATTAGAGCATTCTGAAATTTAGATTGATGATAAATTATATTTGGCTCTAAAATAATAATATATTCCACGTGTAGTAGTTAAAAAATAATTAAAGCGGAGATTGCAAATGGCCTCAAATACGGAGCTTTCGCTACGATTTAAGAACCGTGGCTAGTCGGAAAATTGTCGAAATGTCGATTGCAAGATTCCACTCCCACAAGCGTAAAAACCAGTTAATAAAAACGTAGTATATTCTGAACAAAAATATTAAATTTTTGAATCATCAATCTATTATCACGTTCAATTTCTCATATGTCAGTCCTACTGTTGACAAATCGACACGTAGATTGGAAGATTCTTTCTCTATCCTAAAAATGAGAATCATATAATTTCTTAAATTTTCCGCATGTAAAAAAGGCAATCGATTGAGAATTACGAGTATAGCTATAGCGCTACGTTTAAGTAATTTGTGTCCTATTTTAATTAAGTTTACTATTATAGATGGTACATATTATACTGTACGATGTCACATTTAACGATATTGAACTACTATAGATTGCGATATTATAAATGGCATTTTATACATGGCAATGCAATATCATAAATTGCATATTACTTATATAGGTGAACACAGATGTTATATTTGTGAACCACGACACTTTATTAATTGTCAAAATTGATTATTCAGAGAGTTACACAAGTTTGCTCTGATGTTTAGAAATTGGTTCTCTTTGGTAATCGAGGTAGGCTATAGGCATGAATGTAAAATCAATTCACGTCTGTGTGGAGGATAACCTTTGGTCTTACTTTCGTATTGCCTATACTTTACCTTTCTCTCGATGTTTGGTATTCTCCAGTTATATTCCCCCACAAGAAAATTTTCTTTCACTGCCAACTTGGCGAAGTGAGGCAACTGATCCAGGATTGCAGTGAATTTTATGAGCAGGCTGTTGTTCCTTTGCAAACCTTTGGCTTCAAGCATCGAAAGCTTGGCTAGTTTTCTGAAGCCGCAAGGGACGTTAGGCTGTTGACGAGGTTTAGTGAAAGCGGCTAGGGGGCAAGCACCCGATGTTGGATCGATGCTTGCAGTCCTGTCGGTATTGGTTGCTGAAGGGTTCACGATGGACAACTCGATGTGATAGGCGAATGGCCAGAGCAGTGACTCATCAAAGTCACCCGGGATGAGGACAATGAAGAGACCGACGTCATCGTCTCCTGAAAAGGACATCTGCAGGATTATCAAGTAACTTTCGCTATTCACGTAAAAAGGATTGCTAGTCACTTGTCCCATCTTCTTCTCACTGATCTCTGTCACCTACAAAAAGACAGAAATAATAAAATGTACTATGAAACGAAAAAATTCTTGACAGTTGTTTCTTGCAGGCCCTTTTAAAAGCTGAGTTATACTAATCAACTAAAATTAATTATTACAAAGCATTATGTGAGTATTCAAGTAAATTTATGAAAATTTTATAGTCAAGTAAGAACTTTTTATTCTTGAAAGTTAGGTCATAAAAATGGGAATTAATATTTGGAGCAGACGTGAACAATTGGCATTAGCTGCTGTCTCATCCATACAAGAGTAAAATTAAGATCTTCGAAGTTAAAGATTATAACCATTTACATTTCCTTAATAAATTAATCCTTAGAATCATATTAAGGTTTGTCATTCAATTCAATGGTTAAAAGTGAGTGAATATTTCCCCATTAAATGACACCTAGTCATTTTTTATTTCATCAAAACACACGAACACGGTTGAAAAACGTGACTTCAATCAGTTACATCCGAAAACCAAGTGTGCAAGCTTAAGTGTCAGTTCGTTTATATGTTACTGAGCAGATTTCTCAAGCAAATCTACATAAATATAAAGACAAGTGCTTATTTTTATATTCTTCTATTTACGAGGTTGCTTATTTTGAAAGTCCAATTAACAAAACTGCTTCGAATCAGTAACGGTGTCTGGTAATTTCCAGCAAAACAAAGTTTTGCATGATTCAAAATGTTATCTTATTTACCACTTTCGATTATTGTTAAAATAACCATTAAAAAAATAATCAGACTTACATGCCATGTAAATTCCGACACCATTTGATGTCCTCGCAAGAATACTTTTGCTCTTTTGGGTGGGTCTCCCCTCTCCTCTAGGAAGACCGTCGTTCTGAGAAGAAGTTCATCTCCAAACAAAAATGGGGTGCTTTCTTCCAGCAGACGAGAATGCGAGACGAAGAATTCTTTACCGCATCCTTTCTTATTATGACTCTCCAGTTTTGGTTTATGAAACTGCTTTCTCAAGCGACAGATGGCAGTAGTCGGATTCACCATCAGATGCAGGGAATTTCCGGGATCATTTTGGGCCACTAGGGTTATATTGACGGTGAAAGGAAAGGGCCATTCCATTACGTCATCGTAAAGCCCAGGTATTAGAGAAAACCAAACACCCACGTAAGTCAAACCATTACTAGGATTGACCTGTCTAGTAGTGATCATAGGACGAAGTTTGTACCCGGGTCTGCTGGTATAGAAATCGGGTCCGGGCACCGAATGTCCCTCTGGGGACACATGAATGAGGTAACGGGCATCAGAAATTACCCAAATGTGTTCAGCGACTAGTTGTCCATTGGCTGTCTCTTTCATTTGTGCCAACTGGGAGTGGTCTGCAAAAGTAAATGTAAAAGTTCATTATTTTGTGTAAATAGTTATTAAAGTAATTAAAATAAATACGTAGGATTCAGCTTAGTAAATAAATATTTCACTCATGTTATAGCTGGAAATTTCCAAAATTATTGTTAAAACATCAATTATTTTCATAAACGTTATTTAAACACCTTAATAAATTATTCTGGAATTTGTGTTATTCATGGATACAAGTAAGGATACATGATACAAGTCATGGATACAAGTAAAGGTTTTTAATCATGACATGTTTTTATTGGTCAGAATTAAACTTTTTTTAGTTCTTAACTTAGGTTCGTATACCAACGTTACTAAAGATCTAAAAAGATAATTGTGCGAAAGTGTGAATTTAGAGAAAGAATGTTACGACATACTGGTAAAAAATGTGAATGTAGTCCTCGCAGAGATGTCTCTTTATTTATACAGGAGCTTATTTCTTCCACAATATTTACGTTCTTAAGGAAACTAATTTTTGCCTCACTAAATTTTATCAGCAGATTTTTAATTATGGAAAACTCAGAGAAGAAGCGAGTTACAAATAAAACGGAAACAATGACGAAATTACACGTGTCGATCAAAGAAGCCGACAAAAAAGTGTAACAGCGCCTTTTAGACGAAGAATTTCGAAATGGCGGAAATTGAAGCAGCGGCCTAAAAGGGATAGGTTTATAACTGCAAATTGTAATTCAGTGACCCGATGTCACAATATGAGAGATTTTGCATGGAGTATATATTTACTCTTATATTAGTAATTTCTTGTAATGATGAGGAAAATAATCGCTTACCAATGATTATTTTTCAGCTCACTATTGTTTTCGCCGAAAGAATTTTAAACATTATTGCCAATTTCTTATAAAGTATCTAAATTAAGTACAATATGAAAAAGAAACTAACTCAAATATCTAATTGCGCTGAACACTACTAATTACACTGCCTAAGCAGAAGTTTTTTTTCTCCAGAAGTTCGCAATTTTTTCTTCATAATGAAGCCAATTAATTTTCTTACGACTAATTTTTCGTAAAACAATCATCGTAACCCAGATTTTAGCTGTGATAATCTATTACGGATTTGAACTGGACATTTAGATGAAAATCTAGAGAGATTTAATTACTAAGAAAACAGTTTAATTACTCCAAAAGTAATTCAAAATTTAAATAAAGAGAGATATAACTTCAGAAATGAAAGTGCGGCGCTACAAAAAGCTCATAATTATCTTACTAAAATACTTTTCGTTAAGCGACTTAATAAAATAATTTTAAAAAAATCATTCTTCATATAAAGTGTCTTAATAAGTAATGTCTGCATCAATGACATTGCTACATGAAGAAATGATTTATCTAAAAGTGTACAAAACTTAATGTTTTCCCCCTTGGCTTTTGTGTAATGATAAAGAAGAGAATGCTGTGAAAACTTTTGAGACAGAGTCGACAATGACTGTAAATGTTTCGTGTAATTGAAAAAACGAGGTAAAATGCTTTAAGTTAGATTTCGAGTGAAAAGTGACTTTACAATTTCTTTCTTTTCATTGAACGTTAAAATAGAATTTAAAAATACATATAAAATACTTTTTTTTTCCTTTTGCAATACGTAGCTTATCATACAAAAATGCCAAATATGTAAAAATCTCGATTTTGCATTTTATTTTCCCCGCATACGTTGATTTTTTCTTACGCACCGTAGAATAAGGAGGGTATTAGTGTAACTAAGAATATTTGCTTACCATTTGTGAATGGATGAAGTGATGATTCCTTCTCGGAATGTACCTCCGTCCAGATAGATGTTATCAAGAGTTGGCCAATCACAAGAAGTCTCGAAAGCATTAGACAAGCTGCTGCAGTAAATTGAAATACGTGTAAGCATTATAAAAGTTTTTCCATTACATTTTTCTTTTTAATGAAATATTTCATATCAGGATGAGTCAGAGAAAATAATGTTTTGATTTGCATTGGAAAAAATACTTACAGTGACGGATAAATAATGGGTCTTATTTAATTTTTGTCTAACTATTGAAGTTTTTTTTTTACACATTATATAATCTTAATGGAGTCAGAAAACAGATTTCAAATATTTTACTAAGTGCAGATGATAGTTGCGAAAGTGTACGTGCTTCTGCTGGTTAAACATATCCCTTTAATTGACATATTATGACTCTTAACCCTCGAAATCGAACGGCAAATAAGAACATATCGAAAAATAAGATCTCAATCATTCAGTCTGGTTTATAAAAAAAAATCACAAAATTTAAACCCCTTTAATATTCGTTATGTTTTCTGCGCTTACACCAAATCTATCGAATTATTTGCTCATGATAAATAATTTTTGCTTAACTCTATAAAAATAGTTAAAGGCACAAAGTAGTTTTTAATAATTATTAATTATTTTTATTGTTTCACGTATTTATGATCGAAAATAATTGAGTTGAAAGTTGCACAAATTTTGAAATCATTTCGAACTATGTCACTTTCATTGATGAATTTCAAAATCAAACCGAATCGGTCCAGCAGTTCCTGGAATATATAATCTCTCATCGTAACTCATCGGATCTCTCATCGTTTAAACTCATAGTATTTTTCAAAGATATGTTGAAAAAACGACAAAAGTTTTTCATAAATCTTTTAAATATGTGCCATAAATTGTACTTAATTATGACCCTCTTCAGTTGCCGGAAGTAGCGAAACTGTGGTTGCTACTTTTTTTTAATAGTTTGTAGTGTAGCTCACTACTTTTTACTCGAAGTAGTGTAGTGAGTGACACAGGCGTCGTCGTTTTGTTCGACCGATTGATTATTGATTAAGTTAGTAGATGAATAACTGAAGGCGAGTCATGATGAATTTTGGAAAATAAAAAAAAAAGATAGAAGGAATTATTTTGATAATTGAACTGTCAATTGAAGCAAATCAATTTTCGATCATGGCCGGAATTCATTTGGCAACAGATAGAGATTGGTTAATTAGACTGTATGAAGTCTAATTTCTCTTTTCACTCCTGTTCTAAAATTTAAATCTCTTTCCTGAACGAGTCTCATTCTTTTAGCTTGAATCAAATACTTTTGCTAACCAGCAACCGGCACCAAGAGAAAAACATGCCTTTCTTTTTGCTGGTTTTTCTGTGCAATTTAAGCCATGATTTAACTCCAGTTTCTATGTGTCAGATGCAATGCATAAATGAAAACTAATGCACCCTCCTCTTTGTTTATGTTTCCGAAAGGTTTTTCAGATTTTCTTGACCACGATTTAATTACAAGAGTGGCTTCTGTTTCTTCGTTTGGTGAACTGTTAATTAAAACATGACGTTTTTTTTTTTCGAGAGATAAGGAAGATTAGCTGATTTGCTATTGAAATAGGCATTGTGAATGCTGAAAATTTGAAATTATTATTCGAACCTGAAAAATGCGAAGCGAAAAATGAAAATCACGAGAAAGATTTTACGAAAGAATTTTTGAATTCACTCATAGAAGAATGAGAACGTAAATAAGAAATTCAAGAACAAGAACGTAAAAGTAAATTAGAAGAAAATAAAGAAGGAAAGCCGATACGGGAATAATAAAACAATCTCAAGAAAGAAAACCATCTCAAGAACTAAATTTTGAACTGCAAAAATTGCTTCTACAGAATGAAACACATAGTGAAAACGAGAGGAACTGAAAAGATCGTCTGATTAAACCGAAATTGTAATTTCATAGTATTCTACAAAAGTTCAATCTGAAGGGAAATGACATCAGCTTGTATTTGGTATTGTTCGAAAGACCAGCAAAACGGGTAGGAATAAAAAAAAAAAGATCTGTGCATATCACATTTTATTGGATTACTGTCCTACAATGCTGTCCAAATTATAGCATGAGAAGAAAGAACCACTGATGCTTACAGTAAAGTAAAAGAAGCCTTGTTAAAAAGATTCAAAATGACACCGGAGAAATTCAGATAGTTTTTTACAAAACATCAGAAAAAACTAGAGACGAGTGACGAACTGAGTAATTATTTCAAGGAATGGATATGAGGGCTAGAAATAGCAACATTCAAACAGCTTTATGATTTAATGATAACCGATCAAATTAAATAAAAGCTCCTTGGGCTAATTTTAACCGTTTGAGTTCTGAAGAGTTTTCTTATATATATGCTAATAGTGCGGAATGAAATGAGTAGTAATTTTTTTGGAGAACAATAGAAATGGTTATAATTAACACTAATTATTATGTAATAAGTAATTTTTACCTACAAAAATATTTTTTAATCGCACTTTACTTGTTATGTGCCAAATGCGGAATAATTTGGACTATCTGACTGCGGTGACGTCAGCAATCAACAGTGTAATTTATCTTCGACAAAATAAACATAAAAAGTAAATTTGAATAGTTACTCTTATGTATAATTAAGACGAAGGTATTCTTGAATTTTCTNATACAATATCTCATCGTAACTCATCGGATCTCTCATCGTTAAACTCATAGTGTTTTTCAAAGATATGTTGAGAAAAAGTCAAGAGTTGTTCATAAATCTTTTAAACATATGCCATAAATTGTACTTAATTATGACCCTCTGCAGTAGTCGGAAGTAGCGAAATTGTGGTGCAGTTCCTGGAATACAATATCTCATCGTAACTCATCGGATCTCTCATCGTTAAACTCATAGTGTTTTTCAAAGATATGTTGAGAAAAAGTCAAGAGTTGTTCATAAATCTTTTAAACATATGCCATAAATTGTACTTAATTATGACCCTCTGCAGTAGTCGGAAGTAGCGAAATTGTGGTGCAGTTCCTGGAATACAATATCTCATCGTAACTCATCGGATCTCTCATCGTTAAACTCATAGTGTTTTTCAAAGATATGTTGAGAAAAAGTCAAGAGTTGTTCATAAATCTTTCAAATATACGCCATAAATTGTACTTAATTATGCCCCTCTTCAGTTGCCGGAAGTAGCGAAACTGTGGTTGCTACTTTTTTTTAATAGTTTGTAGTGTAGCTCACTACTTTTTACTCGAAGTAGTGTAGTGAGTGAGACAGGCGTCGTCGTTTTGTCCGAGCGATTGATTATTGATTAAGTTAGTATATGAATAATTGAAGACAAGTCATGATGAATTTTAGAAAATAAAGAAAAGATAGAAGGAATTAGTTTGATAATTTAACTGTCAATTGAAACAAATCAATTTTCGATCATGACCGGAATTCATGTAGGATTCACAACATAGTGAAAACGAGAGGAGTTGAAAAGATCTTCTGATTAAACCGAAATTGTAATTTCATAGTATGCTACAAAAGTTCGATCCGAAAGGAAATGACATCAGCTTGTATCTGGTATTGTTCGAAAGACCAGCGAAACAAATAGGTTTAAAACTAAGAACTGTGCATATCACATTTCATTGGATTACTGTCCTACAATGTTGTCCAAATTATAGCATGAGAAGAAGGAACCACTGATGCCTACAGTAAAGTAAAAGTACCCTTGTTAAAAAGATTCAAAATGACACCGGAGAAATTCAGATAGTTTTTACAAAACATCAGAAAAAACTAGAGGCGTGTGACGAACTGAGTAATTATTTCAAGGAATGGATATGAGGGTTAGAAATAGAAACATTCAAACAGCTTTATGATTTAATGATAACCGATCAAATTAAATAAAAGCTCCTTGGGCTAATTTTAACCGTTTGAGTGCTGAAGAGTTTTCTTATATATATGCTAATAGTGCGGAATGAAATGAGTAGTAATTTTTTTGGAGAACAATAGAAATGGTTATAATTAACACTAATTATTATGTAACAAGTAATTTTTTCCTACAAAAATATTTTTTAATCGCACTTTACTTATTATGTGCCAAAATGCGGATTTTATGTGCCAAATGCGGAATAATTTGGACTATCTGACTGCGGTGACGTCAACAATGAACAGTGTCATTTATCTTCGACAAAATAAACATAAAAAGTAAATTTGAATAGTTACTCTTATGTATAATTAAGACGAAGGTATTCTTGTATTTTCTGGGTGTTCAATTATTTCGGTCAAGGACTTCACTTTCATCAGTTTAGTAGAAAACGGAGTCACGGTTTGTATACAAACAACCGTTTCGATCAAAAGGACGCTATTTACACAATAATGAATGAATACAGTTAGTCTCTACAGTTCATATTATATTGCATGTTTCATACTTACATTAAAATAATCTATTTCAGAGTCTCGATTGGCGATCAAATAGCGTTGGCACTAACGGTTAAAAAATTTAACCTAAAGCGAATCCAATTTTCGAATTTTTAGAAAAAATTTTTTTACTTATTTTTTATTTATGATTTTTGCAACATTTCTGAGCATTGAAGCTCGACGCGTTCAAACTAGATTTTTTATTTATTTATTTTCCTGTCCTTCAATTTAAAGATTAAATTTTGAAATAAAGCTTCTCGCGTTTTCTTAAAACAATTATTCAATTTTTGTCAAAATAGTGAGTGATTTTTCTCAATATATCATACCCAAAATTTGTAAATTAAGCTATCTAAGAATCTATTACAGATGTAAACGTTAGATAATAATAAAAACACGAAAAGAGATCTCATTGTCTCTTATTTGTATGAAAAGAATAAGAATAATTCTTCGATTTATTATATTTTTATAATGAAAGTAAAAAAGTAAATAATATCTCTCAGTTTTCTCAAACAAATGATCAATGTTTTCACCCAAGGACATTCTACATCTAGACTCCTTACAACAAAACATTTTAATTTGAAAAAAGTGAGTCTATGCTGTGTCTAAAAGATATGAAGGCCATTAATCTGATTATGAACATAACCTTCATACTATATATTTTTATGAATGAATAAAAAATTCTCATTATTTAATTAATAACATGTGTTTTCTGTCCAAACTATATTCATTATATCCAATCTGTGAATAAAAACGATATACAATTGCATTTGAAAGTGTAAAGCAGAATGCAAAACTCTTTTCTAAATGCATGCATATATTATATAGTGAACTAAAGAATTTGGGATATGAAAAAACCGCATTAATTCATTATATTCATTATATCCAATCATTTTTCCTTAAACTATATTCATTATATCGAATCTGTGAGTAAAAACGATATACAATTGCATTTGAAAGTACAAAATAGAATGCAGAATTTTTTTTAAATACATGCATTTATTATATAGCGAACTAAAGAATTTGGGAGATGAAAAAACCGCACTATATTCATTATATCCAATCATTATTCATTAAACTATATTTATCCAATCTGTGAATAAAAACGATATACAATTGCATTTGAAAGTACAAAATAGAATGCAGAATTTTTTTTAAAATACATGCATATATTATATATACCGAACTAAAGAATTTGAGAGATGAGAAAACCGAAAAAAATAAGTGCTACCTGTCTTTATTGCAGCCCTCTCTTACGTCTGTTTTTCTGTCTCTATAATTTTTAATATAGTAACGCTTCTTTTATTCTGCTTTCAATATGCCAAATTTGACAAAAAATTTTACCATTGAATTGAATGTGGATATTGATAATTGAGACGTGAACCACATCTTTCTAATCAAAATTAAACGAGGTTCCTGTCATCGCACCCACCACAGGTTTATTATTAGGGAAGAGTGGGGTCAATTGTAACATTTTTTACTTAACTATTTTCAACTAGCAAAAAATCCAATATATTATTAGTATTAATTGACAGGCGAGTAAAGTAGACTATCCTCTACTAGAAAAAAAATAAATACCTGATTTTAAATATTATTATATTAGTTATTAACAATTTTTGACAGTCGTGCAGTTGTTACAATTGTCCCCACTTACGGGGTCAATTGTAACAGTTCATAAATTCAACTNGTCTGTTTTTCTGTCTCTATAATTTTTAATATAGTAACTCTTCTTCTATTCTGCTTTCAATGTACCAAATTTTGAAAAAAATTTTACCATTGAATTGAATGTGGATAGTGATAATTGAGACGTAAACCACATCTTTCTGATCAAAATCAAAGGAGGTTCCTGTCATCGCAACCACCACAGGTTATTATTATTATTATTGTTAAAAAATAATGCATTTTCACAACTGCCCACTGTAGATCAAGGAGGTTGTGGTAAGGTTCCACAATTTCGTAACCAACGATCTTATTGTGGCCCTGTGGTCGGCATTAAGCACCGGCCGCATTTACTTCCCATAAAAGCTATCCGTCCCATCGATATGAAGCAGGGTGGGTTTCAAGCCGCCACTGGTGATCAAACCCCAGTTCTTTAGAATAATAGTTCAGTGCCTTAACCACTGAGCCATCACGGCTTTTATATCATGATTAGAAGACTTAATTCCATCGATGAGTTTTTGTATACAGTCGGAATGAAACTCTTGCATAAAACATATTACAACACTTTTCCAAAAGAGAAAAAGTATTTGTAAAATGGAACGCAATTGCTAAAGCATGTTACGATACTCACACCAGAGCAATCATTCTATTTAAGTAACAGTTGAAATGAAGTAAACTCACCTGGGATTATTCACATGGATTTTCAATTGAAGTTCAGTTAAGAAGCCAAAAAATCACGCATCATGTCCGGTAGCCCATTCCTTCTCTTGGGAGATGTCCGATGAACTCTGCATGCATTGTCCAAATGCATGATCCTGGTAACCATGACAATGAACGAAAACGCTTTTTAGAAATAAAGCGAACAAAAGATTGAATAATGATCATTTGAAGTCAAGAAATTAAAAGAAAGAAAAAAATCAGCATCTGCCCTCGATTAACTAACAAGAGAGAGGTTGGACCGGTTTCGATGGGACGGGTTGCCCAAATGGCCGATATTCCGATCTGTACTCTATGATTTCACACACTTTCGATTTTTAATTTTTTTTCTCCCGTTCATCAATCCCCCCCCCCTCCTTTTTCTTATTTTTCTTTTCGGCCACATTCCAGAGACCTCAAAACAGAATATGGCGCAAGTTGTCTAGCCCTCAAACACACGTCCAATATATGAAATATATTAAAGTTGTCGCTCTTTTAAAATTTCGCATGAAAATTCGCACTAACATTTTTATTACTGTATAAATATTTTACATCTATTTATCGAATTCATATTGAATTTTCAACAGATATGTAAGGTGCAACTAAAAAATAATGGCTGATTAAAGAAGTATTAATGTAATAAGTTTGCAAAAAAAAATATATTATTATTTCTTCTTTGAGTCATACACTAGATTACTTCAAAAGAAAGTTATCTAATTTTTGTAAAGTATTTTATACTCTGATAAATTTGTCAACTGCCATCTTATTTTCAGTAGCACCTAACCAAATGCAATCATATAAAATGCACACTATCGACACTTAAGGGGACACGTTAGGGCATATATCAATAATTCTAAAGCTGGCCTGTAACGATGTACCTTTTCTAAGAAACTACTTATATCGCTTTGAAGTTTTGTGGGCATATTTGTGATTATATCAGTTGTATGCCGTGATAATGTTTTAGCATTAACAAGAATACTTTTTTAGTTATGAAAGTGTTTTGCTCAAAAATAATGAAACTTTTCAAAAAATTAAAAGTTTCTAGTTTATGATTTTTAAAACAATGTTTCTGCTAAAGATATATATTAGCAGTCATCACAGTGTAAGCATGTATATGAGAATATTCTGTGAAAAAAAACTGAAGCAATATCTTATCTAGATGCAGAGAAAAGATACATAAAAAGGGTCAGTTTTAGCATTATTCGTATATGCCCTATCAACTCCCCTTAAAAAAAAAAGCAATTAAAGATTTTTAACCGTTTAGCACTTCATACATTTTTTAAAATTTTTTATTCAACTTTTTTATTTATTTTTTGTATATAAATGCAATGCTTATTTGCTGAACAAAGCCTACTTTAATCAATACTTATGTCGTTTTAAAGAAAAGGCTTTGCAATGTGCGAAACGAAGTTCAGAAAAAATAATCTGTCACTCTCAAAGGAAATTTTCATGACGAATAAAGTTGAATTTTAAAATAAATAAATTAAATGAGCAAATTTAATTGTTTAATACCTTGTCTCCAGACTTTTTATACGATATGTTATCTGCTTACAATTTATCAGTATTTTTTTCTTATCGCTTCAATAATTATTCTGTTTTCTCAGTTTGAAATGAAGACGGGATCCCAAGTTGATTTTAATCTATTTTAATGTCACCAACAGTGGGTTCTTCTGAACACAAATTCTTATCGTTTTAAGTCATTTCGTACAAACAAATAAAATTACATCACTTCTTCGTTTGTCAATATCAGATTGTTGCAAAATTGCTTCGATTTACCGAAATCTTGATCTTTAACACCACTTCGAGTTTAAACACTCAAATTCGTGTTAAATCTGAAATTAAAGCAGAAAAAAAACTTCTGTTACCTTTCCTATATATTTACTCAAAATTTAAAAAAAAAATAAAAGAAAAAGAATATTGTTAAATATAATTAAAATGTACTAAAAATTATAATCGTATTATTGCGAGCACTAGTTACCTAATCCTCAAATGTCTTTTTTTCCTGTATACATATACATAATTACATAATATATTTATGGATAGACTTTTATTAACGCCACAGCATTTCAAGTCATTGGGTTGCAAAAATTGCATTCATTAATGTTTGTACTCTTGTCATCGAATAAAATTGAATGCTTTTCAATCCTGGCATAAATTTGCCTGTTAAATCGGAACTATTGAAACTCAAAGACATAAATTGGTTGTTTATTATTTACATTAACTATTTACAGAATTCTTATAACTTGGAAATCAGATATTCAAAAGACAAACGTATATAACATATTATGAATCTTACTGCAGTTGTGACAAACAAGACCTGTTTTTAAACTTACATATAATTCGAACAATAAAATTATAATAACAAGTCTGAAATAAATCAACTCATCTTTAGTTCACTTCAGTTCTAAACTTTCTTAAGAAGTCCTAAAATTCTTTTCCGTCTACAGTATTCATATTTATATTAAAATCATCGCGAAGATAGCAATTATGAATAAGTTAATCTTAGTAATATTTTAAATTGATATTATAATAAACATTAAGAATGCATGCTGGTGAAAAGAAAAAATTCAGTCTAGAAAGCAAATCAACTCCAAGAAGATTAAAATTATCTTCTGTTTTTATTATTCGATCTGTTTTTCATTAATGTTCATGTAAGTTCAGCTATTTTATGACTTTCTAATATTTGTGATTATGGCTCTGAAGCTGTTCTAGTCAAAAAGTGAGTGGACGTGAAAAACCTAGAACGACACCTATTTTCCCAATAAATTTTTAAAAAAAATAAAGATTCACATTTAATATAGGACGTTCAATTCAGTTATTAAATAATATTGATAAAAATCATGGCATTTTAGTGCACATTGTCTACCGTCGAAAATTTTACTCAGCTATTCAATAATATTTAAATCCCTTTTTTTCGATATTTAATGTTAGAAGATACATTTAACTGCTTTATGAATAATACTTAAATTTTCAAAGATGTGAAACATTTTGGTGTAGACATGTTGCAAAAATTCTGAAAATATTGTATTACCAGAAAATATTGTATAAATGCATTCTCTTCAGATAGAGTCAGCTTTTAATTGATTTTGAGTTAAGGAGTTTTCACTGTATTCTTAATGTTCTAGTTTCAAGACATGAAATGGAACAATGCTTAAACATTGTTTTCAAGTCGATAGTTACGAATCTAAGTGTTTTCCGAACTTTGTTTACATTGTTAAAGACATAATAAATGCCGTCATGCTTTGAGTTTAAGGACCATTGCTTGTTCTTTAAAGAAAATCTGATTTTAAAGTAGAGAAGTAAAAAAAAATAATACTACATACGATTTAAAATTTAATGTGAGAATTCAACATAAATTGTTTTGTACTTATATTGTCTCAATCAAGCGTTGACATAGTAGGTAATAAAAAAATATTGGTTATTACAGATTTTTTTGTGATGTTTGTTCTTAATTGTTTTTTTTTCTTTGGTAAAGGGGCATCGCACAATGTATAAATTTACATACATGGAAATAAAGAAAAAAATAAGTTTATTATTTGCGTCATCATTTTATTAATTATGTGGCAGTTTTAACATTGTTTAAATGTAAAATAGCAACATGCAATCAGAAAAGAATAAATATACCTGTAAAACATATGGACGATCCTATAATTAAATCGTTTTTTGTTATAATTACCAACATGTTATTCAATGATAATTAAATTTATAAATTTTGCTACCTATATATTGTAATTTTTGGTATATTTGTAAGTCAATGGATTGAATAGTTTCATAATAATCCACAACTCGCCATTTTGTTCTATCATTAGTAATGCATGTGTCGATTTGTGAGTGGGTGCAAATCCAATCATTTGAAAAATTATCATATTGTGCACATTTTTTTGATTTGGTTGGAATTTCTCATTTTCGTGTGAAATTTACCTCAAAGGGTCAAGCACTTAGTTACATGCATGTGAAAGAGAGAGAGATAAGACTTTCAATTGATTAGACATCGATTTATCAGTACGAAGCTGAATCATTCATTGAACAGGTTTCTGATTTATCTCCTCTCATTCTATAAAGATAGAGACACTTCATCCCTTAATTTTTCTTTTTTTTTTATGAGAGTTAACGGAAAATTTCAGGGATATGTATCGGTGTTTTTCGTATTCAAAATGGACTCTAGTGTCGCTGTCACGGCGATTGTCCAGTAATCCCGTGAGCAGCTTGTTGCCGGTGCATGATGAGTTCATAGACAGGCACATCGGACCTAGAGAATCTGAGCAGAAATTGATGCTGCGGCAGTTGGGATTTCAAGTAAGTCAAACTCTATTATTTTAAACGACTTTTGCAAAAAGTTTACTTAATTTTTTAAAACTTGAGTCTTACTGACAACCAGGGCCGGTTTTAAGCTTGGTTCTATGCTACGGAGTTCATATACGTAGAGAACACTGCCATTATTCTTTTGCTTGTTAATTAATGTTATTGCTCAAACACACGAACTTTGATATTTTGAAAGAAAAGAAAACGAGTAACAACAAAAAAAACTATTTTATTATCACTTATATCGCAAAAAAAGGTATAAATATTTTGGCAGTTCTCGATTAAGCTGTAGCTCATTACGCAAATCCAACTTTGCAGACAACTTTTAAAAATTTAACTTAAAAAAATTTTTGTATGTCTATGAGTCACACACAAAAGGGTGTATTCATTTCTACTTACATTCATTTGTATTTCCGTAAAGACTGTATTTTTACACCATTTACAATTTAGCTGCTGAAAATTTCCAAAAGTGTTATTAAGATATCTTGAAATCTTTTCATGAAAATCTTTCGTGAAAATTGCATTATTTATCTCAATGCACAACAAGTTTTAATGTGTAGAAACCTGTATTTTTGCTAAGTGATAAATTTTTAAAGTATGTGTATTTAAAAAGTTTTTTTTAACATGTCTTTTATTCTTCACTTAAAACACAAAAAACCCCAAAGTCAAGCGTATATGCAAAAATATCTTTTGCCAGATAAAAGCTCTAATTTTTATATTTTCTAATGTACCAAACGGAACTAACGCAAGAGACTACTTCCCTTGTACAAATTTTACATTAGAATAGAAAATACAATTTCTGAGAATTTCGACACTCATAATAATTTTGAAATACCAGAATTTCCGGCTAAATTATAAGTGAAGTGAAAATGCTGTTATCACGGAAATATAATGCAGGCCTCATAACCATAATTTCTTCTATTCATTTACCTATAGTGGTAAAAGTATGCAGTGGTTAATTTTTAATTCTTCAAATTTTTAGTTCCTTCCAGTTTAAAAGAAAAACATAGACCTCACCTACGTTTTTTTAAGGCACAACTTTTAAATAATGTTTGTTTGTTAAAAAAAATTGCCTCTAATTAGAAATAATGGAATAATCAAAAGTCTAGTCGTTAAATGTAACATCTTATTAATTTATTAACCCGTGTCATTACCTAAATTAGCGCTATTATTTAAACAACGCTAGCAGGATCTTTTAACTTTTTGTAAGCAAAAAATTTGCATAAAATAAATGCGTAACGAATGCAAAAAGAGTGACTTGCCCTGAATAATTTTTTAACTTCAGACACTAAGACTCAATCTTAATGGTTCGGGGGGGGGTTAACAGCAATTATGTTAATGAATTAGTGCACATATATACAGCCATTCAATTATGTTACAAGGCGAGCCGACTGAGCCTTCAATTTTTCCTGAAGTTATAATATTTCTAATATTCATCTTGAAGTTCTAAATTAATTATTAAAAATATTTGTAAATACTTTAACTCTGTAAAGCCTACAATTCAATAGAATCCTTTTAGACGCATACAAAATTTTGAACACTTTAAAAATTTATAGATGTGCCAGAACATTCGTGATCTATGAAATGAACTCCATTCTAACATAGCATCGTTTTTAAATAAAAAGTTATAGAATTTAAAACCATTTACAATCATAAGCGATAAGAACGATTCACTCTGACGTTTAAATCATGTAAATAATCATGTTTTTACTTACTCTTAATTATTTAATTCTGCTATATGTTAAATTTGACTTGAAATCACGGAAGAAAAATCTGCATTAATAATGTTTTTCCGCATTCGTTTTTCTATTAGTCTAAAAGATTCGATGATGCATGTCATATCTCTCTGTCTCTCTCTCTCTTGTGTATNTAAGACTCAATCTTAATGGTTCGGGGGGGGGTTAACAGCAATTATGTTAATGAATTAGTGCACATATATACAGCCACTCAATTATGTTACAACGCTAGCCGACTGAGTCTTCAATTTTTCCTGAAGTTATAATGTCTCTAATATTCATCTTGAAGTTCTAAATTAATGATTAAAAATACTTGTAAATACTTTAACTCTGTAAAGCCTTACAATTCTATAGAATCGTTTTAGACGCATACAAAATTTTGAACACTTTAAAAATTTATAGATGTGCTAGAACATTCGTGATCTATGAAATGAACTCCATTCTAACATTGCATCATTTTTAAATAAAAAGTTATAGAATTTAAAACCATTTACAATCATAAGCGATAAGAACAATTCTCTCTGACGTTATCGGGACGCTTTTCTTAATATTTCTTCTCTCTCTTAAGTAACGCTAAGAAAGAAACGGTTAGTTGTTGTTGTAGATTCGAATAGTTTTCACAAAACGGCTTATAATTTAGTCTCTGTGTCATATTCTATTTACGATTATGTCGCTATTATATTTATAGCATTAACGAATGGTGTGTGAGGGTTGTATTTCTTTCCTACTCCATTAAAGATAAAAATGGAGTTGCGTGAGGTTTCACAAATTGTAAAAATTTATTTTAGTTCGATTATGCGTAAAAAATCATGTTTTTACTTACTCTTAATTATTTTATTCTGCTATATGATAAATTTGACTTGAAATCACGGAAGAAAACTCTGCATTAATAATGTTTTTCCGCATTCGTTTTTCTATTAGTCTAAAAGATTCGATGATGCATGTCATATCTCTCTGTCTCTCTCTCTTTTGTATGCCTGTTAAGGCAGAGGGTGCGATTGTTCTTGTTTTCCCGTGGTGCCATCTATGGCCAAGAATTCGACTTCTGCCACACCCATACTTCACACCCGTTTATAGGGTGGACCCATTCATACATCCATTCATTCATCCACAGTTCGTAATTTTGACCTGAATCAGAGAACGATCAATCTCCAGTACTCCCAGAGGTATTGATTTGTTATGGGAACTTGGAGGTCTTTGCGACTCGATAGATTTAACGCGCATCAGTCACCATTTTACTACATGGGGAGTCTACAGCCGGCGGGGCTCGAATCCACGAACTCTCGGATGGCCCCAGCTCCCTACAGATCAGGTTATCTCTACAAATATATACGGTCCATGTCATCTCTATAAATATATGTTTTATTCAACATTAAAATAAGTTTAAATACCAGAAAAATTTTGAGAAATTAAAATAAATCATAATTTATCTCACACTATTCCTCTTCGGCATTCTTAAAGAATTAACATCTTAAAAGCATTTTATATATTAGCTAAAAAGAAAAAAACTACAAAGCAGCGAACTTAATAACGTCAATTAAAAAGAAGTATCATTGCAGTTTATGCTCGTTACTACAACTTCAATTACAGCGACTCTTCCATTATAACGATCGATGCATAAAATACTGTTTTCTCTTTCATAGACGCAATGTTATTTTAATATCCATGCATTCCAATACAACGGCCGAAACTCAGTCACTTAATCTGGAAAAACTTTCAAAGAAGATATTTAAACCGTTATTTCCTTTAATGCTACCAATACAGTAAATGTAAAACGCCTTTGAATACCCTTTGAATGAAGAAAGAGAGACATCTAAGATGGTCAAAATTAAAGGTCAAAAAGTAGGTGAAACAAAGATTTCTTCATATTGATTACATTAGGTAGAAAAAAATGTTTGTTGCATTTATACTAATACTTGATCTTGCCTCATTCGGGTGGGGGGATTTCAAATCTGACATTGACATTGTTCCTAAAACTACATGTTTTTTAATGACTTTTTTAGTTTATTTATTTATTTTTTTCGGTAAAATGAAAACTAAAATCCTTATATATAACAGGTGGTAGCATGAATGTTGCTATAAACTTCTATGGGAGTTATGTCACATCAACAAAATTAAAATTGCATAGGAACATAGGAATTTACACCCATAAATGTCACCGTAGCCGCTGGAGCCGTACGAAACGTTTATTTGACTAAATTATCTTAATTTCATGTAATCTTATAATTATTGTCGAAAATTGCATTCAAGTTAAGTATTAACTGTTTAATCTTAATTTAATGATTTGGCGACTAACGTGACAATCTCGCCAAATCGTTAAATTAACCAATTTGACGTAGTCAAATTATTAAATTACGTTAAAACATATAATACATATGAACTTATTTGAATGCAATTTTCGACAATGATTATAAGAAACACATAAAATGAAGACAATTTAGTTTAATGTAAGTGCTTGTTCGGAAGCACCCAAAGAAACAATTCATAATAAGGAAGCGTCCCTAGTGGCGTACGACGACATATCTGGGCAAGGGTTCCCATACAGTTTTAATTCTGATGACGCGCTGTAAGTCTCATAGAAGTTTGTCGCAACATTTGCGCAACCCGCTGTTATATATAATGTTTTTAAACGTGTATATTTCGATAATAAATAGACTAAAAATGTCATTTGAAAAAAAAAATTTAGATTGAAGAGAAAAACCCATTGAAAATTTGGAATCAACGATGCGAAAGATCTGTTAAAAATTCTCATGCAACAGAAAACAAAAAAATAAAGATTTCCACAGCGTTACAGATGCGCCCTTTTAGATAAAACAATTTTGAGTTAAGCGAAGAAAAAAGAGAAAGAAAAAAAAAAATAAGAAAGGAAAAAGAATGTTCCCCTGCATAAACAAAAGAGTACGTTGCATCGACACAGTGAAATCGGCAGGATTTCCAAAGAAGCATTTTGAAAATTTTGTTCTCTTGATGTGAAATGTTAGTTCCCTTTCGTGGTTTATTTTTGAATTTAATATTCGCAGTTACACATGCTATTTATCTAAAATTGCAGTTCCGAAACAATATATTATTTTTAATGGATTTTCTTACCTATGTTGTGTACTTTAAAGGGTACTTCCTTTATACATTAACATAGGGAAAAGAAAGTTGTGAAAATAGTTACTTTTCAGTTAATTTCAAAGTTCCTATTAAAGTAAAGCATTGTTTTATTAAAATTAGCCAAGCATTTTTTTAGCAATGATTATATAGTGAAGATATTTTTCTAATAATGTTATCTCTAAAGGCTTTCACCTTTAGAGATACCAGATATAAAATCTCAAAAGGCTATCGCCTTTAGAGATTTTATATCAAGCCTTTATCGTAGCGTGGCACTAAAACCATTTGGGTAAAACTGTAAACATTTTGGAGAGCTTTAAGAAAAATGCATCACTGTTTTACGCGCTGTAACATTGGAGTGAAATCGTAGAGAACTATATAGAGTAAACAAAAGCTTTTATTTTTTATTTATTTATTTATTTGTTTTTTCATTTTTTAAAAATTTCGGCAAAATGGCGGCACTCTCGTTCAAATGGTTTCAGTGCCACGCTACGGTAATAAGCTCAACTAATAGTCAGATTAAAGAATAACCGCTTTCTATTACATATATGCAGGAGCGTAGCGAGCAGTGTAGAGGGCAGACTGCCCCCTTAAAGTTAAAGAGGGATACTCCAATCAGCCTATCGAGAGATAAACATATTGATTTCTTTCAATCGGCTTTTGTTTCTGATATTTTTTTTTAAAAATCAGCAATAAGGTCGACTGAAAATATATTTTGCCCATAAGCAAATTTCTTTTCATTTTTCTCTGTCAAAGCTTTGCATTAAAGAACAAAAGACGGCCAGATAAGTCGATACATTTTTTCGGTCGGACTTAGTTCTCGCTAATTTTGCTTTCAAATAGTTAGCTGTTTGTCTGAAGAAAATATTTTTCCTTTATTATTTTTTCTATCACCTACGTCTAGGTTGTAATCAATGTTATTTTTTATTTTTTTAAGCCATGAAAAATTATGTGTCATAACTTATTTTGCTTCTCCATTCGATTGGATTGATGCGAGTAAGCAGTTGTATAAATTTGATTTTGTGTTTTTACGATTTCGATTTTTTGTGTTTTTACGATGACGATTTTTCACAGCCATAGCTAAAAACAACATTTCTTCTCCCCATTTAACTTTAATTCTTCATATCACATTGAGTTTTGATTTAGTGAGAATACAAAGTATTTTTCTTAACCAAAAATATAATTTTTTCTGCATCGTTTACTGTTTAATTATTGATGCATATTCTTTTAAGCAGAAATTAACAAGATATTATTTATTATCAATAGTAATATTTCATTTATAATGAATCATAAAAAAATACTAATTAAATATAAAATATGAAACAACTAAAAATCTCAGGGTTTTTTCAAAATTGACCATTAGTTTGGTTTGTAACAAATTTGAGTCGGGTAATTTTGGATTTTGTTCCCCCAAAATCTATCTTCCGCTACGGCCCAGCGTGTATTTAAAGGTTTCGTTACTTAATTAATCATTAATTAATTAATCAATTCGTTAATAATTTTTCTTTGACCAACAGTAAATTATTTTTTGTTTCACAAAGAATATTTCTAACAAAATAACACAAAATTTTTGAAATGTGTATCCTTATTTTGTATTATTTATTTAATTATTACCATAAAGTAGGTTTACATTAATAATTGCTTCGATCAGGAACAGTCTATTTTTTTTTTGATTGTGTCAATTTATTTTCAGAATATCGATGAATTGATCAATCGTACAGTTCCTCATAACATCAGACTGAATCGCTTGCTGGACATCGATGAACCAAAAGGTGAGTCATTCAAATTAGTTTAGAAAAAAAAGGAGATGTCTTCAGAAAGTGCTCCATGACACGCAATCAATTAAAGTTCATTATTGTAATAGGGTCAATATTATTTCACTAGAAAATATTCTAATGCGTATGAATTAGAATTGCATCCAATCATATTCAATTGCCTCTATTGTTACTCTAATTATTGGATTTATTTAAGAAGAATTAAATTTTTTTCTACCTCCTTTATCGGGACCTAGAAAACAAAATTTTCCTTTATGTTTCCACTATTTTGTTATAAAATATTTAAATAAATAAAATAAAATAAAAAATAATAATAATAATAATCAAATTTTTTCTCGATAACTTGAGTTTTTCAGCAATACACTGGAATTCATTTTTTCTAAAAATATAAAACTTAATTTTCCAGACTTTTTTTTAAATAGAAAAAATGTTTTTAAAAAAATACAGAGAAAAAGATCTACGCAAGCTTTCGTTAACTAAGAACAGCTGATAAATAATACTGACCTCCCTACCATAAAAGAATACGATTTAGTTTCCCCTCAAAAGGCCACGAAAAATGCACACATAATTAATAGAGAACATCCTGTTGAGAACAGCCTATAAAATAACTCGAACCTATAGTTATAGAATTGAATGATTTCGCTGTCCTTTCTTCCCACTGACCAAGTGGTTTTTGATAGTTTAAATTTTTATATACTTCAAAACAAATTTCTTCTCTTTAGTTACAAACACCGAGGTTAGTGTTATCATTTTCAGTTTTTGCTCACATACAAGTATTTTTATGACGCTACATTATTTACTAAAGCAAAGACTAATAAAAAGTTCATTTTATTTCAAACCAGGTCCTTTTATAAGCTTTGTTTTTTTCCCCTTCTGTTGTCAGGTGAACACGAACTGCTGAATCATCTACGCCAAATAGCGGATAAAAATGAAGCCTGGAGGTCCTATATCGGAATGGGTTACTATAATTGCCTTGTTCCTCACTGTATACTACGAAACATATTTGAAAATCCTGGATGGTAAGACACATTTATCTCTTCTGATAAATGACAAGATTATGCCTCTTAACCGACCAGCATTCTCCCAAAAAAGAAAATTCCGTAAATTTTTTAAATTTATATGTAAAAACTCACCGTCTTAAATTTCCAATTATTTAAAAAAAATTAGCTTTCTTAGGGAATCTCAGCGAGAAATTTCTGTTCTCAGAACATTAAACTGGAAAGATCGAACTGTGAGTTTTCAGATATCCGTTTAGAAATTTTACTGCCAGTTCCTCTGTTTCAGGAGGATGCTGGTCAGCTTAATATTGTACACTCTTGTTCGTGATCATAAATCGTCATATCAGTTGTTTTCTAATCTCTTTAAACTGTTTGTTCAGCTTCCGTTATCAGCGTTTTTCGAAGCTCTATCGTCAAAAAGAAATTCATAGTTTATGTGTCTTACACTTGAAGCAAGGCTCAAGTTTTAAACTATCTTTACTGTGGCATAGGAAATTGCCTGGACTTCAGAACAAACAAATAAATATTTAAAAATTTATTAAACTTTTAAAAAAATAAATGAAAAAATAAAAAAATTTTAAAAAATAAATGCAAAAAATAACTTTTAGTAATATATTATTATTTTATTTAATAAAAAAATTTTCTTGTAGGATATACAGTTTTTTACATCATTTTAAAGAACGTAATTTTATATGGTAACGTAATTTTAAATACAAAATTTGAGCAAAATTAGTCAAATAATTCCTCAGAAATTGAATTTTTAATTATTTTTTTAAAAAATAGTTCTGCTTTTCATGTTCAATTTATTTTTAGAATTCGACACAATAAGAACAGAATCAGATGGGAAAGTGTCGTTTGAGAAATCCGTCATAGCAACGCCCATTTTTGGTGACCGTTATTTAAAGAATAGCTAGACATCAAATTAACACAATATTATAGAACAAAATTTTTATGTGTCCTTACCTTGCACAAAATTTGTATGTGTCTAACATAAACTTCGTTTTTTTAAAAAAAAAATTTCTCAGAGGCAATTTTTTTAGAATATTTTAAATGCTTTTTCATTAGAACATATCAACTAAACAAATAAAGTATGCATCTGCTTAAAATTACACACAATTTGGGAAACGCTCATCACGAAAGAATATGTTTTTAGACATTAATTTTTATTTCCAAATATCCCTACGTAAATCCATAGATACATTATGGTATCCATAGATACATTACGGCGATTAATTTTTATCTAATTATTTTTTACTTAGAAATATCACTACGAAAAGAAATGTATTCAGAAGAGAATATTTGCGTTTACCCATTAAAATATTTATTTCCCATTAAAATAGTGGTCTCCGAACTATTTTGTTGCTGATTTATGTTATTATTACTTGTAATTATAATTCTTTGCCTTAATTGATTAGCCACTGCCTAGTTTCAAAATAAAAATCATGCAAGCATGCTAAAACTTAGTACAGTTATATTAAGATTAAAGTAAAAGCAGAAACAATTTTGTAGTATTAAACATACCCATATTGACTCAACCACTTTACGTTATTTTCACTGATTCGTAAATATCCCTAAAAATGTCGCATGTCTGGTTCTTCCTCTATGCTCTTCAATTGTGTCGATATATGCCTTTCAGCTTTGTGCATGCTTTCGTAGTGTTGTTGTTCAGTACTTATTAATTGATTTTTTTTTATATTCACTCAGTAAGAAAAACGGGTATTCAGCTAGTAAAGATATAACTCTTAGGGCAATATTCACAAGCTCTGGAGTCCTTTCAATTACTGCAATATACCCGATATCCGGGTTTCCGATGTGCATTAGATGGAAATCTAAGCACCTCGCAATACTTAAAATAATAAACTAAAGTAATAACAAAAAATATAAAAACAAAAAATATAAAAACAAATAAAAACTATAGGGAACTTTATTTTATCAGCACTTGAAAAATATCGCTGCACGGTTATCAAATCTTATATATCTGTTTAAATTGTTTTCATAGTGGTCAAAATGAGTGTAAAAAAATTTTATTAAATCAATTATCAAATGCTTAAGCGTAAAATGTGCTACCAATTATTCCAAGAATGAAATACTCATTCATAAAAACGGGAGATGTTTTTTAAAAAATGAAACAGTTTCGCTCGTCCTGACAAAGTTTTTATTCAAATTTTGAAATTTGCCTCAATATTTTCTTATAAAAGAGAGCATTATTAATCACCTCAGCAACCATCTATCTTGTAATGTAAAACACTAATTCGTGTATGCAGATTATTAAAAAAGACCGATGAAATTTCGCGTAACCAACAATGAAATAATAACCTCGTAAGTCGTTGTAAGCATGAGAAACAAATAAAAAAAGGCATGAATTAAATGACATCTTCTAAAGAACAGCAACTATTTTAAGAGCAAATTCTATTTCTATTCAGACATGCTTTTTCAATTACCATAACGTGAAGTGCAAGTCATGAAGGATGATTTATTCATGTAACTTCTCCAAACTCACGATTATGAATGTAATTTTTAAGAAACGCCTATTTTCAATGTCGAATAACGTTGCTCTAAGTTTTAATCAAATTTAAACATATATTTTTTTAATCCTTCTTTTTTTAAATTTTACGAGAGAAATGTACCGTTTCCGGAGGTCTTCAAAACAGTCACCCAACTGTTACGGATGGCAGTGATTTTTAATTAATTACAGTAATAGGTGCTACAGATATTGTGGTCGTAGATACTTAATATACTAACATAGGTCCTGTGTAGTAATAGGTTTGTACGGCTTTCGAAAATGTAATAGTACGAAATGCATATAAATCAAAGGTTTCACAGGATTCATGTGTTTCATAATTTTAAAACTTGATTTTAAAAAGGATACCAGCATATATACAAAGTTATACTAAAATATCAAAGTATCCAATGATCCAAGCTATACAAGCTCGAATGACGAAGGAGCCAGTGGGAGTTGGCGAGCGCAGTGAGCTGGCCCCCAGCTTTTAATAATTGCCGTTCCATATTTTCCGCATTTTTAAGTGAACAGAAATCGTATGAGTTTTCCTTAAAGAAAGTTAAAGTAGAAGGAAAATCTGAGTAAAGAAGTAATCAATTGTGCGATTTTAGTTTCATTTCTTATATATTAATTGAATAAATCTTCTGAGCAATTTTTTTTCAAATCACTTCAATAGTCAACTTTTAAAACGATTAAAAACTATTATACGCCAGTTTTTACATAGTTGAGTACTTTAATTAAGGTAAAGCTGGGAATTGTTTTAAAAATTGTGGCCCAATTCAAAGCGTTTTCCCCCCGAGGTGAACAATTTTCTTGAATTTTATAGCTGAAAAGGGATCAAAAGGAGAAAAAATATTAATATCTAAAGAAAGTGAGATACTGTTTCCTATGAAGTTCTGTACTCTCAATTGAATCGAACCCAAATAAAACGATAGGAGATCGGTATAGATCCTACGTTGGTATAGAAATGGTATAGATCCTACGGCTTAACCCTTTCTAAAGCAGTGGTAAGTATACTTAACCACTAATTTTTAAAGTCCATGTGAACTTTTCTACGATTTTTAATTTAGGTTTCCATTTGTTAATAACTTCAGCATTCTTGAAGTTCGTTTGAATAATATTGGCAACCATTTTTTAGTATAAGAAAACTTATAAAAGGTATAAAATGCATAATTCTTTTGAAGTTTGCAGCATTTATAAAATTTATTTCATAAATAAAGAAAAATAAAAGTCAATAAGTTCCTAATTGGTCGTGGTAAATATACTTACCACAAAAAAAAAATGGTATTAAAATTTATTTATGCTAAATGAATTTTTCTTTTCTTACATCAATTACTATTCTCATATGAATTTCAATTCCAAGAATTCTTTAATTTACCTTTACTAGAAGTAAATAGCCCACTAAAGAGTTAAAAACATAACTGAAAAAAATCTAGCTCAAACATTGTCGGAAGCATTGTTGGTCACGTTCTTATGGAATCTAGAACAGCACCTTATTATTCTTATCTCAACACAGATCAATCTTGATTCTTTCCATTTTTTTAAAACTTAAATCATTTTTTAAAAATCTAATTTAAAACAGTAACCATTTAATCTCTACACCGTTTTTTTTTTTAAATTTTATTTTATTTTGTTTTTGGGCATTCATTCATTAGATGAACGTTTCATCTTTAATTACATTTACGTAAATGGCTTAAAAGAGTGCAGCCTAGCTTCAAAATTTCTTAACTATGCCCTGTTCCTTCTTTTTTTACATCCGTTGATAAAAAGCAGTCTAATCCTCAAGCTAGACAAGGACAGTGAGGTAACAACTCTCGTATTCGTATTCATATAATTTTTAACTTGACTCAAAACGAAAGAGATCTTGATTTAAGTAGCGGAACAAACTGCCCTTCGTGGAGAACTAGATTGAATTTGTGCGAGGAGTGATCGAAATACCCTCAAAACTCTCACGGTTCGTCCTACTGCAATTGTACTACAACATTATTTGACTCAAAACATGTTCTCCTAACAGGACGACCCAGTATACTCCGTATCAGGCGGAGATTGCACAGGGCAGATTGGAAAGCCTTCTCAACTATCAGACAATGGTGGCAGACATCACTGGACTGGATGTTGCCAATGCCTCTCTACTCGATGAAGGAACGGCCGCTGCTGAGGCCATGTCACTCTCCATCAGGTAATTATATTTTATAAACTACAAAATATATGCATTATTCTTAGTTCAACATTATATGCATTCTTAGTTCAACGTTAATATGTTTGTCGTCCATCCGTAACAAATTATAAGAATCGAAACAATGGAAATAGAATAGAAGGTACGGTTGTCAAGCTAAATAACGAAATATAAATCACGCAGCAATACCAGAGATGCCAACGTACTCCAGACAGCAAATATATATTTTAAAGTGGTAGTTTATCAATTCTGATTCTTGGTTTAATAAATTCAATTTAGTAGATTTTTATCCACCACTATTTCTAAATAATTCGCAGGCTTACATATTTCACCACTTTATAGTACTTACTACTTATGTCATGCTAAACCTTTTAAAAAGCAAGCAAAAATAGTCAAATATTTCCAAAATTTACTTTTTAGTTATTTACCGTTTTTTTTAAAATTACTTTGGCGTGTCCGGAGCAGATGGTTTCTCTGCAGTACTAAAAAAATACGTTAATAAAAATATGTGCCTATTCTCATAGATAAATTTATCAATACATCCATTTTTCTCTTTTTCTGCTATAAAGTTAGTTTAAATAGTGTATTCCAATTTTGTTTGTGACACGTTTGACTGGATTTTGCTTGATTCGAAGATTTTACTTCGTAAATTAGTACTGTAGAAGCATTATACACGTATGTATATTTCTTTTTTTTCCCTTAGAGTGGTCAGGAGGAAGAAGTTCTACTGTTCGGACAAAGTGCATCCACAAACCATAGCTGTCGTCAAAACGAGAGCTAGGTCAATATTCACACCTTTTAAATTTATTCCCTTTAAGTAAAAAAAAAAAATATTTTAATATATTTCCTTTTTATTGCAGTGCCATGGGTGTTCGTGTGATAGTGACAGATTTCAAGGACATAGATCTCACAAAAAAGGACCACTCGGGCATTCTTTTCCAGTATCCGGACACGGAGGGAAAGATTTGCGATTTCTCACAACTCGTCAAACAATGCCACAAAGGTGGAGTGAGTACTCGATACGTCATTCTATCTAAATTTCTTTATGAACCTTCTGAAGAAAATGCAGAGAACAGGGATTTTTTCTCTCCTTAATTTATTAAATATTACAAACCTGCCAACTTTTACGCTCGTCAAAAAAGGTTTTTACCAATGTATTTCAAAAAAGTATTTTAGAAATTTGATTTCTCAGGAACTATTCAATCGATTTCACTCAAATTTTGTATTTTGCAATGTAAAATTATATTCCTTAAAAGGATGTAAAAAAATCGCATACTTTGCAATTCAAAAAATTTTCGACTATTATTAAATAAAATAATTAAAAATAATAAATATTTCTTCAAAATTCATGGATCATGGAATTATCTTTGGATAAGTAAAGTTTATAATTGGTTGTAAAAAATTTTCAAATCGCTTGAAAATTTCCAGAAAAAGGGCGAAATACGGAAAAGGAAAAATTGACGCTAAATGGTCTAAACTTTGAACCACTCTCCTGACCAAATTATTGAGACCCAGATTGCGGCTATCTCCTTTGTTTTGGGAGTCATAAATCTGAATCCATCGAATAAAGGGTATGTTTATTCAGAGATAGAACGTTTTTGTGATTGATTTCGTAGTTTAAAATATCGTCTGCCCAAATTAATTGACATATTTGAGGTCACTCCCTGGAATCATTAAGGATGAGTTCTAGAACGTGAAGATCCGATCTTTAGATCCAAAGTTATTAGGGGTGTTCCGTTTTTTTTCTTCCTTTTTTGATGCACTGCACATTAAAATTGCATAATCTTTTGCAGGGTGTTGCAGTGTGTGCCACCGATCTATTGGCACTGACAGTCTTGAAGCCTCCAGGTGAATTCGGAGTGGATGTTGCAGTGGGCACTAGCCAACGATTTGGTGTCCCCCTCAACTATGGAGGACCTCATGCAGGTTTCTTTGCTGTCAGAAACAAATTCATTCGTCATGTTCCGGGAAGAATGGTTGGAGTTACCAAGTAAGAAATATTTCATCCTCACCGATCATTGTCATGCCTCACTTACTAGGATGCCACAATTTTTTTTTTAAAATTTCATCTAATTTTTAAATTTTTACTGAATATTCTTTTCTAGATAAAAATAGACCACTTCTTTTTATGAAAACGCCCTAAAGCATAAATCCAGTTTTAAAAATAGGTTATCTATAATACTCCATAAAAAAAAATCACATTCATTAAGAAGTTTGCTGTAAATTTGCAACGTCTAAAGAAGTTTTATCCTTCTCCTAATTTGCTCTAACTGTAATAAACTAGTTTAACCGTTCTTTTATCAGATTGGCTTGATTTTCGATAAGTCCATTCTCAATAAATCGCCAAACAATAGATCTCGCACGACTGAGTCTCTACTGTTATCTGTCACTCTTTAACAAAAATTTAATGTTACAGGTCTGTTCGGTCCACGTTGTAACCTTATCTTCCCTTAAATATTTTGTTTTTTCAAAATTGAAATACATTATTTTAATACTTAGACAGAAGTTGAACCCGTTTGAAATAAACTTTGTATATTTTTTTTCCTTCTTTAAAGCTAAATTAACCATATTGCCTGGAAATGATTCTGGTCTTCATTACTCACACAATCTATCTGAATTCATTTAGATTTTCATTTAAACCAAAAAAACTGCCTCAATACATTATCTACTCGACATCAACCAATTATTTCATAGATGCATATTTGATAGAAGCTTACTTCATTCAATCAACGTGACAGAGTAAAATATTAGTAATGCATCCTCTTTGATACAATATAAACACATCCTTTAAGTAAATGAAGCTAAACAAAAATTGCTCTATATACTATTAAAGGGTTTACTATTTCTCCGATTATTTTGTTGTTTCAATTTGAACAGTTTTTTTTTTCAATTTAACTCTAAATCTAGCTTTCATGTACAATTTGAAGGGTGTGTTTTGAACCCAATCCAGAAGACAAGGGAACTCCTGGATCAAGTACTGGGAGAAATTTGCTTTCATGCAGGTATTTTTCGATTGAACTAACCCGCACATGCGTTACATTGAGAGGAAAACCACGAAAACCTCCCTCGGCTACCCTGACGGTAGGGGACTCTAATCCATGATCCGTCTACCACTGAGGATATTTTGCGTCAGCACCGTGGTCGGTTCAAGTAGGATGTGGAATTCGTATCGACCAGTCATCGCTGGGATTCGATCACGAGCCATCACATCTCTGATTTTATGTAATTATAAATTAGTGTTAAATATTGCGGCAGCTACTTAGCACTATATAGAGTAAAGGAACATTGATTTAGAGCAGCACTTTTTGTGTAAAGTAGTTGCCATTATTTTTAATGTCAAGACACACTAAAATTTTGTACCATACAATGCAATTGAGTTCCTGAAGATAAAAAATAATGATGTGAATAAAATTGCTTAACTTTTCGTTTTGGTATTCCGTTTGTTGGATAAAACTTTATCGCCGCATCCTTCACAAAAGATAAGATTTAGCTGATGCTTCAGGGTTATCACTTTCAAATCTACTCATAAGACGATATACACGATGAGGTAAAAACCACAAATAAGATAAAGAGTTTCGTTTACCTGTGTTTTTTCCCCATTTGAAAGTTGATTTTTTGTTTCAAATGAAAATTATTTTCAAACTTAACCTCGAAGTGCTGAAAAACATTTTGAAACCATAAAACGAGTACAGTTGAAGTGTTCGCGTGAGAAATGCTCTTTGCAGTACAATTGATAATTTTTTTGGTCTTTATTACTGAATCTATGCTATTTTGTTAATAAAATCTGGAAACACGTATGAAAATTAATGGTTAAATATAAAAAATCATACTTTTTTTAAAAAAAAACAAAACAACCAAAATTTCGGAAATTTAATAACTTTATGAGAAGGGAGATAGGGCACTGAGGGAGGGCTTCCTTGAGAAGAAAACAAAACATGTTTTGATTACTTATTTGCATTTGCAGAGATTCTTCAGGCAGCCTGGCCTACCGCTTGACCCTGCAGACGAGAGAGCAGCACATACGGAGGGACAAGGCGACCAGCAACATCTGCACTGCTCAGGTGATAAAACTATCATGAGTTTCTCCATAAAAGATGACCAATCATTTTCATTCCATAGCTGACAAAAAAATGCTCTCTCTCGTATTCTAGAGCACCGGTTCCTAACTTCTTATCGCCATGGAGCCATAATAATTGGTCTTCTTTTGTGGGAACTCATCATAAAAAAGTTCATCAGCAATGGTAGACTTATTAAATAAAAAAGAAAAAAAAAACTAATTATACTGAATACATTTAAAGTGACGAGAATGAAATTTTATGTTCGTCTTATCAATTAAGTCTTAAAATTATGTTTTATGTCAAACGTTGAATTTGCAGGCCTAACATTAGTCGAATTCTAAAACTTGATTTTGGTGTATATGTAGGAGCTGAAAATGAATAAAATAAAAACGATTTTCGAAACGAAAAATTACAAATTTTGAAATGATTATCAAAGAGACATACTTCTGTAGTGTTGAATTTAGTTCCTTAGTTTTAAATTTAAATATTAGACAGTAAATATTAATGCATTTTTGATACAAATGCATATCCCTTGTATAATTAATTAAATATATTGTTGTTAGAAAATAGCTTTATATTATTGATATTTGTAATATTATTATAGTTATAATATTATTATAATATTTTCTTAAAATTTTGACACTCTTTATTTCACTGGAATTTTATTCAAATAATTTTACGAGAATAATAAAAACATTAATTGGATAATGAGTTATTGTTTTATAAATATAAAAGAATTTAAATATCAATACTGTTTTTAAAATCGAAAACAGTAATCAAATACCCCTCTTTTAAAAAAAGGAAATAAATAATAAATAAATAGTAAATAATTAAATAATAAATAAACAAATAATATATAAATAAATAATAATTAAATAAATAATAAATAATAATTAAATAAATAATAATTAAATAAATAATAAATAATAATTAAATAAATAATAAATAACTGTTCTGTAACGCTTTACAATGATGCTTGAAGCAATAATTTGCTCGAGAAATATTTTATAAGTTAAATGGGTGTTGATGTAGATAATAATAGCATAATTAAAATAAGAAAAGAAACAGCTAAAGATGCATCAATATCATAAAAAATAAAACATTTAATTAAGTCCAATAATCTTTTAATAAATAATCTTTTTCAGGCTCTTCTGGCGAACATTTCTGCCATGTATGCTGTATATCATGGAGCGGAAGGTTTGATAAAAATTGCCAATAAAGTGAACAATGCCACTCGGCTGCTAGCAGCAGGTAAAAAGATATTATTATAAGAACATTGACTAAAAAGTAAACCCTTTTTTTCTTTGATCCAACACGAATATACCCAGCCATAGAAATTGATTATTAAGAATTCTCAAGATAAGCTGCACGGTTAAAGTTTTTTTTTTTTTTAAAGTCCTTAAATAAGAAAGAGTAACATCTTAAAAAATTTATGCAATTCGTCCAAACTTAGCCATTAAATAACGGGAAAAAAGTAAAAACTGCTCTATGTTGAATCTCATTTTTTTTTTCAAATTTTTTTTGAAAAAATCATAATTTTATCAATCTGGACTTTTTAGAAAACATATTAACTAAAAATCTATATTTACGATATAGTAGCAAGTTTAGAAACTACTATTCCAGACATAAAATCTTGAAAAAAAGATTTTTTTAATTCATCAATCTAAAAATTAAATTTAAAAGCAAATAACTACTACAATTTTTTTAATAACATTCATTATCATTTTACGTAGCTCCAAACCGAAATTCAATAATTAAATAATAAAACTCTTATCTATTTGTGCTATTTAGAATATCGTTAAAATGGTTTTATTAATCGATTTACTGATGTTGCTTAAGAATATTCAAACAATAATTTGCATGCCTTTTCATGGGTGTAATGTTTCTTTCACTGTTATGCGGATTGTTTTATGGCCTTTGATAAAAGTAGCCGTAATGTTCTTGCTTCCTTTCTTTCTCCGTTTCTGTACGAAGCAATAAGCTATAAAAAATAGTAACAGCAGTAGGTAAAAAAACAGTAAGTGCATTTTAATGAGGGGGGGGGATATGATGAAATTGTAATTCAGCATTTTCTCTCCATTTTCTATGGAAAATAGGTGATTCTGTTGGAATTTTTTCTTCTCTCTGATTGATTAGTTGTTTTAAAACATTAATTTGCTACCGAAAATAATAATCAAGAAATAATTTAAAACATAATTGAAAGTTAGAACCTTTTTTGTCATTCTAAATTTGAAAAAAGGTTTGGTAAAATTCAAACACACTATATGAAGAATCAGAATTGAAAAAGAACAACAATAGGCGTTTGAATAATTTTATTTTTCATAATTCCTACAAAACTGTAAAACGTAACGGCAGTATATAACTATATAAAACACCTAATATATTATTTATTATAATGTTGTTATAAACGTAAAGAATAAGAATAAATCAAAAATATGAAGAAAGTGTACCTGAAAATGTAAATAGTAGCTTGTTTAGAAATAACAGACAGCTAACTGTTCCATATCTGTTTGAGCGGGGAAGTTGGTGACCTTTTGAGGCCACACGAATAAAAATGGACATAGCATTATTTGGTTCTTAAATGTCGGTCCGATTACATGTACTGCGTTCAATAGAGAGATGCTATTTAATAATATTTTCATTTTTGCATTCACAATAATATCAGTGTGTCTTACAACCGCCTAAAATTCCCAAACTCGCTTCGCATTAAAAATGATTCCCTTAAAAAGAAATCAACATAACAAAAAATTAAAACCCTTTTTATTTGGCAGGTGTGATAGGTGGAGGAAATCAATTGCAGTATGAAAAGTTCTTCGACACCCTCAAAGTCATTCCAAAATCGAGTGTGGCGAGTGTTCGAAAGAGGGCGGAACAGAAGAAGATCAATCTCAGATACTTTGATGACGATACGGTACTTCTCTATAACTAATTCAAATTAACCAAGCTCTATTTTAAAATGATTTTTTCTTTTTTTTAAATATAAATGAACAATAATGGTAATGAAATGATTCATCGGGAGGAAAGAAGTTCAAAACCTGAGCTCGAAAACGGGTCATCTCCAATGAGACTAATTATACAGGAGAGACAACAAACTGAATAGTTAAGTATCAGCTTGATCTCCCGAGATTTTTTATCTTATTTGATATTAAAATATGGTTGGTTGCAAAATATTTCATTGAAATTGTGCGATAACATCACTTAATTTTTTTTCTATTCAAAAAATAATTAGAACTTGGAGATGACCGGTTTTTGTACAAAACCTTAAAACAAATATTATACACTATTCTTAACAAGCAAAAATATTAACCATTTGTCAATTAGAAATGAAATTAAAGCTTTACTTATGACTATATATTGATGGATATTTGTGTAGATTCAAAAGTTTTTTGGTTTAATCTGTGCTGGGCTATTAAGGAATTTCTTCATAGAAAGACCAAAACTCATTTGGTTTATATCTTGTAATTTTCTTATGGTTTATGTCAACTTTTTAAAAATATGCTTCCTCAAATGGTTAATGTGCCACTTTTAAGGTACTTTTTTCGTACAGAGTAAATATTAGTTTGCATAAACCACCAATAAAAACAGATATTTCAACTTCCTCTGGCTGAACGCTTTTATAAGTAAAATTGCTATAATGTGACACCTGAAATTGTTGTTTTCTCCTTTCTTGCTCTTCCATAGGAGCACATTTGAACACATAAAACACTTTGATAACACATTTTTTTCTTATAATTCTCCGATCATCAGCTTTTGAAATCAAGTATATTATTTGTAGTCATTTCCTTTACAGTTAATAGTTACTTTTAATATTTTTTATTTTCTTGCAAATACCATAATATACCTCTGAATCACTCATTGTGTAATAAAAAGCATTAACAAAAAAAATTTAAACTAAATAATTAATTATTAGGTTATGCGAACAATTTCATAAGCAACAACGGTAACCATTTAGCTGTATATCTCCAAGTTTATTCTGAGAACATGACATCTTAAGTTTATGGCATGTTCTCGAACTGGATTCAAACTTCACTGCATAAAATATACTGTACCAGGTAGAAGGATATGGATCATTTTTTATTCTAAATCAGGGGTGAAAGCGAGGTGGGAAAAAGGAAAGACTGGTAGTAAAGCCATTTCAGTTATAGCTAGTTTTCGGGAGGAGTTAACTTATTCTTTTTTTTTCAAACTATTCAACAATACCTACTTAATCTTGGAAAAAGAATGGTAGAATGGTAGAAATCACATAAATCTCGGTGCGCGAACGGCATTAACCGATTCATCTGTAGTAATAAATCGATGATGAGGAGTAGTGAGGAGGAATGGAGATGGGAAGAAGAGGGGGTGCTTAGCACCAAAAAATCGAGAGGGGGTTCGTGTGAGTCGGTTAAGGCTGAGTGTATTTCGTGTGCTAGGGCAACACCATATCCCTGTGGAAAAAGGCAGTGATGGGGCTAAATTTAGTGTCGTCGTCAATTAGTTCTATATCTAGGCGTGAGTTAAAATTGCTGTTGGTACAGGTTTTCGCTTCATCGTAGAAATTTTTATTTAAATTTTTTATATAGACGTTGATGTCATCAATTTTAAGATCCCTTTTTATACTATTATTGCTAATGCATTTAGGTGCGTCGACGAGTCTTCTAATAATCTTCCCTTCTGCCATAGAGAGTTTAATTTTTAAATGATCACTTAGAGTGTTAATGGCGGGNATAGAGAGTTTATTTTTTAAGTGATCACTTAGAGTGTTAATGGCGGGGCAGGCATAAGTTAGGATTGGCCTAATTGCCATTAGATAGACAGTGCGCTTGCATTTTAATTCTAAAGATGACTTCGAGTTCAATATGGAGTTGAGGGCCCAATAGGCACCATTCGCTTTCTTAATAATGTTATTTATGTGTTGTTTCCAACTTAAATTAGAGGTGATATTGACTCCTAGATATTTTGCACTTTTTGTGGGTTTAATGATCTGCTTGTAGAGGACAATATCAGGAATAGTTCTACCTTTCTTCTTACTATTGAAAATAATCATTTGGCACTTATCCGGGTATAGTTAATCTTGGAAAATAAGCAGTTTCAGATATATATAATGCTAAAATTATAAAAGAAATCTTGCTAATTAGAGATATTTTATTTTTTTCGAAAAAAATACTAGAATGAAATGTGTTTCGTACCGGGTTTTGCTCTTTTCCAACTTGCTATATAAGGGCTTTCAGCCATGTTCTAACTATATACCTATGTCAGCTGTACTTAAAAATGCAGGAATATCAATTTTGAAAATAGATGGAAATGGCTGGTTTTTGGACTCATCAATTCAATTAATTCAGCATAGCGTAATATTTATTTCACAGGTGGGGGTATCGTTGGATGAAACGATTGAACGGAAGGATTTGTGTGATTTACTCTCTGTGTTCGAATGTCCCCAGACTGTGGTGAGTGCTTTTTTTAAATTCATTAAAAATTACAATTTATTATGCACCCAACTGATGCACATATATTTCTATAGATAGTATTGTTTTACGGCAGAGAATCGTCAACAATCAATGCAACTTTAAGCTATAACAACTAGAAACGTTATTAAGTATTAAAAGAAAGCTTTTACCAAAAGATATATGGGTGTGGGTGATATATATCTTTGACCATCATGTTTTAGTTCGAATCATTTAATTACATTTGTTAAATGTTTTAAAATTTGTTATGAAATAAGTTTGAATTAGTGGTTTCCAACATGCGGTACACTTACCCCTGAGACTATGTAACAAGTCGGTTCGGGTACGTGGAAATACTGGAAAACTGGAAAACATACTGGAAAAAAAAGCATAAATTCTCTTTGGAAAAAAAATGCGAGAAATGTCCTGTAATATCCTATGGCCATAATTATATCTGATGCCTTTAATTATATCTTATGACTTTAATTACATCTTATGACTTTAATTAATATCTTTGCCTTAATATCAATTAAAAGAGCGCTAGGCGATTTTCCTGTACTCATTTGTATCGTATGCTACCAAGTATATCGAACATGTCATAATCCGAATATCTGTAGTGGCATGTTGAATAAAGTTTATGGAATCAGCAATTTTTAAAAGATTTACGTGTTATTTCATATATTTCAATAATTTTCACACTTGAGTCTCATAGAATGTCATTGTGCCCAGTTTTTGTGTTAATAAAGGGGTAGTAAGGGAGGTAAAACAATTTTGATAGAAAACGAGCTAAACAAATTTCCAATTTCCTGATATTTTATGAAATAAAAATATTTCTTTTTCATAAAAAAATAGTTTCATCGAGAAAAAAAAAATTATATATATANTATATATATAAAGAAATCATATCACATCACTTAACTCAAAAGGAATTTTAAAATAAATTAAATGTTCTTGAATTAAAGATTTAAAGATACGAAATGGATAAATGTTTTATTGAACAACATAAATGCAAATTAAATATTTTAATTCATGGAATTAAAATCAAAGTTGCATTATAGCTCAAAATAAGATTCAACATTCAGCTCAGTACTTTCCCTCATTTTAGTTTTTCTTTCTATTCGACGTTCCTTACCTTCGTTGTGAATCGCTGGAATAAACTCCTACTGGTGCACTTAACACACACTTTGCACACGCCAACTCATGATGGGTGACCTATATTTTATTTTATTATTTTATTATTTTTTAATATTTTCATTTTTTTTTTAATTTTTTTTAATAATTTAATTTTTTGTTTCTTATTTTACTTTATTTTTATCCTATTTTACTTTTTGTCTACAAACAGAAAGACGTTACAATAAAAATCATAGAATGTTTTGAGAAAAGTTTTATTTTAGATATTTGATATTGTACAAATAATACGAATGTTAAAGATAATAGTTTTAAAAAAAACGGTTGTATGCTTAATGTTCATACAGTTGCTATAACTTGACGACTCAACATTAAAACGTAATACATTGCCATAGAATATATTCTGAGTGTTTGTTGTGTTCCAGGAAGAATTGGCGGAATCATTCGAGAATGATCTAAAGAATACTTTTTTCTGGGGTGAAGAATTTCAACGGAATCTTAAAGTACTTTCTCATCCAATCTTCCAAAAGTAAGAAAACCACGAAGTTAAATTTTAATAATTTAAAATACTCACATAATTCTTGAATTTCATATTATTCATGTTTACTTCTTGTTTTATGTCCTTCATTAGAGCACGTACTTATTTTTTCTTCAATATACTGCAAAAAATTTGATATTATTCGAAAATAAAATTACAGTTTTATTCAAGCTTTAATGTTGAGAATACTTTCAAATGCAGCTGACAAATGGCAGTTGTTTTTATACTGCCCTCATTCACTTAATTGAAGTATCACTGTATTTTTATTACCATCGTTAAAGAGTATGCGGGTTTTTTTTATTGCTGGTATTGGTTTTAGTTAATTTCAATAAGTGAATGTCAGCGGAGTTATTCTGCGAATCATTGTATTACGAAATATAATAATTTATTTAAAAATTAGATAAAATTTTGTCGATTGGTCCGGAACTTCTGAGTAGATTTGTAGGTTGATACAATACAAATAAAATAACCAATCAGCAGTTATAATACTCAGCGTAAAGTCACTTATTACTCACATTACGAGTTGCAACAAAAATGCAAGTTTTAATATTTCCAAAACAATCAGAAATATTACCATATTATCTCAAAGTTAACTGGTTGCTGCTGAAAATTTCGTCTACTTTCGTTTTTCATCTCTACATAGGGTTATGGTCTGGAGAATAGACTGGCGAATATTATTATTTTCTATAAAATCGTTTACCAGATGAGCACTTCGGGAACGTTCGTTAGAATAAATGAGTCCACAAATCTGGCAAAGGACCTCTCTTTTTAAGATATGCGTGGGTGTACAGTTTAACAAGACGCCTGTCCCTGTTCAAACTTTCATACCTCCCATATCATAATAATAATGATAGATTTTTCGGAAATTGGAGGACAGATAGGCGATTCTTATAGGTCTTTCCACATCAATGCATAAGCCAAAGACACTCGCTACCTAAAATTTTAATATATATATATATATAAAAAAATTCATAAAACCAAGNTATATATTATAAATTTTAATGTCTAACTTTCTTAATTCATCTCCAATGCTATAATCCTGGAAATAAATCTATCTTGAAGGGGAAATCATGTATCTTGAAAAAAGTTTTTAAGCATATAAAACTATTTTTTAAGGTAAAGTTATAAGACGCCAACATATCTTACAAATATTTTTAAGGTATCTTGGAGCTCCAAAATTGAGCTCATCACGGTGTTATACTTTTAAACGTTTTATAATATTTCTCATCTGATGGACATGTTTCAGGTATCGATCTGAAGCCAGATTAGTGCGGTACATGAAAATCTTGGAAAACAAGGACATCTCTCTGGTGCATTCGATGATACCTCTAGTGAGTAGTTTATTCACTTATTTATTTAGTTGATGAGCAGATGTTGCTTCTAGTTTTCATCCATTCTACAATTAGCAGAATGTAGAGTGTTTAATAAAGAAAGATAGACAAAATTTTAAGGGGTGATAGCATACATCCAAGCAAACAACTTTCATCAGAGAATGAGCGGCTGGCACCGAAGGTGTTGCTAAACGAAGCAAAAACCCACAAACAATGGTTTTAAGTGACAAAAAGAAATTTATGAGGGCAATAAATGGTCAAACTAGTGACCGATAGTTGCTATGAACGCGATAGGACGGTGAGAAAGAATTGACGAACATACTGAAAGGCGTATCACGCATTATCTCTGGCAAAAATCTGACGAGAAGGTCTTCTACAGATTCAATGGGGTTTTCCTATACAAGAGCATTCAGTTTCCACAAAAATTATTCAAGGCATGAAAGATCTGGAGTGAATTGTGGCCAAATTACAACACCAAATTTCCAAATGCTCTTACATTTTTTCGATTTATTTTTGCCCTGCATTTTTTGGTGAAGTTTGTTTACCAAAGTTTCAAAAATCAATTTTGCGAATTTTTTTCTGCGAAATCAAAATTTTTTTGAGAGCACAGACTGATTTTGTTTAACTTCTCATCCCAGCTGGTGTAGGAAAATGAACAAAAATGTGTTCTTTAACTGTGATGTATTCTTTTGAATAGAATCTAAGCATTCGTCATAGAAATTATTAAAATTTGAAATTATTCTTAATGCCAGTAATGTAAGCTCGTGCACTTCATTAATTGACATAACTCTTTAATTTCCTTTGCAGGGATCTTGCACGATGAAGTTGAACAGCACCACCGAAATGATGGTTTGTGTTTCCACCTCTCTTTTTTTCATGATCTCGATGGATTTATTTCTTTAACATAGCGCTTTTCCTTCCAGCCATGCTCCTGGCCTAAACTAGTGAATATTCACCCTTTTGTTCCACTGAAGCAAGCCCAAGGTTATCAATACCTATTCAAAGACCTAGAGAGAGATTTGTGTGAAATCACCGGATATGACAGTATTTCATTCCAGCCTAATAGGTTAGATTTTCTCTTATCTTCATTTAATAAAAACTAATTACTTAATTAGCTGAAAAATTCTGTTTGGTTATTTGACGGCAAATCGAAGCTGACTCCTTCTCTGTTAAAATATCCAATGATCAACTTAATCAAAATAATCTCTTTCTTTTAATAAAATTCATAATTCTTTTATAAAAATTCTCTATTTTAAAACTGAAAATATTACTTTTATTTTTTAATAAAACAAATTTCTCACGTTTCAAAAGTTAACTTTAAAAGTCAACTATCTCATTTTTTTAAAAATAGTGTTAAACTATGTATAATTACAGAGGGTAACTAAACAGAAAAAGTTTCTAAAATGGTTTCACTATTTTATTATTATTATACATGAACTAAGATGAAATAAATTCTCGATTTTGCCCCGTTTCAAATATGCATTTGAAAAATGCCCTAATATTAAAAATAAACATAAACAAAATGAAGCGAAATATTCCAACTTGAGTTTTCCTGAGTTCACTTAAATATAAGCTTCATCTAGAGCTGAAAAAAACTGATCAGGGTTAAAATTATGTTTTTCGCAAAAATACACAGCGTAATAAAAGGTGTCTGGGTTTTCCTTTTCATCTTTGGTGGTTCGCAAATCTATTATATAATTTAATAAGCCTGTGTGTAACTTACTTGAGACTTTTAAAGAGAAAGAAGAAAAAATAATTTTTATTTCCCCCTTTCTTATTAATGTTTCTCTTTCTCTCCCTCTCTTCAGCGGTGCACAAGGAGAGTACGCTGGCCTGATGACCATCATGTCGTACCTTAAAGCAACTGGTCAAGAGAACAGAAAGGTAAAGCATCCAAAATTATTCTAATACCTTTTCGATAAAGATTCATCTTCACTTTAAAATACAAATGATGATATTCTGAGAATTTTGAAATTATTGACGCTGTCCATCTCATAGGATTTTATATGCATTAACTCGATTTCGGTTAGTTGAGTTTTCCTAAGAAAAAAATTCCAGGAATTTTCACAAATTAATTCCTACTATTGAAGCCATAAATCGGTCTTGGGAATTTAATATCACACCATACGTTGCAAATGTCGTTTGATGCAGATCATTTGAAAGCATGTTTTTAGTTTTTATCTTGAGTTTTGTTTTTCTTCTTTCAGCTAAAGTTAGATAGACTTACAAACTGATTGATAAACAGCGCAATTTATATTGCAAACAGTACAAATACAACAGTATGGCGAATTTTTAAGCTTAAGCGCAGAAATAAATCGAAGTAATAACGCAAAAGTCGTTATGAGTTTTAGGCATGGGAATTTCATGTCTTTTTGATGAGCGTGTCAGATCGATGATCCCTATGATGATTTTTATACAAGAAAAAAAAAACTAACTTAAATCAAAAGTTTAAAATAGTCATCTGAACTAAATATGCTTCAAATTTTTAATTTTCATTCCACTATTAAATCAATTAATGAAGAAAACTTTTTTTTTCTGATGATATAACCCTTGACTTTTTTTCCTCTCTTTTTTATAACTCACGATTTGAGATTAACTTATGAACACATGGGGACAGATTTTTTTTTCTTTTTTTTTTTGTAAATTTTGTTTTTACTGCTTAACAAAAAAAATTTAAACCGAACAAAAAACTGTTAAAATTTTATTATTTCCAGGAAGAAGAAAAAAAAATCTAATTCTGAAAAAAATATTATGGCACTTTTTATCCTTGAGTTACTGTTAACCATTTATTTGTGTTTCTAGGTGTGCCTTATTCCGGTGTCTGCCCACGGCACTAATCCAGCGAGTGCCCAAATGGCAGGAATGAATGTACAGCCAATCAATGTCATGCCTTCAGGTGACATCGACATCGGTCATCTCAAAGAAAAGGTCTGTCTATTTTTCTTCGACTTGCTGCGGCAACGTGAAATGCATCGTTAGAAAGTTTAAATTTTTGTCTAATATATTTTTAAAAAATGCCATAATAAAGAAAATGCTATCAAACTCTGACGATTCAATGAGAGAGAAGGCGAGGGGGGAAAACGTAAAACACTGCTTCATTGAAAGAGCAAAGTTGGAAGTTTTAGAAATTTAATAGTTGATAAATTTTCGAATAATTAAAAAAAAAGTACAAAATAACATTGTAAGCTAACTTGCATTATACAATTATTTCATATTTTCAAAAGCACGTTTAAACTTCTTTTAAAGAAAGGTTTTGAAAACATTTTCTTTTTAACCCTTCTAAAAAGAACCAATTTTTAAGAAAATAAATCTTTTAACCGCTTTGTTTTAATAAAACTTGAAAAAAATCTTTAAAAGGCAAACATGTACTTTTATAAGCACCCTATATTTAATTACTTAAAGTAAAAATGGCGTTTTATCAGTCATTAACTTTGCAAATACAGTATATTTCTCAAAATATCATGTTTAAATGCAAATAATAGGCTGCAATGCCAAAAAATTTTTCCTCTTTGTCATGTCCGCAACTTTTAAATTAAACTTTCTCACATTTTATGCAATTTAAAAAATTTGCATCATAATTTTCTTAAAAAAACTAATGCAATATACATCAAATACATTTGTTGACCTTTAATTTGATATGGGGCTTATTAAATTTATAAGAAGAAAAAAATTTTAAGCATGCTAGGTTAAAAATAGTTTGGAATCACTCTCAATTCGAATAAAAGTCATCCAACTCCCTCTTTATCGAAGTGGGCTATGATTGTGGCGAATCTCCGATAATACTAATTAATTTTATTAATACTTTCCCCTATTTACCGTCACGTATTAAGGTGTCAAAATTATTTAATGCTTTTCACTTCCAGCTTGAAGAATTCAAAGACAGAGTTGGATGTATGATGATTACTTATCCATCTACAAATGGAATATTTGAAGAAGGCATAAGGTGACTCTTTTCTATATTTACCCTCCATTAAACTTTCTAGTTTTCATTTCCTTATTATATGTATTATAATTTTACTTTAATATATATTATTATGATTTGAAATATTATGAATTATTCTGGATATTTTACAGATTAGAAATATAATTTTTACAAAGTATTGATTATAAAAAGGATACTTTTATAAAAATCACACCAATACCATAACTATTATATTAAGAACTTTGCGTTTCATTTCCTTTTACAGAGATCTGTAAAAAAGACAAAACCTTTTCTCGTGATCTGAACTTACTTAACTTGACAAATTAATTTCATCATGATTTATGGATTGCATAAGTTAATGCAATTAAATTAATTATTTTAAGTAATGCAATTATAAGTTAATGCAATTAAACTATTTATAATTAATAATTAAAATGCACCCTCTTAGAATTGTTTTTAGTAACTGATCTTTATGACGATTCCTTGCAACTAAATTGTAAAATTAGTTGCCAATTAAAAAAATGTATTATTGAGATTGGCTGTTATTCTTTATTTTTGAATTATTAATTTAAATTTTTCATGCAAATCAATTATAACTTGAATCAACCAATCAGCATTCGAAGCATTATTTTTATTATTTTACTTTCATTTTATTTATTCAGCAAATATGAGGGTTACATTCCATCATGATTTCTATTTATAATAATAAGGATGAACTTTTTTTTTTGTTTCTCATTTTATACATTCAAGTTTTTTTACAAGACCATTTCAATTCTTTTAGCTGTAATAAGCAAAAAACATTTTAAAACTCACCGAATTTTTTTACTTGAAAAAAATTAACAGCCTTAACTAAAAGACATACATAAAATACTATACGACCTAGTTAGAGCTGTGTTGGCTCAGGGGATAGAGCGTTCACCTTCAAAAGAGATGAACCGCTTTTGAATCCCAACGATGGTTGGTGGATACGCATTCCGCACCCGGCTCGCACTAACAGCAATACTGACGAAAAATATCCTCAATGGTAGACGGATCAAGGGTTGGAGTCCCTTGCCGTCAAACAAACTGTGGGAGTTGGTCGCGTTTTCTTCTCCATGTAACGCAAATGCGGGTTAGTTCCTTTAAAAAGTCTTCCACGAAAGCAAATTTCTCCCAATACTTGATCCAGGAGTTCCCTTGTCTTCTGGATTGGGTTCAAAATTACAAGACTACGAAGTTGAATATTAGTAGTCGTAAACCCAAAAATTGGGTCGGCTGTTAAACGACTGATATAATATCACCCCCTAGCGTATGTACCACGAGTTTTGAAACATCCAGTAAAATGCATCTGCCGACGTAAGCTTTACAACAAACAGTTAATCTCTAAAGTAAATGATCTTATATAGTAAAGTGGCCGTAGTATGACGTTATATATAATATGTTCAGAAAATAAATGGTATCAATATTCAACTCTTTCAAAAACGAAAAAAAAATTTTGAGACAAATTTTAATGTATTAAAATAGTAATCATTCTAAGAACCACATATACACTTATTTTCTTTAAAATTGCAACACTTATGAGGCGAAATGTTAAATCGTGCCAGTTTCAATGTCTAACACTAAATGTGTGCACATTGAATGCTTCTTCTCTAGTATTTCGATTTCCTTTTCAAAAAAGAGAATCACTGTGATTTGGTATTGACTGATATGTAAGCTGTCGCGCATATTTTTATGTAATACAATACAAAATGAGAATATACTGTTTCTTTTAACCTCCTAAATAAAATACTGAAATGTTTGTCACTTATTAAAAGTCCTTTAAAAAGTTGTTTTTTCAATTTTTTTTAACGGAATTGTTTTAATGAATTATTTTTCTTGTGTGCGTAGGGAGATTTGCGATCTGGTGCACTCATATGGAGGTCAAATCTATTTGGATGGGGCGAACATGAATGCTCAGGTTGGCCTTTGTCGTCCGGGTGATTACGGTTCTGACGTCTCTCACATTAACCTCCACAAGACATTTTGCATTCCACATGGGGGAGGAGGACCTGGAGTCGGACCCATCGGAGTGTGAGTCATGACCTTACTTGTTGAATCACCTAAGTTTCAAGTATTCATATATTGTTTTTATTTATTTATTTTGTTAATTCTGGGTAGGTAGGTAGGCAGGTAGGTATTTTATTTACATCGCACTAGAGCTGAACAATGGGCTATTGGCGACGGTCTGAGAAACATCCCCGAAGATGATCAGAAGACATGTCATCGCAATTTTGATCCTCTGCAGCGGGGATGACTCCTCCGATTTTCTGCAAAATATAATTAATAGTTAACCATAGATTAATTCCCACTTATATTTACAAAAAAATTAATAATAATAATAATAATTTTTTTATTACTNTTTCCGCTGACGCCCAGATAAGGCGCTAGTTCTAAGAAACCAGGCCTTGAGCTAACAAACCAGTATTTTGTTGGCGTCAGCGGGACGTTGACGTCACGCTGACGCCCAGATAAGGCGCTTGTCCTAAGAAACCAGACCTTTAGAATTGCTTTTTAGTAACTGATCTTTATGACGATTCCTTGCAACTAAAATTGTAAAACAATTTACCAAAAAAATTTTTTTTTATCGTGATTGGCTGGTATTCCTTATTTTTTAATTATAAATTTTAATTTTTCCATCAAATAAATTATGACTTGAATCAACCAATCAGCATTCGAAGCATTATTTTTATTATTTTATTTTCATCTTATTTATTCAGCAAATATGAGGGTTACATTCTATAATGATTTATATTTATAATAATAAGGATGAACTTTTTTTTTTATTTCTCATTTTATAGATTCACGTTTTTTTACAAGACCATTTAAATTTTTTAGCTGTAATAAGCAAAAAACATTTTAAAACTCACCGAATTTTTTTACTTAAATAACATTAACGATCTTAACTAAAAGACATAACTTTAAATACTATATGACTTAGTAAGAGCTGTGATGGCTCAAGGGATAGAGCGTTCCAAAATGATGAACCGCGTTCGAATCCCAGCGATGGTTGGTGGATACGCATTCAGCACCCGGGTCGCACCGACCACAATACTGACGAAAAATATCCTCAATGGTAGACGGATCAAGACCTAGAGTCCCTTGCCATCAGACTAACTGTGGGAGTTTGTTGCGGTTTTTTCTCTCCATGTAACGCAAATGCGGGTTCGCTCCTTTAAAAAGTCCTCCGCGAAGGCGAATTTCCCCCCAATACTTGATCTAGGAGTTCCCTTGTCTTCTGGATTGGGTTCAAAAATTACAAGACTACGGAGTTGAATATTAGTAGTCGTAAACCCAAAAATCGGGTCGGCTGTTAAACGACTATTATAATATCATCCCCTAGCGTATGCACCATGAGTTTTGAAACATCCAGTATAATGTATCCACCGACTAAGTTTTACAACAAACAGTTAGTCACTAAAGTAAATGCTCTTATATTGTAAAGTGGCCTTAGTATGACATTATATATAATATGTTCAGAAAATAAATGGTATCAATATTCAACTCTTTTAAAAACGAAAAAAATTTTGTGAGACAAATTTTAATGTATTAAAATAGTAACCATTCTAAGAACCCAACATACAATTATTTTCCTTTAAACTGCAACACTTATGAGGCGAAATGTTAAATCGTGCCAGTTTTAATGTCTAACACTGAATGTGTGCACATTGAATGTTTCTTTTCTGGTATTTCGACAAATCAATTTTGATTTCCTTTTCTTTTCTGATTCTTTTAACCTCCAAAATAAAATACTGAAATGTCTGTCTATTATGAAAAGTGTTTTAAAAAGTTTTTTTTAGGGGAATTGTTTTAACGAATTGTTTTTCTTGTGTGCGTAGGGAGATTTGCGATCTGGTGCACTCATACGGAGGTCAAATATATTTGGATGGGGCGAACATGAATGCCCAGGTTGGCCTGTGTCGTCCAGGTGACTACGGTTCTGATGTCTCTCACATTAACCTCCATAAGACATTTTGCATTCCACATGGGGGAGGAGGACCTGGAGTCGGACCCATTGGAGTGTGAGTCATAACCTTTCTTTTTGAATCACCTAAATTTCAAGCATTCATATGTCGTTTTTATTTATTTATTTTGATAATTCTGAGTAGGTAGGCAGGTAGGTATTTTATTTACGTCGCACTAGAGCTGAACAATAGGCAATTGGCGACGGTCTAGGAAACATCCCCGAAGATGATCAGAAGACATGCCATCACAATTTTGATCCTCTGCAGAGGGGATGACTCCTCTGTTTTTTGTAAAATATAATGAATAGTTAACCATAGATTAATTCCCACTTATATTTACAAAAAAATTCATAATAATAATAATAATTTTTAAATTACTTTTAAATAAAATTGTAAAATTTTTTCCCCTTAAGTGATAATAACACGCCTTCTTTCAGGAGAAGAGAACTCAATCATCATTATATCCTTTTCCGGAGCTCATACCTACTTTTTTTCACAACAACCTCTTTTTTAATTGAATGACTTGTCATTCTTCCTGACTGAATGGCTATTATGCGAACATTTGACTAGGTATAGCTGAGGAATTCACTTATGTGAATACTTACAAGAAAAAAAATTCAGCAAAGAATCATGAAAAAGCATCGAACTATTACTAAATATCACAAAAAGAGCCGTGGTGGCTCTGGGGACAGAGAGTTCGCCTTTTAATGAAGTAAACCGGGTGCGAATCCCCGCAATGGCTGGTCGTAATGAATTCCGCACCCGGCTTGCACCGACCACAGTACTAACGTAAAATATCCACATTGGTAGACGGGTCATGGATTAGAGTCCCTTTGCCGTCAGGCTAACCGTGGGAGGTTTTCGAATTTCCTCACCATGTAACGCAAATGCGGGTTAGTCCCATCAAAAAGTCCTCGACGAAGGCAAATTTCTCCAAATATTTGATCCAGAAATTCCCTTGTCTTCTGTATTGGGTTCAAAATTACAAGGCTACGGAGTTGATTACCAACTGTCGTAAACCCAAAAATTGGGTCGGCTGTTCAACGACGGTTATAAAACAAAAAATAAAATGTCACAAAAAAAAGAGAATTTTTCAATCCTTATATTTTACTTTTGCTATTATTTTATGCTGTCTATCCTTTTCAAATGTGCTGGTGAGTGCCTTCAACAGTTCAGACACTATAAAATGTTCTTTTTTTTTCAGAAAGGCTCACCTGGCACCCTTTTTGCCATCCCATCCAATCATCGATCCGTTGGAAGGATCTACCACCAAATCATTCGGAGTGGTGAGCGCCGCACCCTGGGGTTCTTCTGCCATTCTTCCCATTTCATGGGCCTACATAAAAATGATGGGACCCAGAGGACTGAAGAAGGCCACAGAAGTCGCCATCCTCAATGCCAACTACATGTGTAAGAAGCTACAGGACCACTACAGCATTCTGTTCCACGGGAAGAATGGTATTTTTTATTATTGTTTGAAACGTTGTTTGTTCAACCCTCCCTATTCACCTAAACTAGAATGCTTATAGTAATTACAAATAGAATGCCATGTATAAAGGAGTAGTTCAAAAAAAAAACTGATGGTACTGTACTTTGTATATAACACGCATCGTCAGATACTAATTTGTGTCCTATTTGCACTGGTATTGATGGAATGCTCTGTTTCATCTGCATCATATTACATGCTATCCTTTTGATAGATTCAACACTACACTCATTGGAAAAGTAAATTTTATTATTATCATTACTACAAAATGGCAAATATTAATATCTTCACATAGATTGAGTTGTAATAAAATCTATAGTTTTTCATGTTGAAGTCATATAAATAAGTCCAAGTGAGAAAAATGCTGCTTAATCGTTTTTGCGATGGCATCGTGATTCAACTATCAATGGCAGTTTCTACCATTGTGGAAACTCCTAAAGATGGAGTAGATATCCACCGTTTTTAAGAGGCTCAAAATATTTTTTTAAACACTCACTTCTACTTTCAATTCCTCTGCACGCGAATAATTTTTCTTACTAATGTAGCTTGAAAAATATTTATGTTAAGCAAATCATTGTTATTTTTCAGATCAATTCAAATATACTGTAGCGTTTGATGTCACTTTACTTAAATATTTCCTAAGTTATCTCGCCAATCACATGCAAATAATAATAATATTAATAAAGTTGCATTACAGAAAGCAGATAGCGAGTGCATGGGGGATCAAGCCTCGTGTCAAACAGACTTTAATTTCGTATTCATGCTATGTAATTAGCGAAGGACATATAAAACCACTACTTACATAAAAAATTGAGAAAGCATCAGTTTTGAACCAGCAATCAGAGGTGCTATCCGAATGACAAGGCGTGATCTGTTCAATTTATGTCGTAGCAAAAGCAAAGCTAAGCATTAATTAAGCTTATATTGATACCCCAGCTTTATATCAAATCTACACAAAAATTTGTTCTAAAGAGCCGCTTGTTTCGCACACATACAAGCTTGTTTGGTACATATTAAAGTTCTATTATTATATTTGATACCATCTCCTTGTCCGTCACCATTTGTCACACACATACAATATTTCCAACTCTTTCAACTTTTTTAAAAATTTAATTTTCTTCAACTTTTTTTAATTTTATCAACTTTTTTCAAATAAATTTTTTTCAAAATTTTTTTACAAAATTTTTATAATTCAATTTTTTTTAATAACCACTTTATTTCATGATTGTTATGTCGAAAGCTATCATGTCTTTCGAACATTTTAATGATCCAAGAGCAAAAGTTATTTTTATTTTTTAAAAATGTTGATATTTATCAAAAGACCCTTGAAAATGACCCTTCTCTTCAAGAGTTTTAAATTCATTACAGATTTCATAATACAGGAATGGATACCAAAATATAGAAGCACTTAAAAAGTAAGATAAACTTGCAAAACCGTTTTTTTTTCCTTCTTTTTTTTAAAAATCTTGCTGCGAACGTACATGTAAGGAAAGACTGTTAGTTGACGTAATTCATACGATTCATCTATTTATTCAAGAGATGATTTGAATCCATAAGAAATATTTTATCAGATTAAAGAAGAAGAAGAAGAAGAAGGAAAGAAAACTTCTAACTTAAAAACTCTTCCTTCGATACCATAAAGTATAGATTGTGCACAACACCTCTCCTATCCCTCCCTCCTACATACCATAGTTACAGTGAAATTAATATCTGTCACACTTTCAACAAATAACTTATTTTGAAAAAGGTATTCGTATTTTCAAATGATATTTACCTTGATTGTTTTTAATTTGCTTTGTACAGTAAATCACTTCCAAAATTGAAAAAAAAAATTTTTTTTTTCCTCAATTGCCTTTAAAGAACACAGAATTTCATCTTTCCTATAGTAAAATATTCCCTTGGCTATTTTTCATCTTATACCACAGATTTCGCTTTTACGTAGTACTATGAGTATTATTTAATCTAAATATAAGATAATTGTTATTCGTATCTGTATCAGTACTTAAGAATAACGTATTTACGCATTCAATATTTGCATTTCAGGAACCGTGGCACACGAGTTCATTATTGATGTCAGAGATTTGAAGAAGACGGCCAACGTCGAAGCTATGGACATAGCCAAGAGACTGCAAGACTACGGTAAGATATACTACTTCGCACCCTCTTCTTAGCACAGGCAATTAATTATAATAATAACAAAAAGGCTAACTAAACTGATGTATATAGGAGGCAAAAAATTATCATATTTTTTCTCCATATAATTTAAATATAGCTCTTCAAAAGATATAATTCATTGTAACCAACATTGCCTACATTCTTAAAAGATGTAATGAAAGAGTTTTTTGCTGAGATATGGTCTGTACTAACTAATTAGCATGTTTGAGGTTATCTTCTGAAACTAGTCCTAGATCGTAAATAAAACGTTTTTTTTATTAGTTTTTTTTTATTATTTCCAATGGCAAGGCAAAATGGTACAAATAGAAAGATGAAATAAATAACGAATACAAATGTACGTAGGATAACAAAGAAAGAAGATCGAAGTCATTGCCTTAAAAGTTCTCTTGCTTCCCAATATCTTGAGGACTCAGTGTGTCCACTAAGGGCCCCACATAGAAGTAGGTGGTGCTTGCCCAATTTCTCTCCAGATTTACAAAGTGGACAAAAAGGCGTGGTGGAAAGGCCTATGCGGTATAAGTGAGCAGAAAGACAATCGTGGCCTGTATATAAGCGGAAGGCAGCAACTGCATCACGTCTTGGTTTATCGGGAATTTAAGAAGAGCTTATATTTCTCCAACTTTTCAAAGCTGTGCGAGTCTGAAGATCTCGCAATGAGTTGATTTTAAATAAATTTTTAATATAGAGATTGATTGTTGGACCTGGAGTTTCTTGGGCTGTGATAATCCGCCCGCATTCCACAGTAAGATCTCAAGTTTCATAGTAAGTGATTGCCGAAGGCTGTAGATCATTTAGCCGCAGATCGTTGCCCGGAGTTCACCACGAGGACGTAGATCTACGTTGCACTCCATAAAAAGTTATTCAAAGTGTTTTATTGTTTTTAATGCGCGCTGTACATTCTAATATTTACACTCTTCAATACCTTCTTTGCCCATAATGCTTTTGTTATTTTGTTCATTTATAAATGTAGTTCTCTATGTGCAGGTTTTCATGCTCCCACCGTGTCTTGGCCCGTGGCAGGATCCCTAATGATTGAACCCACAGAATCAGAAGACAAGGACGAACTGGACAGGTTTTGCCAAGCCATGATAAGTAATGCTATTTCACTTATGCATAACTAAATTTTTAAGAAAAAAATTTAAACATGTGATAAGTTTTAAAAAAACATAAGAAACGTCATTTTGAAAGAAATAAAAATTAAAACTCAGCTATTGACGAAAATGTAAATTGCATATTTACAAATAAATTAATAATTATTCCTCGATATGGGGAAGAAATCTAATCATTTATAAGTATTATAATATAATTGAGCGATTTGAAGAAAACTGATGTTTTGGCCATTCATATTTTGCGCTGCGTGATTTATTGTTTGTTCATTAATCTCTTTAATATACTCCCACTCCCTAAGAAAAGGGTTCAGAGAATAAAGGACCGGGACCTCTTAACGTTATGGATATCAAGGACTCGAAGCAACATGATCAAATAACGATGTAGATGTAAACTCAGCCGAACTCAAAAAGCTGGAAACATTATTTGGAAATGTGCTGTGAAATACCTACCTAGCTACCGAATTGGAATGAAAAAAGAAACCTTCCCCATCAGAAGACATAAGGTTTTAACATGTCAAAAATTGTAACCACAGTCAAGAACTTGAGTATTAGACATTGATTTAAATATGAGGAAATATTGTTCACCCGATTATTTGCCAACAAATAAAGGTCGATAAATTATTTTAAGGCGATAGGACTACAAAACTGAAATTATATTCTGAATGGCAGAAGCGTGTACCTTCTTCTTTTGTTGAGAGGTTCCAATGTGGATTTATAACTAACTAGCTGAATACTCGTTCTTCGTTCGGAGTGATCAGTACTGAACAACACTATGAAATCATGCAGAAAGGCAAATACCGACACATTTGAGGAGCTTAGTGGAAGAATAAGTTAAGTGACATTTTAGGGGTATTTATCAATCAGCGAAAATAACGCAAATTGGTTGCATCAATATGGGTCTGTTTAATGTAACAGAATTGTTTTTGTTGTCACTTTAATCTTAACAAAACCAATCCGCATTAGATATTAATATACTTGCATGATTTTAGTGTACTTGTATGCAGAAAAGCTACCCTCCCTGAAATGCGCTATTCTCGTTTCCATAGCAGCAGACGGCCTCTAACTTTGTGACGGGGGGAGTTCTTACCGTAGACAAACTATAGATTCGTGTTGTGTACAGGCAAGGGAGGAAAGCTTCAGAAGCGTTAAAATTAGCGAAATAGTTGATCATTTTTCGACATCACTTTGCTAGATTATTTTAGAATTCCGATTTTTTAAGATGTACAAAATTGTTTACAATTTTTGTAAAAAAAAAGAACATTTTTGAATATTTTCAAATGCGGTATCTTTCGATAACAACCTACGGTTTTTTAAAGGTTAAAAAAAGGTTTAAATTTTAAAATGTCTCGCATCATATACACTAGCAAAACAAATGTCCATATTTATAATTGAAGTTAAAAATCAATTATCGTATTTAACTTCAAGATTTTTAAAATTTAAAAAAAAACTTCGTTACCAATTAATTAATTATACGTTACCTTTTTAAAATTTATTTAATAATAATTCCATCTAATAATGTTTTAGCTATTCTAAAATAGAAACTACAATTAATTCAAATTTTGTTTTATTTCCTTAAAGTTATTAAATATTCGGTAATTATCCCTGTGGTACATAATTATAAAGTATGCATCACATTTTAGAATTTATTTTTGGGAGTTTTTTAGTTTGAAAAAAAAAGCGCGTTTAAATTTTAATCCAACACAGCAAACGATATTATAATATCTTGTAAAATCATATATATTTTTCCAGGTACTGGAATTTTTTTTTTTTCAGTATTTGCTAGAAAAGATCTAAGAATAACAATTGCTTTCCTATTTTCAACTTACCGACTTTGTTTTAACTTTACACTTGCTACGACAGGGGCTTAACTTTGGAAAAGTGTTCTCGATTTGTTTTTCACGTATTAACGGCATTTAAAGGTCTGATAATTTCAAATGAAAAAGGCTAGATAATTTTACTAAAGAACTAATAAAGTGCTAAAAATCTTTGCTCTAAAAATTATCTTTCAGAACCACTCTTCTCTGTGCGCAAATGTATATTATGAGCAAAAATAACCCAACGCAAGCTACTGAAATTATAAGAATGTATAGAAGAATTCTTTTCTTTTGAGAATATTATGCAGGGTAAAAATGTACAACGTAAATAAGTGAAGAAGGTAAGAAGTAACAATGTCGCCAAAATTTCACCTACTAGTACTTTAGCAGTAAAATTAAAGTAATTATCTTAATAATAAATAATTCTATATAATCATTACTTTATGGTTAAATTGTGTTCATAATCGTTCAGATTTACATGTAAGATAGATTTAAAAGCATAAATTTGGATTCTGAAATAAATAAAATGGAATAGGCGGGATAAATAAAGAGAAACATAACATTCTAAAAGTTTTCATAAGTAATAAATAAAACAATTGTAATCCCAAAAAGTGATAATTTAACTTACCTATGAAATGTATAGGTTCGTTATTGAAAAAAAAAGTTTCCGCAACCAAATGAGGAGCAATAAATCGCCATATTTAGCAATTTCCGGTTTTAAAATTTCAGCATGGAATTTCTTCCATTGAAATAATGCAAGAGAAACGGAGGTTACGTGGTTTCATTATGAAGCGAAAAACAATCGTCATGTGTGCTTTATCTAGTCCAGGGGTTTCCAACTTACATGAGGCCGGGGGCCGTAATTAAAAACACCAGTCAAATGGCGGGCCGCAACCTTATCAAAATTTTATATAGGCCTGTTTTATGCTTGAAGGAACATTAAATATTACTGTCAGATTTTTATCAAGTTGTACAAAACGAAAGTATTGAATTACAAATCAAAATACGAAGTAGAATTTTACCTGAGAAATAAATTTTTTGCGCCGTTGGCATGTCGCTTCGTTTCGTGGTACGTTGCTTCGTTTCACAGAAACGAAGAAATTAGGCTTTTTTAACGAAAGAAAAGTATTTTAAACCCATATAGACTTTGTAGCCATATTTAAACCATATAGATAAATTGTCCTCAAAAAATAATAACTAATATTAGTTCGCGGGCCACAAAAAAAGGCTTCGCGGGCCGGACGTGGTCCCCGGGCCGCCAGTTGGAAACCACTGATCTAGTCTATGGGAAGGAGGGCCGAATTTTTTTTTTCGGAAGTGTTTTACGTTTCTCTGGTCTGGATGAAAATAATAAAGTTTTTCATATATGCATGCGTCTTGAGTTATGTATGTTTTTTTTTTTAATTTTAATTATTTCTTTTTTCTAAAAGTGTTATAACTTCTCCATTGTATTTCGAAACTCTATTTATTTTCTATTCATGTTTAAAACAGATATCAGAGAAGAAATTCGAGAAATTGAAATTGGGAAGGCTGATACTGAAATGAACGTCTTAAAGGTGAGACTTTTTCAATAATTTGATTTTTTTTATCATTGTTTTAAAACGCACAGTGCAGATTAAAAGGGGACTACGCTATTGGGGCCATATTTCCAGGTCTCCAAACCTTTTTAGAGCCCACTAAAAAAGTCCCTTAAAATTTATGAATATATATAACTGATTTTTGTTATTTTCTAAAACATTCTAAAACATTATTTTTCAGTAAAGGCTTATTTTCGAAAATATTTCAACTAGGGATGGATACATAAAAGATATTCTATAGTGAACGAGTTCTTCAACAAATCATAAACTATATTTCTAGCAGAACAAATGTAACACAAATAAAAACATCATTTAAAAAATGGAGCTGTATCAATACTGTGCACACACTAGCCTCATTATTAATGTCAAAAGTTTGTCATACAAGACAATAAAGTAAAGGAAAAAGATTTCCAATGTTTCTTGAAATTCAACCAGATTGTAACTACTAGCTTTATGCCGGTAGTATTTATCGATTCATCTGTAATTAACAGTCAGGTTGAATTAGAGTTTGGATTAAATGGGTCATGTAATTTAATTCTTAAAAATGTGCAGTTTGTAAGAGCCAGAATCAAATTTAATGATAATGGGATGAAAAGTCGCCTTTTGTAGTAATGTTGTGTTTCATTAATCCATTTGTGCCCGGCATCCTTTTAAAAGGACAGATGCTTTTTTAATATAAGTGGTAATAATAAGAGGTTTATTGGTATGATTAATTTTGCAAAAAGATAAGGTAACTCGGCCTACCATAATATGTGTAAACGTTTGTTGTTCGATCTGATGTAAGGCACATTACTTTTTTAAACTTAATATGGTAAGTAACAGAAATAATTATCCACTTGGTATAAATTAATATGTACTACCATTTTTTTCAGATAGTAGTTTTTCATATATGGATCGGTGCATGGCAGGGATGCCACAAGCGACTAAAAGTGTAAAAAGTGGTAGAAATTCAATTCACTTTTATTTATTTATTATATTTTTAATTAGTCAATAGTAAACTACCATTAGAACTTATTCATTCAAATTATTCAAAGCAAAATCATCCTTTGCGTTCACTTTCAAAAGTAATCTCATTAAAAATATGCTATAAAAAGTTCCTAATTTTAATCTCTTTTAATAAAATTTTTAATTTTATTAGTCGCCACTTTATTGCATTTTTAGTCGCCCGTGGCAACCCTGACTTGGACATAAATGGATTAACACCTAGACCACTGGCACTTGCAGATCCCTAGTCAAATGTATCGACAAAAATACACGTTAACAGGAAGAAATAAGGCTGAAGTACATAAACCGTATTAAATCCGGTCACCCCAGGCTCTTCCCTGGGACTGCTCGCTACATCGTTTTAAATTAGTTGAATGTCTTGAAGGTTAAAGTGATGTCCTTTTTTATATTATTACCGGCTTTGAACTGCCCACCCAATTCTGAGCTTATGGCTATAAATATTCAACTCCGTACCCTTGTAATTTTGAACCCAGTCCAGAAGACAAGGGAACTACTGGATTAAGCAATAAGAACAACTACCTTTCGAGAAGGACTTTTTTGATGGAACTAACCCACATTCGCGTTATATGGAGAGGGAAACCATGAAAACTTCCCACGGTTAGCCCGACGACAAGAAGATTTGAACCCTTCACCCGTCTACACCTGAGAATATTTTACGTCAGCACTGTGGCCGGTGCAGGCCGGGAGCAGAATTCGCATCAACCAGCTATAGCTGAGATTCGAACCTGGGAAACCTGATGCTTGTCACCTCCAGCACTTTGAAAGAGGTAAAGTACGAAAATTATCTGAAAAGTCTTTCTTTCTTTTATTTTTTAGATGGCGCCTCATACGCAAAAGGTCATCTGCTCCACTGAATGGACTCGACCCTATACAAGAGAACAGGCTGCATTCCCTGCGGTATACTCTACTCTCTCTCTCTCTCTCTCTATACATACATATATATATATATGTANTATATATATATATATGTGTGTGTATATATTGAAAAAAAGTTCTTGACGGCACAGCGGCACCCTGTAAAAATGTCATTTTCTATTAAACTAATATTTTGAAAGTTGCATTCAAAAAAAAAATTATAATAATAATAATGTTTAGACTCCATACCCAAGCGACTAAGTTTGAAAAAATCATGATTTTTCTCCCCCAAAAAAGGGAATTTGAGCTGTAGAAACACAAATGTGAGCTTATTTTATAAATAAAGGCTTTCAGTTGAAACTATTATTCTTGAAACGTCAGACGAACAGATCAAAGAATAAAATGTGTTTTTCCATCAGAGACGAAATTGATGTTTTAAGAGGAAAGGAAAATTCTGCATGCATGTTAGCATCATGCAATCATGAATTGGTTGAAGTAAGAAGCTATGAATAATAATTTTTTTTAAAACAATCTAGACATAAAGTATCAAATTGAAAAGGAGAAAAAATTATGAAGGGGCAAAAAAGACTTTATTTCAGATAATTCAATCATCGATACAAAACATAGAACCATTAGCTATATTACATATAAACTTAGAAGAACTTAGAATATAAAAAAATAGAATCAAGAAGTTTAAGAGTAGCAATTATTCTCGTTTCCTAATTATATTCTTCTCACATTTTTTGTTCATCTATTGACAATAGTTTTAAAGGCATTTTAATTTTTTTTTCTCAATTTTCAAAAAAAAAAGCAATTAATTAAGAATTTAAGTACCACAAGTAGATTTAAAAGCTTTGTTAACACTACTATTCGAAACAAATATCTTTAGACAATCAAGATAAATTCCATTTTTACGTTTTTGGCTGATCCATTCATGATAAATTTTAAATTTTACTCATTTTTTTTTCACGATATTTTTCACTGAAGATATTCGCTAATTAAGCTAGACAAGAAGACATAGTAATGTAACCCTTTCTCAAAATTACAACTACAGATATTATTACTGCACTTTGTCTTAATATGGAAACAACATTTTTTTCAAATAAAAAAGATTACTTTTTGAAGTAATAAAGGGATTATTAATAAATCATACTAATTTATTTCATTTAAATTAATCCCATATAACTTTTTTAATCATCCTAAACCCAAGTGCCAGGGTTTCAAAAAGATCCATTTTGGAAAGAGATAATATGCTCGAAAAATCAATTTAATCTGACTTCATTCACATCTTTCTGTCAATCTCTTTACCCATATATAGTAACAAAATCTTAAATATTTATATTTTACTTGAACCATTTTACCGTAGTAACAAAATGTACAACACTCTTTAAAAAAATTGATTTTACTGAGAGGATTACAAAAAAACACTTAGTCTAGTCACTTTACAAACAAATTTCTATTATAAAAGATAAAGTTCAAAGCATTATCTACAAATCGAGTTCAGATTTGTGTTTCTACCATCACCCGTTCGGATTTATAGCAAAAAATGCGCAATTTATGGAGAAATATCAGTTTTATTTTTCAAACTTTGTCAATCAGGGGCGGAGTCTAAATCTTATTTCATTGAGCTAACTTTTTAAAAATTAATTTTATACCAAATGGCACCTTTTAAGGATGTGCCGTGGAAGTTTCGTAGAAATGTTTTCCCCCATGTTAAAAAACCTCACCTTAATACACACTTGTGTATACATCTTCATAACTCGAGAGGCTAAAATATGCTTAATAATTATTAATTAAATGATGAAATTTGTCACAAAAGCAAAACATTTAAATTCTCTAAATTCTAGTTTAGATGCGAACATATTTAATTATTTGCATATTATGTGGCAACTCTAATGCTGATTATGGGAATACAAAAGCTTATAAAATTCATTGTTCACTTATGTTATACCTAATTTATAATTAAAGGGGACTTTTAAACCTATTTATCAATTTTTATTTCAAATTAAATTTAATTATTTTATTTTTTGTTATATTTTTGAATCTCAGTGTATGATATTTTTAACTTTACTTCATTTGCAATTTTGATGCTTTTTTCAATAAATTGGATCACTGATTTGTTATAAATCGCATTAGTCTATTTAAAAAATGTTGTTTTGATATTTTCTCGAATAAAACTCGACTTTTTTTTAAAAGCATTACACTAGTCTCCGTAAATGAAACTCGTATGTTATAATAAGTAATAATTTTCCATCAAGTATTATAATGAATTAGATATTTATTTTTAAAATTCGATTAATTATTTAAGATTTGAATTTTTAATACACAACTTGTTTTTTCATTTCAAATACAGCTGATTTTAAATTATTTAATTTTATAAAAACACATTTTAAAAGCATAACTATAAATAACATGTAACACAACAAAATAAACACGTAGTTTCAGGTAATTTTAGAACGATCATACTAATTTGGTGACGTAGTCCACGCATGCTACCACATTCATATTGATCAATTAATTTATATGACATAATAATAATAATAATAAATGATATAAGAATAAATGATATAAGAATAAATAATTAAAAAATGTGCAATAAACTCTTTTAAATAACGAAAGCTGTAAGTTAGCAAACATCAATGATACTGTCTTTAAAACATTTGAAAAAGAGAACCGTCTGTTGTAATCGTTTCACTACTATGTGACTAATTGACAGAATTGACTAAACAGTCAATAACTCAAATTTTTGTTTAATATATTATGAGCTTTGCGTGAAACTATGTCGAGTCAACAAATGAAAATAAAATTATGAATACAAAATTGTAAAACAATGATCGAGAATTAACGTTTTGCACTATTACTAAATAATCTCTTTGATGAAAAACATGCAATTAATATTAATAGAAACCAAATGTTAAATATGAATGCTGAAGAACAAATTCGTAGATGAAGTTGCCATGGTAACCAAGCAAAAGGATTAGGTTTGAATTTTAACCCAAAAGAATTAACTAAATCCATGAAACCAAAGCTGTTTAACAACAAAACGCAAAACAAAATATATAACGTTAAGTTGAACACCCAAGACAACGGAGCTTACAGAGAGCAGGAGAATGAGACTCACGTGCATCGGATAAATTCAATGATTGACATTCTGAAAATTTATTCGGTAAAGTTACATAAAATTAAAGAATTTACTATACCTGCCATTACCAAATGGGCTTATGTAAATGTTCCAGAATCTATTAACAAATTATAAAAATGATGAAAACATACATATGCTTCTATTTAGCAGTTAGGCGAGTGAAACTATCGCTGTTATATGTTAAAATATGCATAGGAACATCATTGTATCTAAATTAAATCATTTATCATAACAAACGACAAAAGATAAAAAATACAAAACATTTTCTTGTAACATTTAGCTTCAAAAAAAGAACCATCGTTTTTAGCATAATATCAGTGGTGATAATCATCATGTGCCTTTTTACTTGCACATACAAAACCACATTATTTAAAAAAATAAATAAATAAAATATTTAAAAAAAACTGCGTTTCATGACATCTACAAAACCAATATTCTAATTATTTAACAAGAACACATTTCTAAGTTGTAAGCATAAATCGTGGCAGAAAAGAATGTCAGACATCTTGGAAAATATTCTAGTAAAGATGCATTTAACAAATTTTCATATCGTTTGATTCTCCAAACCTTTCGCTTTACGAAACGTTGAAAACCATTCGGAAATTTTTAGTACCTTGTATTGTTTTATTCATGGTATCGAATTGTATCATGCATCAATTTGATCTATACAATGACCCTGTGACTGATTCATGAGGGAGCCGACTTTAAGAGGTCGCATCCTATTTATGCTTAATAATTTTATGGCATGTTTCCACTAATTTCATGAGTAAAAAGATATTCCAATAAGTGATTTGGATTATTTTTTTAAATTTCGAAAAAAAAAAATTTTTTTTAAACCATTTTACATGTTTAATGATCAATCCCTGCAGTTTTTAAAAAGATTTGTAATTTGTTTCAGGCCTTTGTGCATCCTGAGACCAAACTGTGGCCAACCGTAGGTCGAATCGATGATGCATACGGTGATACCAATCTCATGTGTTCCTGTCCACCCGTCTCTGCATACTCATCTGAATAAAGATTCATTTTTTCCCCCAACTGTGCTTCTCAATTTTATGTTTTTAAGAAATCAATAAATTTCATTTATATTATTAACTTGTATTTCAAATATTTGTCATTTATATTAGTAAATCATAAAGTATGAAATACTTAGGGGAGAGGAAATGGAATGTTAGCTTACAGATATAAGAAACTATTTCATCCACTCTATGCACCCATATTCTAGCTATACTTTTGCCATGCCCCATATTTCTACAATTTTGCTAAGAGTGTCCAGACAAGTGGAATGACAAACGGCAAGAAAGAGTCAATTAATTCCAGATTAACAACATTTTCGGAATTGAATTGTTTTCCTGTTAAAAGTTGTCCAAATTAAAGTAGTCGATGAGGGCTAGATCTAGTGAGAATGGCTGATAAAGTTCTAAAACCTGCAACTTTGCCATAGTCATTTATGTAGTGTGTCGTTTTTGCTTGGCATTGCCATGCTCTAAGATAGGAGATGCATGGTTTGTTGACTAATCAAGGCTATTTTTTTTCTAAAATTTTTGCACTTTTTGTTTAGTTAGTCGCAGTATATTCCAATTGTGACCCATAAGCCAGGTTTCATATTTTATAACACCTACGTTGGAGAACTGAACACTTTTTGGGAGGGGAATATTACGCTTTTGGATGTGTTTCAGAGATTCATCCTAGTTCAACTAACACTAGAGTACGTTTGTTCCACGCAAGAACTCATACTTCATAATAGTGCGAATTTCCGATCGTTTAACCTCTTTATTTATGAAATAGAAAGTCTGTCTGGATATATGTTAGCTAATAACTCGATAACGATTTGGATCGCGTTTTTCACAACTGATAGTAAATTTTCATAGGGTGGTTTGTAAACAAACAACTCTTTCCGGCCTACGAGCACAATATCGAAATTTCATTTATGGAAATCATTATAGATTGTAGAAAATTCAAGAAATTTTTTGGCTCAATTTCGATGGCGAAAAATGAAGCCTGAAATTGAAAATCTCTTGCAAAATACAGCAAAGTTGAGCATGAGAGTGCAAGAATCCTTCCCACTGATTCCAGCTCAGTATACGCACATGCGGACCATCAAATATTTCCTAAAGTATGTGAAATGATTGACGTTTTCATTCGTTCAGATCTACAAAGACCTTAAAAGTATTTCCAACATATGATACAAAAAGAAATGAAAAACCAAAGGCATACTACTCAGAATAAATAATATTTTATTCACCACTATAAAGTACAAAGCAGAAAATGTATTTGTCACTCAGTGCTGCATGAAATGACAAAAATGAACTGCAAAATCTCTGATGACATACAAAATAAATATAAACATAAACGAAAATTACACCATAAAAAAAAAAGAAATTTCAAAATTTATAATAACTTTTTGAAGAAAAAACAACAATGAGAACATGCACATTTTATATGTTAAATATAATTCAGATTTTAAAAAATGAAGCGAAAGTTAGTGATTACGCCACATACAGACTATTTCAATGATTAAATGCATAAATTACTTTTTTCTTCGTGTCAGTGAAATGCATAATAAAATATTCATGAACCTAAACATTTTCCACTAAGAATTACCCATTTCTGCAAACCTAGTTTGTATAAAAAATGCCACCTCTCTGATAAACTTCGAAAAGTAACACTCCAACCCAAATTAGAGGCACCTTCAATTCTGTATTAAGATATACTTATGCATTTATATAATATATATGTATAAAATACCTTAGAAGCTTAACCCTTTCGTGCCGACTGTCACATATACGTGCCAGCAAGAAACGCGCTCACTTCCCGGCCGACACACCTGTGTGCCAGAGCGTTTTCTCGTTCACCCCCGACCATCACTCATTTGTGCCAGCGTTTCGGAACGTTTTAAAAAATAAAATTTCTTTTCTTTTGCATGTCCATCTGGTTTCAGATACATGTAGATTTGATCTTCTACTCAAGATGAGAGTACATTCACATGGTTTTTTAGGGGGTAGGAATGGAGGGGGAAGGAATGTTTTATGACGGCTCCTTAAATTCGTCTGTGGTATTTGTTTACTGTAATCAGGGAGGTTTTTTTTTCGCTACTTTCGATTTAGTTTTTAGTGCATAGTTAGATCTTGTAGATCCCTGTTTTAAAATTTTTCATACGAAAAAAGAACTTTAAGTCTTATATTTAGATTTCAGATATGTAATGTTAAATGTTATTAAATGATTAGTACAATAGAAAATAAAATGTGTAAAATATATATTTAAACAAGAAAAAACTTAAGTAAATAAAGTATCCATAGAAATATATATAAAGCATATGTCCCTTAAATACTCTACAGAACAATATTAAAGAACGTGTTGATATTTCGGTATTTTCATGGAATTAGGCTTAACAGCATAAAACCCTCCGGCCCTGGAGAGACACCATGTTTTTGAAGAAACATTAGCACATTGTTATAGGCTTCATAATTAACGTTTTTTTCTAAACTAATGAGAGCAAATCAACAAATTCACACTTCAAAAAAAGTATACTAACAAAGATGCAAAAAACAGTGATGATTCGTAATTTTACTTATTNACATAATGAAAATAAAATGTGTAAAATATATATTTAAACAAGAAATAACTTAAGTAAATAAAGTATCCATAGAAATATATATAAAGCATATGTCCCTTAAATACTCTACAGAACAATATTAAAGAACATGTTGATATTTCGGTATTTTCATGGAATTAGGCTTAACAGCATAAAACCCTCCGGCACTGGAGAGACACAGGCAAGAGAGACTGCTGGCCTCAGTGGTAAGCGCACTTTCACTCTTCCCGTCGCGAAAGGGTTAATGCAATCATGCCATGTTTTTGAAGAAACATTAGCACATTGTTATAGGCTTCATAATTAACGTTTTTTTTCTAAACTAATGAGAGCAAATCAACAAATTCATACTAAACAGTAAGTTTATATGTCTTCAAAAAAAGTACACTAATAAAGATGCAAAAAACAGTGATGATTTATAATTTTACTTATTAATGTCAAAATAAAAGACTTAAAATTTTGAAAGAGTATATTGAAACTATTCTTCAAACAGTTAAAGTTCCTTTGAAATAAAAGCATTTTAATGCACAGTTCAGTTCTATAAAATCTTGACAAAACAGCACAATACACAAATAGAGAAGTTTTATCATGTAAAATATCTATTTCAATATATGAATGGAAATATAACTTTACCGTCTTTATGTATCTAGATAATTGTCATATACAAAAAATATACAAATTTATATACATCATTGTATCCTCATCATTCTAAGCTAAATGGGTACCACTAAATTGCTGAGAAGTTCTCTGATTGCTGGATATATACTGCACTCATCTATTGAAATATAAATAAAAGAAACAAGCATAAGCTCAGAATAATGATAATGCAAATATAAAAAAAAGTTTTTCACAATTCGGAAGTATGGTAGTAAACAATGTTTAAATGGGATCTTTCCGAATCTAAATGAATGATCTAGATCTACAGTTATTCAACAGCTTCATCGCCATAATTATGAAAATAAAGATCAATAAGTAGAAACTAAGCAATGCTGCACATTCACCTGGGGGTTTGGGTAATTTAAGCAGCATTTGTAAAAAAGCATTAAGCATCAGATTTTTTTTTCTTCGCTCAACACAAATTCAGCAGTCAGTAAATTGCACAAATTGTTCCGTCTCTGTATCATTTATCATCTAAATGTATGCAAAATGTTCAATAATATACATAGCAGTCCACTTTAATGATATTCTCTGCAAATTTTTTTTATCACATGTTTTAAGATTATTATTAATATTTTTAATTAAGGAATGTTTTGCAAAGGTAAAATATTTTTTCCCCACATTAATTGTTACATTTCACTTCACTATGAAAAGGAAAATCTTTCTTTTTCAAAAATTGTTTAAGTTTACAACTTTAATTTTTAAAATCTTTTGTGAGTATCAGGTAAGTAAAAAAGAAAGCATAAAGGTTTCACATTAATATTTAAGCGAGGGTAAAAGAGAAAAATGAACAAAATCTGATAAATCAATGCCCAAGGCAATTATGGCTAAAGCTTGATTAAGGACAAATATAAATTTCTATGTCAAATGAAACTGTAAGGAGGTATTAAATGATTATTCTACATGCTCATAGACATTCAATCTACTATAATTGTCTTCATATTCACTATTTAAGAGGTGGAAAACATTTTTATATAATTTTTAATTATGTTCTGACAATATTCTTGACAAAAATTAAATAAAATTCGCGAACTTCAAGGACTTATCAGGGCCCCGATTTTTTCAACAAAATTCAAGGACTTTCAAGAACCATAGGTACCCTATTTTCACTTATCCTGTACATCTGTTAAAAAGAGATTTATATTATTTGAAAGCGGACCCAGTTTTCAGAAGAAGAAAAATGACTCAGAAATTTAGATAGCCTAAAGACACAGATTCCAAAATCTAGTGAAATCACTGCAAATAGGATTTTAGCATGATTGACATAAGAGTGAAGAATTTAGATTTACTTGGATTGGGATTGTATTCAGCAAATCTTTTCAACATGCTGGTGATTATGTAGATGGGGTCAGTAGGGGACACTGGAAGAGCCTCTCTACGGCTGTCTGGGACAGTCGTTGTGTTCATTTTGATGTCGTACACAGCAGCAAACACAACTGTTTGGGGCTCCACACCAGGAGCTAAGTTAAGCCCGATTCTCGTCAGTTGAGCCTACATAAAAAAAAAAGATTTGTCAAATAAATAAAAAACTACTAAATTTTGATATCCATATATTTAAAAAAATAATGTTACAGATAAGCTTCAATATAAAAAATTTAACATAGAATTACAAAGTTCGCATTCACATAAAGGAAAGAAAAATAAGAACCTATCGAATCCTCATTCTGAAATCAGCAAAAGCAGATATGTTAAAAATTACTAATTAGATCTCGATAATGTTTAGAGTGTAATGCAGTAGAAATGTTTAGGTAGTAAAATAGCAAACATTGAGTACATTTACTAAACACATTATAATGGCACAAAATGAAAAATAATACAGCATGTTTCTTACATTACATGTGCCTAATCCGATATCCATTCACCAAGTGACGAAACAAGTCACTGTCAGTGTTTATATTCATTCAGGTTATTCCCGTAAAGTGGCGTTCTAAGCGCTGAATGTGAGCATTGGTTTGTTTTTATATTTTAACAGATAACATTGTTTAAACACTAAAACAAATTAAAAAGATACTTTTTGTTATTTCTTCTTTCCTCAAAAAGAAAAATTAAAAATTACAAAAAATAATAATAATTAAAAAAAATTTTATAGGGACTAACAAATTCAAAAAAAGGGGCAGGAATGAAGAAAATAAATAACTATTAATCATATTTTAAAAAATTAAGAGCCACACAGATATGAAAATAAAAATAAGACACGAAATTAGTAGCAAGTCTAAAATAAAAATGCCTCAATTTATTGAGCAAAAATTAATGTCTCAGACATATCAATAATTAGGATTATTTAGAATGCACAGGAAACAGATTTGTTAAAATTACGGAAACTTGATCTCAGAAAATCTCAGGTACTGTAAAAAGTACCACATAATAATAAATATAAAAGTTTATCAGAATTAAGTATAGCTTGTAATTAATTTTTTTAAACATAAACAATAAACAAATCAATAAAATTGCAATGAGAGAAAAAAAATGCAGGAAAGAAATTGAAAAAAATAATTTTTAATTGTTAACTCATCTTTAACATCAGAAATCTCTCTGTTTTCGATATTACCATTAAACTTATGATAAAAAAAGAATTGAGAATTAAGCAGAAAAGAAACACATTAATCACATCACATTTTGTAAATTTTAGTGAATGGCCTCAGTTAAATTGTTAGTAATTAAATTGTTAATTCGATACAATCATAACTTAAATATTTAGAAGATGCAAAACTGGGAAATCTATTAAGAACGTAATATAAAATAAAATAAAAAAAATTCCTCAAATTTAAAAATTCAATATTTCATTAATTTTATTATAATTTTAAAAAAACAATAATTTTGGGGAAATAATTTTGATAGTAAAATAAAAAAAAATTTTGGACAATTTTTGAGTCCCTACACATTTTTGTCAAAAGTAAATTAATATGTCTCTTGTATAATTATATTAATATATCTCTAATATATCCCTCTTCTCGTTCAGTGATTTTAATAATTTTGAGATAATTTTATTCAATAGTTTCTAACTAAAATTATAAAGAGATTAAATTTTGTGAACAGACAAATTTAAATAAAGATTTGTTACAGTATGTGCTTAAAATATTAAATTAGTAAATGGTCCCTAAATGCATATTTTATTAATATGACAATTAACATATTGTTTTCTGTTTCATAAAACAACCAACCAGCAATGAAATTTTTGAAAATTGTAAATCCAATAAGATCAATATAAACCCTTAATTACTTTGTGCAATTAATGAATGGTCCCTCAGTTCAAATTTGGCAAATTAAAAAATTTTGTTACATTATATCTTTATTTATAAAATAAAAATTACAAAGTTATGAGGCTCTGTTGTTGATAGTCTTAAACCTAGACAGACAAAAAAACAAAATTTAATTAATGAACAAAAAAAAACAAAATTTAGAGCCCCCACACGGTACTTTTAAAGTTGTTTTCGAAAATAAGGTTAATTTCTATAATTTTTTAAAATTCATATACTTTTAAGCATAATATTTCACTATCTTCCATTAGAAGTATTAAAAATGTAATATATATTTTGAGGACAAAATTCAGATAATAGAAAAAATAATGATATTTANAGTTGTTTTTGAAAATAAGGTTAATTTCTATAATTTTTTAAAACTCCTATACTTTTAAGCATAATATTTCACTATCTTCCATTAGAAGTATTAAAAATGTAATATATATTTTGAGGACAAAATTCAGATAATAGAAAAAATAATGATATTTAATCATCTTGTTTCCTTCTATCCTTAGTTTCGTTTAATATTTTTTTTTCTGCTACAAGTCACAAGTGAATGATTTCCTAAATTAAATTTCCGTAACAATCTACAAATTCTTCCAAATTTTATGGGGTTGTTTGGTTGGCCACAAATACAATAAGTTTAGTAAAAAAGAAAAATTCTAACTTGCTTCTTTCAATTTTTTAAAAATTTGTATGAATGATAATTTTTACTATCACTTAACATTTATTGTTTCATCTGGAATGATTTTACTCTTTTAGACACTTAATCGTATTTTAATGTCATTGTTTTTGAAAAAAATAAATTGATTAATGGAATTGTTTTTAAAAAAACATCTTTCCTTTTATATTTCTGCAAAACAAGCTTATTTGGAATTATTACATTTTGGATAATTTGGTATAGGTCGACTCAAAGTGACTCATCAGCCCATGGTCCCAATCCAACCCTGTTTAAATCAAGAAATATAGAACAATGTCAGATGTACATAGGGTCATAGCCCTCGAGACATGAGATGGCAATTTGAAAAGTGATTTTTAAAAAAAAATCTGACTTACGAAGAAAAGCATTTTGTCTTTCAGAAACACAATGGCTGACATGCCTGGGGGTGCGATTTGTGGAGCTGCTGGTGGGATGGTGAGACACCACTGAATGGCCCACTTCAACGTCCTATCTGGAACCTGAAATATTAAGTTGTTAGCTCAGACAGAATTCATAGTCCAGGTTTCAAGAATTAATAAGAATCACTCATAATATATAATCATCATCTTTGTCAACTTGATTGTTCAATGTTAGAATTAAAGCAGAATAAATTGAAAATGACTGCAGTTTATTAGAATAGAGTTGTTAACATTTATTGCATAAATGCCAACTTTGCACTTTGTTGAAGAATTATTATTATATACATATATATATATATATATATTAGGACTTGACAATCTAAGAAATTTTATATCATGATACATCTATCATTGTTACATAGCGATGCATTGCAATCTAACATAAGCAGATATGTATAATATACATGAACACGAAAGTCATTAGTGGAAAATTCTTCACCACCGAGGAACATTTTTTCCTACAATTAAAAAAAAGGGTCAATATTCCCTTATCCTAACGAGCCGTTCAATCTGGCAATGATTGATATTAGAATTTTTCAGCCACACTCTTCTCGCAATTTCGGCATTACATTCAACTTTCAGAGCTGAGATTTTTTTTCTTCACCTTTTTTAATTTAATGAAGGAAAAAAATTAACTTTTATGCATTTTTCAACCAATGCAAAGGCTGTTTAAAATTACATTCACAACTTGAAATCACACCCCGTGATTTCTATTTGCAAGATTTACGATCGCATATCTTGTTTCCTATTTACAGAATTTTATATAAAATATTGCATTTTGTATTCACATGATTTTAAAATCAAACATCGAGATTTGTATTCATGCGATTTTAAAATCAACAGCAAAATTCATGTTCCCACAATTTCAAAATATAACATCGAGATTCTTGCTTATGCAATTTTAAACTGAACATTCACAAAACTGAAAGATAAATACCAACACAATAAGTAAAGCTAAAATAATTCCAATGTTTTTCATTTATTTATTATTATTTGTTGCCATTCATGCTGACTTTACGTAATTAGATTAAGTATGTCTGCATTTAATAGTTTATCGCATCAAAATAAAGATTAACTGTATTTGAGGGATTCTAAAAATAACTTATTTCTGCAGTGTCGTATCAGAAAAATGCACAGAATTGGTACTGGTGCAATTTTAATACGTACCAAATTTTCCCATAAAATACTTTGTACTTATTGGTAGAGTATATTTGGTTCCCACTAAAGCTGCACCAATTACCATAATACCAGTAGTGCCTACTTACAGTTCTTAATAATGAATAAGAACATTTTGTACATTAATTTTGCTTTTCAGAAGATAGCTTATTTTTTATTTCAATTACAATCAATTACCAGAATAATTAACATTGACATCAAGAACAATTATTTTATTTTTTACACTATTGTATTTGTTTCTTACATAAATTGTTTAAAGAGTAATCTGCAGTTCAATAAGTTTTTAAATTCGCATATTTTTTGACATGTTGCGAGCTAAGATTCCAATTTACTTCATTCTGATGGGCGGTGGAAGGTTTAATCACAAATTGGGTTTTTGATATAAAAAGTAGCGATCTTTTGTATAGTAGCAATCTTTGCAGTTAGTCAATGTTTGTTTGTTTTTCTTCGTATGTAAAAAATTTTACTTTTCTCTGGAACAATAATTGACCCTGATCTTATCATAGAATCAAAAATTATAGATGCAAGATTATTGAAAATCGATTAAGTAGTTTCTCATAAAAATTGTCTCCAAGTTGGCCACAATAAAGAATCTTTTGTTATAAGCTACAAATTTCACACAAGAAAACTGAAAGAAGCATCAAAACAAACTTATTAATAATTATCAGGAGGAATAATACCATTTCTAGGTGCATGATGTGTATGCAATCTTTGAATATGCGCAGAGGTGCATTCAATAATCTTCCAAAAGCTAATAAAGCATTTGGCTTGTACGGAATGGAAACAACCTGAAACAGCATCAAGTTAGCTCATTAGAAGAAATGAAAACATGTTATGATGAACAAAGAATGAAATTATGTTTTATAGCAATATTGGATATGATTTTAATAATAAAGAAACATAAGTTATCAGATTTTCAACAGCTGCTACAAAACTGTGAACAAACAGTTGATGATTGCATTTCGATGTGCGAATGAATACTTTATTTGATTAATTTGTCAAGACTAACAAATTTACAACAATAACCAGGGTTGGCTGGTTTAAACCAAGCCTTGTATTTTTTTTTATTTTCTTATTTTTAAATAAGTACATTTTCTACTACTGATGTGAATTTTTTTCAGTTTGAATATTACAAGAAGAAAAAAAGATTAATTTCCTCACAATTTTGAGTTTAATTGATAATCAGAATTCCTATACTTTAAATAGACATAAAATCTGGAATTTTGAAATGAAAACTTAGAATTAAGAGTTTTGACAAAGAAAAAAAACCTATGTAAAATAAATTAATAAGAGAAAATTTTAGATTAAGATAATGAGGACTCTTAAAAATGTTTAAAGTAAAACAAACCATGAAAAGTACTGTTAGATTTTAAAATTAATTAAACCATTGAATTATTGAATCATGTAATCATACAAAATATTTACTTACACTGTCGAAGCAGACACCGGTCATTTAAATCAACTTATTCTTATAAAATTTAGAAATAAAGCACCACAATCAATTTTAAATAAGAAAAAATGGTAACCTTTGTGTCAAAGTATCTCTCTATGACCTGCAACTCATTATCTGTCCACTGATCTTTGTATTCAGGATTGGGCGTCAGCTTCAGGTGAAGAGACTGAAGGGTCTGAGGATTCAAACTCACTCTGCACTGAAGGGTCTCCGTCTTAAACAGAGTCACGCCCACTTCTGTTGTGCTTAAAGACATCAGCTACAGAAATAAATCATGCTCATTATTTTTCAGCTAAGATCAAGTGAGATTATCAGTTGAATTAGTGAGAATTTTAGAAAATAGCATAAAGAGAAATCTTTACAATAAGACAAGTGAGCATTATACCATGCGTTGTGATGTCAGATGACGTCACTTTCCGTCACCATTAATGAATCAATGACAGTTTTTAGTTGCAGAACAGCAGTGCTGCCTCACTAATCCAGAGAGTATATAAAGACTTTAATACTAGATGTTCATTGCTAATATTGAAACTAAAATGTCATTGAATCATACAAAAACTAAATATATTAAACACCTTCATTCCATAAAAATATCCTGAAAAGGTGATTTGTTTACTCTAACCTGACAAATATTTCTTATCGCTAAAGATTGTTTTACTGCTAAAATATATAAAATAATTCATTAATAAAAAAACATTAATGTAGAATTTTGATAATTTAAATTGTGCCAAATTTGGAAAAGTTCATTATAGAATTTAAAACTTTTACTTAACTGGAAAAAATTGCCCTTCAACTCAACATGTCAAAAACAATACTTGTAATCAAGTGGAAATTAAATTTTAGGTGTTGTCCCCGGCAAAAAAAACAAACAAACTATTATTTAAAAACATAATTTTAGAGTTATTAAATTTATAATATGGATACAAATAAGTCATATTGTGTGAAGAGCAATGATTAGACATTGTGTAGCAAAATCCATGTAGTGAGATCTTTGAAACAGTTTTGCAAACATGATTTTAAGAAAATCTTACATTTTCTGTCTGTATGACTCTGCCGAGGCTCTTCCTCATGTAACAGCAGCCCAGGAATCTTTCAAGGGGTGACGTATGAAACTGGTTCTGTCCGACAGCAGGGGATGCGGGTTGAGTGCTCGTGATGGCCCCGGGAGAGCAGAGCAGGTCAAAAGATTTGTGGGTGAGCAGAGTGGGTGTACCTGCTTGCCAAGAACAATGGATCGCTCTTGAAGATGAGATGGCTGATACACCTACAACAACATACATTTCAGATGTTAGCTCGATAACAGTTTTCGTCTCAATAAGTACATAAATTGAAACTCATAAATTTTTTTAACTGTTCTGTTGTGCAATGGATTTCCTTAATGGTTAATCTATAACGTAATAATGTTTTAAAACTATAAACTACTATTAAAACCTCTATTTAAAAAATAAAAATTGGTTAAGTGTTTTTTAAAGTCAAGGTTTCCTAAGAAGCTGGCTTTTTTATTAGAGTTTTTTTATTTAACAGCTTACTATTCATATTGAACCTACTTTTGAGTTAATTTAATCCAATGCTTAAGCAAAATCGGTTACAAAATTTTTATTTTAAACTATGCATCAGATGTCATTATTGCAGCATACAGTATTGCTTTATAAGTAGTTGAATATCTAAAATGATTAAAACAATCAATGCTACAAATCTTTTATCTAATGGCATAAAAAACCTTTCAATTCCTTTTAGCTATAGAATTGTGATAAATTACGACTTAAAGTGACAGATTTTTTTCTCAACAGACATCAAGCTTTTTTTCTAAGAAATGATTTGTTATAAGAAAATATTAAGCTATTTCAGATTTTTATAGTCTTCATATGCTGAGGAATTTTGGGGCACAATAAAATTCCATTGAAATTCTTTCTTTTTGTATGCACTGTTTAAATTAAATTTTAAAAAAATAATAAACAGAAACAGTAGTTACAATGTCTAATTAGATTTGAAAATAATTTGTTATCTTTTTTACAATAGATAGATTTTCTGATATATTTCCACCATTTTTTAAAACATGTGAATTTGTTGCTTTATCCATAATTAAGGAATCAACTGTTCTATAGTCACCTTCTTTTACCTTTGAAAGGAAAAGTAAGAAAATTATGCTGCTCATGTGAAAAAATTGAGGCAACATATTTCCTCTGGACGAAACAGGTTGTGAGACCCCATAAGTAGAAATGATGCATTAAAAGCTCTTAATTTCTCTTCCTCACTGAAGATTAATCTTCCAATCAATTTGAACACTTTACTTAATACAGCTGGTTTATGAAAAAAGAATAGAAATCTAGTGAACAGTAGTAAAACATTTATTCAGACTCTAGACAAATGATGGAATGTGAATACAACTGCATAGGGCCTGGTACCTTACAGGCATTGCCCCGTTCTTTTATTTCTATTCATCACAGAAAATTTCATGCAATTGTTCACATATTGCAAAGTTTCATATATTGCCACATTTACCAAGTACATGGAAGGTGTTTCCGAATGTAAACCTATAAACTGAAACCGCAGATGATGACATCGAAAAAGATAATGAAGAAAATGATCCACAATTCATGCTTTCTAAAAAAGAGCCAAAAGTGATAACTTTACGTGATCCTGAAACTTTAAATGAGGAACAAAAAAATCTCTCTATTCTTTCAATGAATTTTGATGAATTTTCTCTATCTAAAAACAATGAAATTGGTGTAAAATTTCTAAGTGATATATAAATGTACCATGAAGATACAGCAAGTCCCAGCACATCTTTCTTTTTAATTGGATAAACATAAAACAAAGCCCCGTATATATACGCTCATGCCCAAAATTTAAGGTTGATGCTGGCTCCAGCAAATAAAGGCTCAAAGACAAAACAAATGTAGCTTATTCATACAGACCATTTAAGCATTTTATTTCTAAACTTTTATGCAAAAGAAGGATGATTCTCACCAGGTGCCTTGGAGTGGTCAGAAGCAGAAATGGCTTGAGGACTGTGTAGTGCAGGATGATTACTACTGCCTGGACTTTGAGCAGTGCCTGTAGGACGAGGAGAAGGTCTGGGCACTGATGGGCTACCTGGCCATGCTCCAGGTGCAGGAGAGGACATTGACAAATTGCCAGCACTAGCAGGAGCAGCAAAAGGAGAACCTCCATCGCCGTGTGCTAAAAGGAAAATTAAATAAATGAAATAAAAAACCATAATTCATCACCATAATTCAAAATTGAACAAGAAATAAATTAACAAGAAAGAAAAATAAAATTGTTTTTCGTTACTGGGGAATAATTTGGCAATACTTGGTTGGCTCGCATGATCAGCAAAAATTCAAAAAAGATTTTTCTCTTTTTGAAAGTGGAAGATAAAGCCTAAATTCATGAATCTCTTGCAAAATGCAGTATTGCAGAGATGCATGTGAGACTGCAAGAATCTTTCCTACCGAATTAACCTCAGTGAACACATGTGTGAACCCGCAAGTAATTCATTTAATATGTAAAATGATTGGTGCTTTCTAACAATACGTAGATTATGGTTGAATGCGTTGTGGAGCCATTGAACAGATCATTGTAAAAAACCATGTTTTTTTAGTATGGCAAATAAACAGACAATGCTAAGTCCTTGATTTGACTGTTAATACAACACTAATGAGATATGAGTCTAAATTAAATACAATTTAGATTGGAGAACAGATGACAATTGTAACTGCTTAGCCTCTAAACCAGCTTCTCAAACTGCATGTGTGTGAACTTTTTAAACACTGAAGTTGAATATTTTGATCATCTGCCCTTAATTAATCTTCAGTACAAAAATTTATACAGTGTTAGGAATCTTAGCTTACAACCACCAAAAATGCTATACTTTATTATTAATCAGAAATTTGAGTCAAATAAATTATCTTTTTTATAAACAAAAATTTACCTCTATAGGTAGCAATTCTGAATCTTATTCAAAAGAATAAACAATGATGATGCTGATATGCTTTAGTGCATCAATAAAATCAAACAGGCCAAAATTCACTGATGGGTTTTATTTGATAGTAAATAAAATTGTAGCAGCCAAAGAGTCAAAATTTTCCTTCATGACATAAATATTCCAATTACTTATAAGTTTCATTTCAATATTCAGCTTTCATATTGTTATATTTTTGTAGTAAATGGGACAAAGTATTTTGTTTGAATAGAGAATTTTAATTTTAAGGTGGCATGCATAGGCGTAGCATGAAGGGAGAGGCACATTTCATTATTTTTAGAAAACTGTTTGTTTATTTTAAGTTTTATGTATTTATGCATATTTATTTTTTCTATGTATGTCTATTTTTGTACAAATTCATGCTTAAAACTTAAAATAAACAGTTTCTTAAAAACAAATCCTGTGCCCCACCCCCCTTATGCTACCGCTATGGTACCATGCAATTAGAAATCTCAAACAGAAGTTACCCAGCATTTACAGCAATAACCTCTTTTTTGACCCCCTAAATATAAGGGGTGGCCTCAATCTTGGAAATATGGTCCTTATAGTTTGGTTAGAGAGCAGACCAAAATTTAGACCCCTTAATGTTAATTTTACTCTTTGCGTATTTCGCTATACCTCGAGAAATTTTAAAGTGAATTGAAATGTTTATTCAGAGAAAGTACTTTTGTGTGTCTGATTTCATAACCTAAAATATCATCTGCACTAATTAATTAGTATATTTGAGGTCACTCCCTCGAATCATTAAGAGTCTTAGAACGTGAAAATCCAACCATTAGATCAAAAGTTATTGAAGGCAGTCTGTTTCTTATTTTGCTCACTGTACACATTTTTTCTCAATTAGAATCACATTGTTTTTGGGATTACCCATACACATATATATTAACACTACTGTTTAAAGAAGGAAATGTACACAAACCTTGTTGGTTCATGAAGTTTGCAGTTGCAGGGGATTGCATGGGCACTTGAGAGGATGGGGATGGAGTGGGAAGGAAAGAAGGAGAGGGGACATGAAGAGGATTTGCGGGAGAGTTGGCCGAAAACAAGTTTCCAGGTGATTGAGCTTGAACATGAAGAATGGAAGGGGATGGGCTAACATGTTGTGCTTGAGATTGAGATCCCAGAGAAGGAGGCGAGGCCAATGAGAATGAAGGATTAGGTGACGCTCCATAGCCCTGCTAAAAATAAAAAAATAAAAAGTGTGCAGTTAAATGCAAAATTTAAAATTCTAATAAATGAATATATGCCACCAAAAACAAAACTGCTTCTAAGTATGACTTTAAGTTGTAGACAATTTGCTTTATCTAATTTAAAATCATAAAATGCAAATTTAAAGAAAATAGTTTCATTCTAATTTATAGTGCTGCTACTACCCACTTTCCACTGTTTGTTATTTTATTCACATTTTACTACTATTTTTATATTTGGTTTTTTCCTGGCTGCATTGCTACGTCAAAACCAAATTGTACAGTGCATTTTTCACGAGTATTAGCCTACCTCTTTCTGCCTTGGATGTTAGTTTTGAGATGGCCTCTTTTTGAAAATAAAGGCAGTAATTGTCAACAAAATTTCTTGGAAATTGTTTAGGCCAATGAGAAGGCAGAAAAGGGCTTTTAAATGTTTAATTCCTTTCTTTAATTTTTAACATTGCAGCTCTAAATTTTTATATATGCAAATTTTTGAGAATACTCTAAATTAATATTTATATTTCTTTGTTTAGCTAGATACATAATGTTACTTTAGCCACATGGTCTTGTTTATACACCAATAGTATTAATGGTAAAAAAAATTCTTAACTTTAAAATTATGTCAAGTAAATTAGCAATTTCCTATGATTTCTATTTTTCCACTAACTTTATGCTTTTATTTCTTATGTACCTTCATATGATGGTGGTGATTAAGACTAGGCTACAGCTGATAATTATTCTAAAACCTAATTGTAATCAATTTTACATTGCTACTCTACTTTTGTTCATTCACAACGCAATTGTTAATTAGTTAATTATTCTATTCCATAATACATCATCCAGATTATCACCACATGTATTTAAACACATAAAATAACTTACTAATTTATAGCACAATTTTAAAGTTAAAAAATTTGTCTACTATTACTATTGTTGTATAAATTTGACCATGTAGCTAGAGTAACATATATCAAGTTAAACGAAGAAATACAAATATTAATTTAGTTAATTAAAATAGATCCCAAAAGTTTTAAAAGAGAAAAATTTAGAGCTGCAATGCTAACAATTAAAGAAAGTTAAGTCATATGGAAGGGAATAAATATTTAAATTTTATCTATCATTGTAGGCCTACTTATCCACAATCATTTCTCTCTTTGCCTGCCCAGCATCCAAAAATCTCACCAAGGCTCTCTTCTGCCTTCTCATTGGCTAAAACCATTATCATTTTCTTTTTTTTTTTGGCAAGTAATCCCTATTTTTTCCAAAAGAGGCCGTCCTAAAACTAACATCCAAGGCAGAAAGTGATATGATGGGACTCTTGAAAAAGGAACTATACAATTTGGTTTTGATACAGCAGCGCAGCCAGGAAAAATCTAATATATAAAAAATAGTTAAATTTGAATAAAGTAGCAGGTTATAGCAACAATGCAATATATATATTATATATATATATATATCTTCTATTTCAATTTATATAAGATCTGCTTTTGTTCAATGGCTTGAAATTGTTACATATTAAAGAACACAGAGAAAAATTAGTTTTGCCTCCATTTTAAAAGTTCAATAATTTGGTTATAATTTAGAAAATTATATTTTGACTTTCAAAATAACAATCTGATGATGCTCTTAATGGATGTAATACCTGAGACAAAACAGAGGTGTGGGGCGAGGCAGGAGTGTGAGGATTGGATCCAGATGGTGGAGTCATGGGCAAATGGAATCTGAGTCCTGAACCTGTAGTGGAAGACACACTTTCCTGACTGCGGCACTGGGCAGGGGAGCCCGGTTTTACTTGACCGGATACTGACAGGAATCCAGAGTCCATGGAGTCCAGAGTGGGTACTGGTGAGAGGGGATTCTCGTCTTCAGTCTGGGATCTGCGCCTGGCTTGTGTGGCAGTCTCATCCACAAATTTGCTGAGGAAGGCCTGAAATGAGGAATATTTAGGTTAAGAGGGCAAGAATGAAAAGGATGACAGTAGCAATCCAAGCAGTAAAGGCAAAAAATAATAATAAATTATAGGAATTTTTTTAGAAAAAAATATAGTACAACCTTTAAAGTGACTGGTTACAAATCAAGATACCTGAGTTTAACAAATATGATTGTACAGTTTTAAATATGGTTATATATAGTAATTTAAATCTATTTAATTCATGAACGAAGAAAAATAGTTTTAATTAATTATATTTTAAACAATACCAAAGTTAGAAAGAAAAAATATTTGTCCCTACGAATACTAATATTTATCCACACAACAAATAAATAAACCATGTGAAGCTTAGCTGAACTTAGTATTTAACTGCCGTATTAATGGCTTTAAATTTATATGCTATATATTTAAGTTTTACTAATCTTCTTCTTCAGCCCCTTACTGACCTTGGCTGCCTCAACCACATGTAGCCTCCAACGCCTCCTGTCCCTGGCGACTTTTTTCCAGTTGTTTATCCTTAATACTTTTAGATCTTTAGCAGTGTCATCCAGCCATCTAATTGGAGGTCTTCCTCTAGCCCGAGATCCCGAAGGAGTTTTAAAGGTGGCGATTCAGACTGCATTATTTTCTGGACCTCTCCAGATATAGCCAAGCCATCTTAATCTATTGCTTCGGATGACCTGCACTATCTGTGGCTGTCCATAGAGTCTATATAATTCAAAGTTGTATCTGATTCGCCAACAGCCTCTTTCCCGTACTGGGCCAAAAATATTTCTAAGGATTTTCCTTTCAAAAACACAAAGAGTACGCTGAGTGTCTGCGTTTAGTGTCCATGTTTCACTTGCATAGAGCAATACAGATAGAATAAGAGTCTTATAAATTTTTATTTTAGTTTTTCGACTGATTAGGCTTGATCTTAATTGCTCTCTTAGTCCAAAGAAACACTTGTTTGCCATTTTAATTCTGTTGTCTACTTCTGTTTTCATGCTATTTCGGTCATTGATCATTGTTCCAAGGTATTTGAATTCATTAACCTTAAACGTTTTACTAATGTATTTTTCATATCAATGCTTATATCTCAACATTTAATTTCAATGATATTCTTAAAAGCAAAGATAATTGTTAGAAAAAAGGTACTTTCCGATTTAAAAAAAATTGTAGTAAAAAAGAACATCATTAAAATGGGAAGAATATATTTTAATTAAAGAAATGAAGTTGGTAACAGAGACAGAAATAGCCTGATCATAACACACAAAAAATGTTTAACAAAACACACACAGTATATAGACTTACTTTGATACTATTGATAGCTGATAGTTCTTCTACGGCTCTTTGCTTGTCAAATACACTATAAGCACCATCACGAATAGCAACAAGACCTTCTGGCCGGCATTCAATGTCCAAACAAAAGCTAATTAGAACATTAAGGAAGACAATTTCGTATCCTTTTAATTATTTCGTATCCTTATAATTGTTTTTTTTTAATAGATTAAACAAAAACTTATAGTGTATTTTAAATTATTGCATCTGTGTTAGATAACTTCAAACATATAGTTTAAATCTTTTAAATATTTTCAAGAATTTTCCCTAAATAGCTTGTTACATAAGAAAATATTTCATTTTATTACTACATATTTATTTTTAGAATGCTGAACTTGTTGTTCTTGTTCCTTATCCTCCAATTGTCTGACGGAGTCAGACAAGATCTAATAGGTTGTTGACTCTCAAAAAGTCAATGACAAGAAGTGGAGTAGCGTACAAGTCCTCCTTGGAAAGGCCCAAGCAGTCAAGGATATGTTCGGCAGAGGCCTGCTGGGCTTCACATTTGAAACAGACTGCATAAGTCTTTCTTCCTTCGAAGTACGAGAGACTATTCGTGTGTCCACTTACCAATCTGGCAATTGCTGTTTGAGACGCTCTATCACCAATATGAACAAGTGAAGAGCCCAGCTCCTTAGCCGCATACCAGTTATGAGAGGGGGGGATCCTCCACTTTTTTGATAGATGGCTTTTGATTTTGAATTGATTCTCTGAGTAGGTAAGGGCTGAGGACGAAGATGTTGAATGACTACAGCCCTCCTTGGCCAAGCGATCCGCTTGGTCAATGTGGATGTCAACGTGGAATGGTATCCACTGAAGTTGAATGCTGTGGTACTTTGAAATAAGTTGAAGTTTAAGAAGGATAGAGATGCTTGTTTTGTCTCCAACTTAAGTCCAATTGTGTAGGTGTTGAAGGGAGCTGCGACTGTCCGACAGGATCCAAAGATCTCCAAAGTCACTCTTGTTGATTATAGCATCAATGTCCTGTTCAATTGAGATTAATTCACTTCTAAAGACTAAAGTGAAATCAGGATTACGGAGTAATTTTGTCCAGATTTTTCGATGAAGACGCCGCTACCAGCTAGGTCTCCCAGTCCACTACCGTCTGTGTAAACTTTTTTCGGCGTCACTGAGAATCTCGCTTAAAATTTCCAAAGCTAGCTGCCTAAGTTCAGCTGGAATATGATCTTTCTTTGTGACCGGAGCAGAAAAGCCGAAGTGGAAATGGACTCTGGAAGATGCTGAACTTAAAAGAGCGTAGACATTTCACTTACTCAGAAAAATGATGAAGAACCGAAATATAACGGTAAAGTAACCACTTTAATGAGTTATAATTAACTTGCTAAATAAAACTTAATATCTGACAGGAGAATAGTAAAGCAAAAGTATCACTTTAATAAAAAAGGTAAACAGCCTGTAAAAATAAATTACTTTTTCAGGAGTACAATTAAATAGAAAAAATTATCAGTTTAAAAAAAAAGCCTCCATTGCAACCATTTACATTACAAGTCAATTTAACATTGCAAACATGTTAGGTCAGAAATTTAAAATCACTTATACAAAAAATAAAACCATACCATTTTTATTCTTATTTGTTGGAATTGTTTGAGTTTTAATAAAAAAAACTATTTCCATTGCTGATTTTGCTTGTTATCATAACTTTTTAAGTGTAGTAATTGAAGCAAGACTGAGAAAATAATTTTCCTTGCCTTTCGACTATCTGATAAAACTCCATATGAATGTAGTTTAAAAGAGGCACCTCTGAGTCATTCTTGTATCAAAAATATACAGATAAATTTTCCAGGTTTGCCAATTTTTCAAACGCATTCTGATAGCAGTATTTCTATTTTTTCCTTACAGATCTATTGAACGAATTCTTAAAAAAAAAATTTTTTTTTGTTTAAGATATTAAACCTACATCAAATTTTAATCCATGAACTATAAACATCTTAAACCTACTTCAAATTTATAGTTATGATGAAATTTATATTTGTATCATGAAATTTATGTTTATCTAAAAATGCTCTCTTTAATTTGAATTCTTTGAAAAACATATTATTAAAAGTGCATTTAAAAGTTTAATGTGATTCTTCCAACCATGTTTACTTTTCCGAGTAATCCATTGACATCGGGGAAAGCACACTCCTACAAAGTTCAACTAATTTACTTATAGCTCTTATCTCCAACAGGATGATGAGATTTGACAGAAAATTGTCATTATCCCCTTAGTAGGCAACTTTCCATACATATTGCACAGTAAAACTTCCTAGGCTGAAATGTGACAAAAAACTTTCAGCAAAAAGAAGATTGCTGAATCCAATTTGTTCATGTGTGCTTATTTTTATCTCAATGCATCACAATTATTCAGTTCTTCTGTAAATATGCTGCTTTCAATACAGAAGTTTTTTTCCTTCAACTAATTCCAGCGAAGGGAAACATTATTCGTTCAGTAACTAATATACTGAGGCAGACGCAAGTTGATTATCAAGAGTTGGTTAGTGGAAAAATTCTTCTATAAAATCTTTTAATTTCAGTACTTAACATTAAGAGGTAAAGGATAATACATTATTATCTTCTTAAATGACTTTAAGTAAATTCATTTGATTCCACTCAATTTTATTTCCAAAAGTGGGATAATCAATAATCCACTACCAAAATTAAGCGGGTATCACCATGCTAAACTGGCCTTTCATCTTCAGAGATACAAGAATTGAAGGGGGCACCACATCGGAAAATTTTTGAAAACATTGCACGTTTCATGATTCTATAAAATAACATGAATAAAAAGACAATAATTTTAACATAAAATATATAAATGAAAAATAACTCAGCCAGACTCAATTTACAAAGAAAGTGTAAGCTAAGAACTATTTTTGAAGGATACAGGTTTCTATAGACAACTCTAAAATGTGTTGAAGTTTGAGGACTCGTGACAAATGTCTGCACAGGCACGGCAGGCCTCTAAACATAAAAAGGACATTTATTTATAGATACAATATTCACACTGATTAAACGCTTTAAAATAAGAGAAAGAAAGAAACCTACACTGTGAATCACTCCTAATTCAGATATGGTGGGCAATCTATTGATGGATAACAAAGGAGCATATGTCTCATGAAGACCCTAAAATATAATAAAATTCAACATTTTGAAATAAAAAAAATTTTTTTTTCAGAATACTACTGAAGTTTGAATACTAATACTGAAGTTTGAATACTAATACTGAAGCAGCTTATTATATAACAAGCACAGATAGCTATAATATGATTTTGCTATTATACCTGCATTAATGTCATGATAGAGAGATGTTGGTTGAATTCGTGCTGCAGTTGTGAAGCTACGAGGGTGTGTGGATTACTTGCAGAAACAGTCTGACCAACGACTCCAAATCCCAAATGGTAACGTTTGTCAGACGGGTTCCAATATATATTAACCTAAATAGGAAGTATATGCATAGAAACATTGTTAGTATCAGGAAACCTTTTTAAGTCATGAAAAATAAGTTTAATTAAAAACATTGTCTTGCTTTAATTTTTTATATTTTTTACTTAAGACAATTTTGTAGACTTAATACTAAACGATTAACAATAAAGACTTAACAATTTAATAGACTTTTTTTAAAATTAAAAATTTTCATCTTTGGTTTTTTTTACGCAATTGACTTATACACTGGACAGCCCAGATATTTGCTAGCTTGTAATCAATAATGAGAGTCGACTTATACTATGGGTCATCTTATACGTCAGAATATACAGTAGTTTTTCATGCACAAATTAAAATTATTAATTTAAAAAGTCAAACACATAGCTCATGAAACAATTATTCTGGCTTTAAAAAATCAGCGAAATTACACTTAAAAGTTAAATAAATCAATGCATAACACTAAAATACTGAATAACATATTAGAAATTACCATATTAGTTTTGTTGGGACCATAGCCAAGCACAATTCTTCTGTAAGAAAATGTCTTCACCTCCATCAATGAAGGAAACATATTATGCTGATCTGAAGAAAAAACAAACTTATCATTTCTTGAAAACTTATATTAATTTAAATTCATAAAAAATAAAACTTTTATATTCAAAATAAATGGGGGTGGGGCTATTACAAAATAAGCAAGCATACCGTGTTTCAGGGCACTTGCAAATTCCAAGACTACCTTGTAGAGATGACCCATGATGTTCCAATCTCGGAGCATTTCATCCACCATCTCAGTCACTTGCTTTGAAGTTCCAGCTCCAAAATCATAATTATAGTGCAGAGCCCTACACGGACCCTGCTCTTTAGAACACGTACTGGGAACAGGACAGTTACAAAACACAAACTGTGAAACAAAAAAAAACTTACTGAATATAGAATCAAAGCAATCCAACCAGTAATAAAATAACAATTCTAAATAGATATAAACACCTGAGATGGTAAGTTTTTTCCACAGTGAAAAAAAAAATCACAGAAAAAACTGCTCCAGAAGAAATAGGTTTCTTCCAACCCAAGTGGAAGAAACTCTTTTTAAATAAGAAATAACAAATATTGTATTGAAATTTCAAACAGTTTATAATTGCAATCTAGTTTAAATTATGATATTATTTCCAAGTCATTTAATAAATCATTTTAAAATATCTAAAGATAAGAAAACCAAAAATTGGAAAAAAATTTATTAATTTCTAAAGAAATTATTTAAATGTTTTACATTAAGGAGTGCAGTAAAACTGTATTTTATAATTATATAAAGGGCTTTTAAAATATCATAATTAAAATGTATGTATTATAATACAAATCGGATATTGTAATCATAATTCCAAGAAGCATACTAAGTTTCATAACTAAATGATGCGTCAATAACGAATGCTGGAGACAATTCTTATGCTAACAATAATAAAATAAACTTAAGATTTTTAACTATATTGTAATATAATTGCAAGAAGCATATAAGGATATTGTAATCATAATTGCAAGAAGCATACTAAGTTTCATAACTAAATGATGTGTCAATAACGAATACTGGAGACAATTCTTATATAATATGCTAACAATAATAAAATAAGCTTAAGATTTTTAACTGCAAATTTTACAAAGTAATAATTTTTCCTTTTCCAAAAAAAAATAAATAATAAATTTTGCAAGTTTCTATAGTTCAAAGCTAAAGCTATGCATTTTTCTCCAACATTTTAATAGCATAACAGTGTTTTGCTAAGATTCACTAATAGAGTAGAGCTCCAGATTATCTGACACCCAAAAATTGAAAGAAAATACACTTGGAAAATTTTTGAATTCAAAATAAAAATTGTCGCAAGGAGAGATAGTTGCAAATTTAGGGCAAGAAAAAGTTCTTCAATGAGTTACTTCATGGAATATTATAGAAAGACACTTGTGATTTGAAAAGTTGATGCTGATACAATATTGGGTTGAAGTGTTGTTTTATCACATTCAACAACAGTGCCATATTTCAAACATATTTGAACTTGCATAAATTGTTGATTAGATTTATTGTTCAAACCTAAATTTATTTATTTTTTTAAAATTGCTGAAAAATTAGAAAATTAAGTAATAATTCAACCATTAAAGACTATTAGGGATAGTGGTCTCTAGTTTTATTAAAAAAATTTAAGTCACCCTACTATTTAGTCATGTATTGATCAATTCATCCATATTATAAGTAACGAATTTTGTTAAATTACTGGTTGAAAATTTTTTTTTTTAATCTTTAGTAATTGAGTGTACAGAATACACAATAATTTCTAAGAGGCAATCATTGTTTCCTTTAAGAAAAACCCACTCACTTCAACAAACCATGTGCGGGCACCTTTTCCGTTCAGTCGTATAGTGCAGCTGAGAAGTGCAGAATTGAGAGCAGTGAAAGTATCCATCTCATTGACATCTGGCACTGGCATCCTAGACAACATGAGCAATGATATTACTATTTATTCCTTGCAATTCTTTACAAGAAGTTTTTTTTTTTTTTTAAAAAAAACTTTTCAACAGTCTAAGGAACCCTAGAAAGTTAGGGCACAGTTTTTAGATTGAAATGCTTTCTTTGCTAAATGTTTTAATTAAAAGAAAAAAGATTAGTTTGATGATGGTTCAGCAAAAATGCAAAGTGAGTTAAATTGATGACAAAATTACTAAAAATGTTCATTGAAAAACATTTGTAAAATGCATAGAAAAAAGTATATTGCACTAAAATAGCAGCGAATTTTTTACTCTGAATTAGGATCAGATAAACTTTAATGAAGGTATCTAGATTAATAATTGTTTTAACAGTTTCTGAATATATATACATAATGCAGGTATTCATTAAAAAAAAATGTGAATTAATTTGTGACTTTTGAAATTTTTTGGGAAATTTCTTCATTTTATGACTAAATATGGTACAAAATTTACTGAAATGCTATGTTTTGACTGGAGAAAAAAATTTTTGAATCCAAACTAAGATGAGGGTACAATCTGTTGGCTTTTCTGACAGAAACAATAGAACAGTGGAGATAATGTGTTTAGCAGGGTACACAAATAGCAAATAAATTAAAAGACTGCAAAAAAAATTTTGACTTGAATATTTAAAATTAGTCAAAGAGACATTAAAAATGTCATGTATTGTATAATGAATTGTAACAGACAAAACCATACATTCGTAGATAGCTGTAAAGAAAAAGCTTTCTACATGGGAGCCACATTTACATTTTAATGCATGAATCTCGGTTGTTTTTCCTACAATCATTCAAACATGTGCATCAGTACTGGGCGATGTTAAGATTTTTGCATCGATCACCATCACAATATTTCGATTCATCAAGATGTTAAGTTGCTGTTTCACATTTGGTCTTGCCGAATTTTGCATTCTTGCACTTTTTGACATTCTTTGCATTCTTGCACGCTGGCACTCAAATGTTATAAGATATAGAAATTAAAAGAAAAAGATTTCTAAAGATTAGGTTGGAATGAGGTTTTAGAAAGATTATTAACAACATTATTAGAGTTAATGCTTAAATGTTACTCACTGCACAATCTTTACATGGTAGTTTGATCCATGCCCTTCAATTTGAATGCCATTGTGACATACATCTTTTTTGTTCAGCTGTAAAAGAAGAAAAAAGGTTGAGTTCAAGAAAATAATTCATTATATTAAAAGCGAAAAAAAATATTTTAAGAAATTATTCATGAACCAATTATATCTATGAAAAGTTAAAATAAGGAAAAATTAATTAATTTACAATAAAAAGGCAATGACTTTCATCAAATTTAGTACTCTTGATTGGATTGCTTATTTTTCAGACAAATTTGCAATTAATATTAAAAAAAAAGGAGAAAAGGAAATATTTCAATAACAAGATAAAAACAAAATGATATATTCAAGTGGCCAGAGACAATATGCAAGTGTGCAAGAAAATTTTTTATATTAATACAGAAGTCATGGGTATAGATTTGGGATATTATGACTGCTTCTGTTTTTCAGGATTTTTTTATTAATTGCTAAGTTTGGTGATATAGATGATAATAATCTGGTGTTAGTTGGAGCGTAGTCATCACGGAGATGTAAATGGAATTTTGAGGGAATTGTACAAATAGAATGACGTGTGCGAGATTGTGTTGGAAGTGGAGATTTGCCATTTTGATAATGTTCATGACAGTTTTGTAACTGTGCACATTGGAAAAATGAGAAGAACGTGTTGGAGGTTGATATTTGATGTTGTGCACAGAGTGATTTGACTAATTGTTCCGATGAAAGATGATTGATGTAATAAATGCTTTTTTGGTGCTTTGTTTTTCTATGTAACATTTTCTGAGGAAATTTAATTATTAAATTTTAAGATTGAATTTAGTGCGAAATTAGTTTTTCAGAAGACTGATTGTTTTGGTTTTGTGAAGTGATTTTGAGTTCAAATATTGTGAGTTTAATATTGTTTTATGTGAGTTTAAATAGATTTTTTTTTGTATGTATTTTCATTTCAATTAAGAGATTTTTTTTATTTATTTATAGTTTTATGGGAGATATTGGGATGATGAGCAATGTTTTTGTAGTTTTCTGTAGAGTTTGATGTAGAAAATAAAGCTCTGTCATGGTGAGTAGTTTTTGTAAAGCCCTGTATGTTTTCGTTTAGGATCATTCATGGATTGGTTTGATCAATGATGATGTCCTCAAATAGAAGATTTTAAATACTTCTGGATTTCTCTAACGAATAATTATGTGCCTAACTTGAAGATTCCTGGAAACATGTTTCCCTCCAGCAGCAAGTTGAGCTTTTCTAATTTATATTTTGGGTGATTTTATGTTGTAATTTTTTGTTAATTTTATGCAGATCGTTGCTTGGGGCTAATGATTTGTTATTGATCTACAGTATTTTTTAATTTATGTAATGTTTAAAAAAAATGTTTTGTTAAGTAAAATTCATCAAAATAGGTGCATAGTTATTACAAATCTGTTGCAAAGTGGTAACAATTTGTTATAGATCTACAGTATTTTTTAATTTATATAAAGTTGAAGAAAAAAAATTTTAAGGTTCAGTGCCTCTGTCTAGCATACATTTGCCGAGTATTCCCAATACTAATGTTACTTAAAGTTAAGTGCCACTGCCCATTATACATTTGCCCAGTATACTGCATATGTCCAGTTTGATTGTGATTACACTTAATAAAAAAAAAATTTTTTTTAATTTGTAATATTTTTATCATTCTACTGTGCTATTAGCAAAATTGTCAAAAAACTTTTTATTATTTCATTTTTTAAAAAAATGCAATTCAGAGGTCTGTTAAGTTAAAGGTGCTATATCATTTGTATTTTTTTACTTTTGTAGCATTCCAATTCTTTTTAATTGATTAAAAAAGCATCCCAAAGAACTCTACTAGAGAAAAACATTCAAAATTGTAGTAATTTGTGAAAAAAAAAAGGAAATAAAAAAATCTATGACAAAGAATAAAAATGAAGTGGTTCAAGCATTACAGAAAAAGAAAACCTGAATTATTTCTCATATAAAAAATGCTGATGTAAAAGAGTTAACATATGCTTATAATAGCATCAAAAAAAAATTTTTAAAATATAGCGAAAACAAAAGTTTAAAAACATTATTTTTAGTAAAGTATTTAAACCCTTTGACACAGATAATGGGACACCTGTGTCCCTTATTTATTTTAGAGCATCAGAATATGTCCCTTATTCTGATGCTCTATCTTAAATTAGAATCATATATATACTCAAAATAGAAAATTATATTTTATGCCAAAATTATACAAGAAACACAGTCACAAAATTTAAAAAAGAAGAAAACATTTTATCAAACTAGAATTTTAACATGACACTTACCTCTCTACATAACGTAGCATAAGGGATACGTTCATCACACATGGCAACAATGTGTGAAACTTCAGAGATAAAAAATCCTGTGTATTTTACTTTCTTTATACCAGTATCCCCATGTGTCAAAACCTAAAACAATCATAGAAACCAAAAAATTAAGAAAAAAAGACACAGATTGATTTGAATATTGCTCCTTATAAAAACGATTTATCTTACTTTTCGTTTCTTTCCTACACCCTGGCGCTCACCTAGAAAAGAAGAAAAATAAATGAGTAAAAGATAAGGAAGCAAAAAATTTTAAGCAGTAACAGGATTTTCTAAAAATCTTTTCTTTGCTATGTTTGCTTAGTTGCAGTTATTTAATTTTATTTGAAATATCAAAATAAAAGGTTCTAAAAAATTAAATTTTTTTAAAGGAAGAATTTCAGAATATATGGCTAATATTTATACTAATATATACAATGTATATAATGCATTAGGATTGTTTTTATTAACATGGAGAAAAAGTTTCATTGCATCTGCCTAAAATTTTGGTATAAAACTAATTTTTGGAAAGATTTATCTCATTAAAATGAGATTTAGACTCTAACCCTAATTATCAAAGTTAGACACTGCCCTGTATTCTCTTTTAACAATACAGGATCACAATAATATCTGGATACTCTCTGACACTCTCAGTTCCATTCAGTACTTATCACATTGAAGGTGAGAGACAAAACAGGAGCTTCAATCCTGCACTAACTTAAAATCCTCTCACGACTGCGTGAAGTCCACCCCCAGTGGATCCCTTCTCACGTTGGGGTTCTGGACAATATCGCCTACACTCTGGCTAAGGAGGGGACAGAAAGAACTGTGATGAGTTCAAATTCACTCACCTTCATGGAACTGGCATCGAAAAAGAAAAAAAGAAGACAATGCTTCCTGGCTCGTACCCCCCAAATATCACTGGTACCAGAGCACCCGCCCAGGAGGTGCACTCAACATTCGGTGCAACCGCAAGGATCAGACAGTGCTTACCAGCGGCCACCTTAAGTCTCTTTCTTTCGAGGGTAGTGTTAAAATCTTCCCCAACTGCCCCAGGTGCCACAACATGCAAGCTTCTCCCCAACATATCCTGGACTGTCTTGGACTGGACAAGAGGGACATTCTAGAAAAACCACTTTTGGTGATCGATTTCCTCTGGGTCATGAATTTCATGGACATTGTTTAGCCCAGCTAATTTTGGGGATTAGGAAGAAGAAGAAAAATCAAAGTTAGATTTTTAAAAAAATAATTTAAATTTAGATTAACACAATTGATGCCGCATCACGCGATAATTATGTGATGAAACTCGTTCCTACAATTGGTGTCAGTAAAGATGATTATGTGGTAACTAGATGCATATTATCATTCAACTATTTTTTGCATAAAATAGGTTTTTTTACGACAGTAACATATTGTTCATTACAACAAATTTATTCTAGAATTTAACAACTAAAATGGTTGCTAAAATACAAAAATTTAACTCTGATTTTATTTTGATGGATTACCATTTTTTAATAATAGACATAGGTCTGTGTTTTAACCTAAACTTACATTCGATTTCTGTTCCAGGTCCGTGGGTGGATATAAAGTTATCTAGAGTGGCAAAGTCTACAATCTTCAGATATGTTTTGGGTAATTCTGTATCCATAACACTTCCTTCCACTTTCTGTTCCATGAGGTCATCTTCCAATGGTTGGGGAGCTACGGTCATGAGGTAGTAGGAGGGAATTATTTCACACTTATTTTCTTGCAATCTGATTATCTGCATCAAATAATAAAAAACATTGAAAAAGAAATTACTAAACAAAATCTGTATTTTTTAAGAAAACATTTTTAAAAAAGAACTTAAAAAATTATCTAAGTCAGTAAAATAATTAAGTAGAGCAAGGATATTGAAAAAAAAATGCTTATAATCAGGAAGTAACCGAAGGAACAACATATCCCAATCATTAATTGATGAAACTCCATCTTTTCCAACTTCTGCACTTTAAAAACCTTTTTTACAAATTTTGACTAAAGTATTCACAGAGCTATCGTGCAACTGTATATGGAAGTGTACATCAGTGTTACCCATCTACAATATCCCGAGAAAAACGTACCAATAAATAGTCAAATTATTCAAGATACCCACTCTCTGCTTCACTTAAATTTTTTTTATAACAAAAAAAGTTCTCAATAAGTGACAATTTAGGAACTGACTTATGCATTGAATAAAAGGAAAATCAGTCATTTTCAAAGACAAAATATGGAAGTCAACTTTAATTATAGTGAAATATTTCTAGTATATATATACATATATTTTATTAGTTTGTAGACATAGGGAAGTTTACATGCAGGCTTTATTGATTTACAACAATTGGCATAAATCATTAAATATGTCTAGTGTTTATTTTAAAGTAAATATTAGGATCTATATTTTCAATATTTTTAGACAATGTAGGAGCAAAAATTCATTTCATGAAGAAAAAAAAATTGTCTGTTGGTAAATAGTTTCAAAAGATTAATTTAAAATATCAGAAAGGAAGTAAAAATTATTCCTTACTCAATACACAAAAGGAAATCAGTTTAAACAAATGGATTAGAAATACTTTGAGAGGATAACTTACAATATAATATTCTTGGTGCCTGCAGAGCTTAATAAACAATCTGTGCTTTGAAAACTTGGCTAATTCATGGTCAGGTGGAATAACTAAAGGCAAATGTTCAGTGGCAATTGCAGGAAGATGCTGAATGGTTTTTTCACATCTCCTCACTGTTATCCAAAACCTTAATTAACAATATAAAAGCAAGTGTTATGCTAAATATATTTATAACAAATTTTAAGAGTTTTAAAGAGAGATAAATAATAATCGTATTAAATATAGAATAGAGAGAAGATATGCAACATAAAATTAAACTTCCTAATTTTAAAATCTAATATCTAATTTATAAAAGAACACAAAGTTTTAGAGCTGAAAATACAATAAAAGAGTAAAAGTAATAATATACAGTTTATAGGCATAAGCATAATATGCAGTCAAACCTTGCTAACTCAAACTTCGGTTTCACAAGTCAGAGTAAACAAAATCACTCATAGCAAAATTAAATTTTCATTTCAAATTTCTTATTTACTTAATTATCAAAAAAATACTATGTAATACAATACAATATAGTNAAAAATATTTGGAAATAATCTTGAAAAAACGAAGGAATACACTAATGATTATTTCCAAAATGATGCTAGGGGAAACATCTTTCAAAAAAGAAAGAAAAATCCTAAAATCTTATGAGGAAAAAAAAAATTTTTTTTTTAAAAAAATAGCGGGAAAAGTTATTAAATTTCGTTCCGGTTTTTTGGTTTTCCGGTTTTCTGATTTCCGGATAACGGGTTCTGTACTGTAATATACAGTTTATAGGCATAAGCAAAATAAGCAGTCAAACCTTGCTAACTCAAACTTCGGTTTCACAAGTCAGAGTAAACACAATCACTCATAGCAAAATTAAATTTTCATTTCAAATTTCTTATTTACTTAATTATCAAAAAAATACTATGTAATACAATACAATATAGTACATTCTCTGCTTAAGCTAGAAATCATTTTTATAACAACATCTTAAGAAGATGAGATTTTCTGTGAGTCATAATGGTTAACAAAAGAAAATTGAACTCTCTTATTACTTAAATGAAGAAGCAAATTATCAATAAAGTAATCAGAGGTTCAAAAATTAAAAAAATGAAATTCCGAGCTGCACATGAACAATTCTAAAATATAGCGAAAGAAGCATTCTATACTGTGATTACTCTAAGAAAATACGTAAAAAAATTGGATACTTTTCTTAAGCATACAATGATGGAATTGTCCTTTAAATAATAATTAGTGGTACTAAGTGATTAATACAATAAAATATTGTTATCTTTTCAGTGCTAAATTTCGTAATTTGAGTTTTCAACATTATATTTTCTCACCCTTTAAGTTTGAAATATTGATGGCATTATCTCTGCTCTCTTTTATAATAAACTATTACTATTCTTGCCTAATATTACAAATAAACAGAATCGCTTCTTTCTTCTATTTGAAAAAAAATCATTTATAGTGAATAAAAAAACTGATGTAAACATTTGATTTACCCATCATACAATAATCTTCTAGAAACTTTTCTCAAAAAGGGTGCAACCAAGAAAGATGAACAAAAAATGATGAATAAGATGAAAGATTAATCAGAATTTGAAAATTTTAACAAGTAGAAGTTTATTTACTCAACTATTAAATAAAAGGGATTTTTTTTTCTTTTACGAGATATATCAACAATAATTTTCCACATTCAGAAAATTCCCTATTCTGAAAATCAAACTAAATTAGAATCAGATATTTTAATTTTTTGTAGGTTTTTATTTTTAATACTTTTTATTAACAATTAATCATTATTGCTATTTTTTATGAGCTTTAATTCAAGTAATTTATTTATTTAATTAGTAAGGTGTTGCACCTTTATTAGAAAAATAAGTTAATGTAGAAGATACATATTTTCAATGCTCAAGAACTCTGAAATTTCATCTATCTGGAATGTAATGATTCCCACACATTCCAAATATGTAGTCGAACCTTTACAATATATATATATATATATTTTATATAATTGCAGGCACTTGAGGGTTGTCCCATTGGCTTCAGAAATGCCAGAACTGCTACTCTCTTCTCGTTACCCAGTGAGCACCTGTGGCGAAGTCACGGCGGTGGAGCAGCGTCGCCCACGTCACACAACCACAAACCCATTTTAGGGCGGGTCACATTCACACAAAGGAGAAAGGACATAGAAAACAGAGAGAAAGAAACAGCCATGCCCTGAGCAGGGTTCGAACCCGCGACCAGCGGCTCCGCAGTCAGGCACGCTAACCACTCGGCCACCAGGTCGGCATATATATATGCTATTATTAGAGTTGGATAAGCAATGTTTAACAAAGGCTTTTTAAAAGACAATTTTGATTTTTCTATAAATTGATTGTTAAGCATATGCTTACCTTCAAATTTGAAGTCGTTGAAAAACATCAATATTCTGTGAAACAAGCTAATCAAATCATGAAGATTGTTTTAAAATGTAAAAACCCTACAATAATGCTTTTAATTTTAATTTATTATTTCATTCATTTTTATTTCTATGCAAAAATTAATATTGTTTCACCATCTTTAGAGCATCATTTTCCCACAATCCAGCTTTAGAACTAATTTTTTTCTTTTCATGATAAATCAGCAGCATTTTTTCATAATGATCACTAAGCATAGAATCTTGTAAATCTAATCAAATAACATTATAAGGAAAAATAATGTCTAACTAACGTACTTCCATCTCTCAATCAATAAATCAGTATCATTTTGTACACATTTAACTTCATGTAGATAGGGGATAGAAATTTTGCATTAACAAATGTAAGGCAAAAGTGTGAGCAAAAAACTGGAAAAAAATTTTTTTATACAAGGCTTTGAAAAGTTCTCATTCAATCATCCTGTACATAGGATAGAAAGATACCTCAATTCTGACAGTAAATTCTCTACTTTTGAAGGATCCTTGTTTAGACAGTTCTGTATGTCTTCCATCATGGGTGGCTCTGAAAGCAGAACAAGATTTTAAGCAAGATTACATTTCATAGGAAAGAAAACACAATTTTCTAAAAAAAAAATTTAAAAAATACCGAATTGTGGGACATGAGCCAGGAAGTGACCAGTGTGGGTATTCACAGTGATGAGTAATTCTTCAGATATCATGCACGGCTGCAAGATCGGAACGTGTAGAACTGCTGGGGATCCACTGATGGTGTCTGCAAGAAAGCAAAGCAATTGGATCAATTGAAATATTAATAAAAATCATAATTAATCATCTAATTAATCTAAATTATTAAAATAAGACTAAATTATTAAAATAAGAAAAATTTGGTTTCAGCTGCTTTTATTAAGCGCCATAAAATATCTTTGTTTAGATTCTGTATTAACTGTACATAGATATGGCGTAGCATTTTTTTTTCTTTTTCTTTTTGGGGAAAAAAAACTAATAACAGATCTTTTTGTATAATGGCATATAGGAAATTAACCAATAATGATCTGGAAAAATTCAAATTTACTTCCCACCAGGAACAAGTTACTTTTCACAAGTGAAACTGTGATATTTTTACACTAAGTATAAAAAAGAATATATTTATATTCAAATAAAAAAATTAAAAATATAATTGCTTATTAATTATAATTAAGTCAATTGTGAAAAAGACAACAATAAGAATTATAAAAATAATAAAATAATTATGTGTCACCCTAGTAAATAAGTGTCATGTCGCTTATATGATGGCACTGGCCCATTAAAGGTTAACATTTTCTTAATGGGTCAGTTTTTTATTAAAAACTGATAGTTAAAAAAAGAACATAGAAAATTTTCAAAAAAGTTATATCACTAACTATAGTCCACAATCCATCTTTTCAGATGCCAACTACATTGGTTTTCTTCTAAAAGGCAAACTTGTAATAAATAAAAAGGAGGGAAACGAACACTATTCTTGAATAGATGATAATTTGAATGTATCTCAAATCTGGTTTGAATTCTCAAAATCAATCAAAGAAGGATCTCAAATATATTTTTAAAAAGATGCTAAAACAAACTCAAAGTAGAGGAAATATCTTAAGAAAGAGTGTACACAAGTCATGAAACTAATTTATTTTCAAGTTCTATTCATGCTTTTTAAGAATTTATTAGATTATTTCATAGATATGAAATTTTCACAACATATGAAATTTTTAAACTGGTTATTAATAACTTGAGATGTTGAACTTATCAAAATCTTTTTTTAAAAAAAAACTTACATTCAGTTAGTCCCAGCAAAGGTTTCAGAATGTCACTCAGTTCTTGAAGTTTATGTTTCGTGCGAATGTGAACAGTGTGTATCAACAGCTTTTCCACAGATAAAAAATCAGACTAGGAACAAAATATTATAAGTTCAAAAATAATGTTAGATACCTTAAAAAATATCAGTTTTTTTCAAGAATATTTCGTGCAATTTAATTTTATAAAATATTATATATTTTATTGTAAAAACTTACAAAAATAAAAAAGTTATGTATCAAAAACATTTTGTAACCGATATCAAATAAAAAACTGGTTGATACTCGTTTCAATACTATATTTATATGATAGTTGTTAATTGTTTAATATGCAAATTTTACAAGAAAATAGTACAAAGGAATTTAAGAAGCGTTGATAATAAAATAGCTGAGATCTGCTGTTTTCTAAGCAATGTAGCATTTTTCAAAATGCTTATTTTAGTGCAATTTGTTGGATTCTTTAGATTATTAACATTCAAATCCCTAATGAAAAATTTTAATTCCTGGTTCAAATAAAATCATGGGAGTAGCAAATAACCAATTCAAAAGATATAGGAACAAAAATTTGAAAATAAATAAAAACGCAAATCAGTGTGAATACTACTATTGAAAAAGCCAACAAATTGCACTCTGCGGAGTACGTATAGAAATATTCTGCAAAATTTATAACATTAAAATTTATAATTTTCTTCCTACATGATTCGAATCGAATTTTCAAAAGTATTTTTTAATGATAGCAAGAGTTAATGTGCGGTGATAGGGCATCAGCACATAATCTCCATTGGCAACTGTGTCAACATCAAAAAGTTGAAAATTGCACGCGAATGAATTTTAGAATTTGTGAGTGAACAATTGCTTTCTTTTCGATTTGTTCTCAAAAAAATTTATATGCTGCCATTAAACTTGCACAAGTTCATGGGACGAGATATGTGCATGTATTGAATATTTTTTTCTGCAAAAGGGGAGTTTAATAAAAATTTACAGATACTGATTTCTTTATTTTTTTTCTGAGAAGATGTGAATTTTACAAGGATTATTACGATTTTTGTGAAAGTACCGATTATACTGGTAATGAAGGTGCTATTTTTGTCAGGTAGAATTTTGTGGAAGTACTGATAAACGGTAGTAAAATCCACCTGAATTAGGCCTTGACTACTGAACTCTTCCTTAACTTGGTGTCACTGACTGCACCAAAATTTGGTAAAAAACACAAAACTTTGACTGTGACTGTAAACTGAACGATATTTGCTTACGACGCCATGTTTTGCTCGCTCTCGGTGTATTCAGACGATTAATGCACGTTTTCTCAAACATCAACTTATTTAGGGAGATAAATGTTTGACATGTATTAATTAAAGTTCATTTCCTCTATGCTGCCTTTTTAAATCTGGTTGGTGGTATAATATGGTTAGCGGGTTTATTTTGAAATTACCTATACTATATATATATATATATAATACACTAGCTTACAGAAAAGCCTATTTCTGCAGTTACTACTAAAATTCATTCGCGTGCAATTTTCAACTTTTTGATGTTAGCACAGTTGCCAATGGAGATTATGTGCTGATGCCTTATCACCACGCATTAACTCTTGCTACCATTAAAAAATACTTTTTAAAATTCGATTCGAGTCATGTAGGAAGAAAATTATAAGCTTTAATATTATAAATTTTGCAGAATATTTCTATATGTACTCCGCAAAGTGCAATTTGTTGGCTTTTTCAATAGTAGTCATGATAAAAATTGAGGATTTTCGTTACTTACAAATTTAGTAAAAAAAGGATACCTCACAATTCTACTCCCAACTTTGAGATCAAAAATACTGTTACAACATTTTTTACCAATAGCAATATTTCAATTTCTTCGATAATACAGTAGGGAACCGATTATCCGGAACGATCGGGACCATCGCTATTCCGGATAACTGATTTTTCCGGTTTTCTGAATCGCTACAAAAAGTCGTTTTTTTAATTGTTAAACCCAACTAAAAAAAAAAACTTTTTAATATAATCTTAAAAAGAAGAAAAAACGATGAAGTAATACACTAATGATTATTTCCAAAATGATTGTAAGGTAAAAATCTTTCAAAAAAGAAAGAAAATTTCTAAAATCTTATGAGGAAAAAAATTTTTTTTTTAAAAAATGGCGGGAAAATTCATTGAATTTCGTTCCGGTTTTTTGGTTTTCCGGTTTTCAGATTTCCGGATAACGGGTTCTGTACTGTACATTAATTTGACTACATATGACATCAACACAATTATCTGATATGATCTGGGATAGCGCAATAATCATCTGACAATTGCCAGAAGTAGTATTTACTAATGGATTAGTGTGAAACTGTTGATTACGCACAATAAACCATAAAAGTAGCTAAGTTACAAAAGTTAAAGACATAGAAAAAGCTTCTAATATATAAGATAAAAATAGAAAATATGGGAGGAATTCTATCCCTGATAATTGATAGAAATTCCTGAACAAAGAGAAATCACCTTAATGGCTTGATCAGCCAGCTGCGCATCTTTGTGGCTTAGGTGTGGTACATGAGTGACCTGGAGGGGCTTGCTTGGATCATTGGGGTCCATTTGAACACAAAGCTTGCAATGAGTCATTTCTTTGCTCCCCCCTTCCTCGTGTTTTGTATGCCTATAAATGAAAATATATTTTACAACGGCATTTATAAATTAAAACTGTTTCTTTCTATAATTCTACCATTCTTCCATTAGTCAAGTTTTCTTACTCTCGATACTAAAACTTAAAGTTCAAGATTATTTCAATTCAAAATTTCACCTCTCTCAATATACTTAAAATTCAACTACTCTAAAGAAAGTTCTTAAACTAAAAGCGATAAGAATTCATTTATCTGCTAGAAAGTTAAGTTATATTTTCAGTTATTTCTCGGATACTCAATTTCAACTTTTTTCTTATACAGGCTTTCTAATCCAAGGGTTCAAATGTTTAGACTCTAAAATAAGTTTTTTATTTATTTGTGAACATTTCATTAATGTTTGGGGGAAAAAATTTTAATGACATTCTGTAAAATGTTACACAAAAGCAACCAACTGTATGCAGCAGTCAATCTGAATTTCTGCACTTAAGTATTTTTTAATGTAAGGCATGAAAACAAAAAGTTAATCTACTTCTTTGGATATCAAAATACAGATTGCTAGATGATTCACTGAAACTTAAAAAAAATATGTATTTACAACTCACTCGTCTTTCACATTTATGCAGCGATTTTAAGAGTACTTCAGAAAAAGAAATAATGCCAGGTTGACTTTGTTTACATGTTTCTCTATAAGGGGGCTTCCTATTTAAGCAATAAAATACATCAAAAATAAAAAAGGAAATTACTTTAGAAACTTCCATTTATAGCAACAAAAAAAATTTCGTGGTTCCAACAAATAAAATTCCTTGGAACAAAAGACTTAGCTCCTGGTATTTTCATTTTATGTCACAAAAACACTCTTTGGAGTTACATGCATGAGAAGGGCTGATAAAAAAAAAATTTCATAAGGCACAAAAGGTTGAATCTTTCAACTGAAACCAAACTCAATCTTCAGTAAAATAAAAGCAGCTATCATCAATTTGCTTTGATCAAAAACTGAGTTTTGATTTAATTTAGACATAAGTAGAAGTGGCAACTAAAAACAAAGTAATTTTTTGAAAAAATATTAATTTTGTTTTTCAAAAAAATTGTACAAAAAAAGTAAAAATGCATAAAACATTAAACGTTTAATCATAAATTAAAACAAAGTGATTATTACTTTTTAATAGCTGAATGGTTATAATAATCATACATACCTTATTGTAGCTTTACTATTTAGAAGTTGTAATAAAATTTGAAAAAAAAATTGAAGTTTTTCAATACATGCCATAGAATTGAAGTTATTTAGTTTATATTTCAAACTTAAAGAATTCACCTGTTTACTAGAAAAGTGATGCAGTATTATTTTCAGGAAAATTTTCGAAACATTTTAACTTTTTACAGTCAGGACCAGCCTTGCTGTAAACTCACAGGTTTTAATTTAAAAAGCCTGTATTTTTTTTTTCATTCAGCAGGCTTGACAATTTTTGATTTTGTTGAAATTTTCAGAATGTCTTTATAACAAAAAAAATAAATACGATACACAAGTTTTTTTTTTTTTTTTTACATAAAACAGAATACACTTTAGAAAAATGATGTGATTACCTCCAATATGCTAAAATCAATCGGCTACCAGCAGTGTATTCTTCAACAATAATACAGTCTCTCAGTCTATCACGACACAATCTTAGCACCTAAAATTTTCAAATTACATTTTAATAAACAACAATTAGCACTAAAAGTGCACAAATGATGGCTAATAAAATATTTTTAATACTAAAATCATTTCCTAATGTTACAGTGTAAAAAAGATTTAGCAGTTCAAAATCAAATGATGGCTCCATATCAAATGATGGCTAATAAACTATGTTTAATACTAAAATAATTTCCTAATGTTACAGCGCAGAAAAAATTTAGCAGTCCATTTTATATTAATTTTAAGAATTAAACAATCAACTGTAAACAGAAAATTAATAAAATAAGGTATAACTGTCATTTTTGTCCACTTTCATGTTTGAAAATTCAAACACTGTCGTTTTTGTCCACTTTCATGTTTGCAAGTTCAAACACAAAAAAAAAATTTTAAAAAGTACATTCAATTCTCAATTTATAGGGAAAAAACAACTTTGTAGAATGGCACCTTATTCCAGATAAAACAAAGAATGATAATTCTTATTTTTGGCTATTTTAACCATCCAGCAAAAGGCATTTAAAGAATTCCCTTCTTTAAAAAAAATAAATAATAATAATCTTTTTATTTATTAAATGCATAGCATGGTGCTTAGTTATACTGGATAAATATTGACTGAAAATAATCACTCTTTATGCAAACAACTTCTGTACCTAAATGTTTTTAACTAACACATGATCAATTTTTGCTTTTACTTTTCCTCTAATGAAAAATATTCATTACTGCTCAGGCAGAAACACTATAATAGAATCATTAAGTTTTTTTCTTTTAAATTTTTTTGCTTAATTTAAGTTTAAATAAAGAAAGGAAATGAATGATTGCCCTATTCCATTGCGATTATTTCTTAAATGCAAGAAATAAAAACTGTTCTTAGTTATTTTATGTCTCTTTTTCCTTCTGCGTCAAAACAACTTGCATGATTTCATTAATGGAGATCATCAAATGAAATTATTCAAAAATACATTTAAAATCTGCTTTAAAATTAGAAATCATTTTCATAGTTTTCATTTTAAAAGTAACTAAGTTCAAAAGTAAAGTTTAAAGTAAGTACACAAAATGTCTAAATTATATAATTCTTTAAAATAATAAAAATTTATTGTTTAAACTCAATCCTAACAATTTCATAAAGTTAAAATGAATAAATTCAAGGATTTATTGAATAACATTATACAGACATTTAAACCATATTAAAATCAATTATACTTTAAAAATACAAACCTGAGAATGAAGAACTTCTAACTGCAAACTTTGGCAAAAAGAATCTTTAAAGAAAAATTAAGAAAAAAAAGCTCACGATTATTAATAAATGTATAAATAGAAGGATTTAAAAAATATATTAGCAAACACAAAACCAGATCATAACGAAACATAATATTGTGCTAAATTGAAAAGGTAATTTAATTCACTGAAACAAAAGCAGAAAATAATATTGTATTGTATTATCAAAGGAACAATATAAAAGTTTTTTAACATTGTAACATGTTAAGATTACAAAAGAAGTTTTTAATTGGTTCAACAAGTGAATCCATCTTAAATCAAAAGTTAAATGTGAGTATACAAATAATAAAAACAATCTAACTGCATCTATGTGGGCAATAGATAAGATTTTCTGTCAGAAATAAAATGGAATCCCAATAATCAACATCTTACATAAGAGAAGATATGTAGATACAATTTATAGAAGAAATAAATTTTAAAATTACAGCAATTCAAGCATTTTTCATCAGTTCTCGAGTACATTTAATTCAAAAATATTTTTTCAGTAAATTTATCTTTTTGTTACAATATAATTTTTTATCAATAATTCAAATCTAGAGCCGTGATGGCTCAGGGGATAGAGCATTTGCCTTCTAATCCAGCAAACCAGGTTCAAATCCCAGCCAAGGATAGTCAATACAAATTCCGCATCCCTCTTGAACTGAGCACAGTGCTGACGTAAAATATCCTCAGTGATAGACGCATCATGGGTGAGAGCGCCCTTGCCGCCAGGCTAACCGTGAGAGGTTTTTGTGGTTTTCCTCTCCATGTAACAGAAATGTGGGTAAGTGCCATAAAAAAAAGTGCTCCTCAAAGGTAAATTTCTGCCAATACTTGATCAAGGAGTTCCCTTGTCTTTTGGATTGAGTTTAAAATTACAAAGCTACGGAGTTGAATGTTAGTAGTCGTAAGTCCTAAATTGGGTCGGCTGTTTAACGACAGATATAAAAATAAAATTTTTAAAAAAATAATAATAATTCAACTTTAATTTAACATAAATTCAATGAAGAACACAGTTATGAATTTTATTCATAAAATTTTTCAATTAATTTTAAAAATGATTGAGCAGAAAAGGATACGGAGGCAGTTATAGAGTTCGTGAAGAGGCCTCGCATTGTCGATTAGTCTCGACTGAATCAACTGATGAATGTAACTAATTTGAAGTGAATGCACCAGCGCTTCTCCTTCTGGAAATAAAACAATCATTATTTTGATAAGAAAGATGTGATAATAAGATCATTCAGTGAATATTAATGTGCAAAACTAATTTATTGCCTCCTGTTTCCTTATCTTCCACTAAAATGACAATGTCCAGTAACCTCCATGAAACATGAGGACCATCACCCATCAGTGTAAGAGATACCTTGAAGGAGCAAAAATAAATATAGTAACCAATACGCTGTGTATTAATTTTTTTAACATAGAAATTCTATTACAAAATGTACATGAAATTGGGTCAGGTGAGACAAAGTAGTGAGATACTAAATTAAAAATTTTTACTTCAGAATGAATACTTATTTCTCATTTTAGTTGCATTCATAGTTATTTAAGCTAGATTTCCAAGAAGAATGTTCCTTAAAAATTATGTTAGTCAAATACTATATTTAACTAAAGATACATAAACTTTAATTAAATAAGATTCAACAAAAATGTAATAATAACTTGAAATATTTAGATTTCAGCAGGTGTTGAAATAAATCTAAATTCTTACTAATAAAGTTCTGCAGAATTTTCTTTTATGATCAAAAACATTTTATTTCATTTCGTGTTTTTCCAGATCAAATATAACACTTTATAATTTTAATCTGATAAATTATCTAAAATTTAATTTTGTTCGAATGAATACATAGTACGATGCAATCAAACTGGTTCAAGAATCTAACCTTAAATACGTTTTATAGCAGAAGGTTTTATACATGGAAATTATGAATAATAAAGTGAGAGAAGAAAGTTTGAAAATACCTCGAATTCGTGTTCCACACAAAAAGTAACACGTCCATTTTCTGAAAAGCATATAAGATGTGAATATTATTATTTTTAAAATAAATGAAGAAAAAAATTTCAGAAAAATTTATGGTAATATTTATTTTAAAAATAATACCATTAGTGAAATTACACTGTTCATTTCCTATCCCTTGTAACAGTTTAGAAGAGGAAAAAACCAGCATTTTGAAATTAGATGTGAGCAAAAGTTATTTGGGTTGAGGCAGTTGTTAATAACATACATTACATAAGAAATCAATTACATTTCAAATTTAAAAGCAACAAAAGAAATAAATCTGATTCCAGTTATAACTGAAAAGATTTATACAAAGTTAGAAAATTATCGAGATCAAATATGATGAAATTTTAAAACCAAACATATGAGATCATAAAGAAGATTGGCAAAGAATTTAATTATAATCAACTGTGATTATAAGAGTTACACTTCTTTTTTTTTTTTTACTCCTTCATTTATTTTTATAAATGTAATTTTACTTATTCAATTATTTTTATAGATATAACGATGAAACAAAATACTTAAAACAAAACAATATAATAATAAATAGAATGAAAACACATAAAAATAAATAGAATGAATTGGATGGCCCACGCGATTCGAATGAGTGATGACAATACAATAAGAAAGATACTTCTTTTTAGACCCACTGGAACAAGAAAGTGGGGAAGGCCAAGGTTGAGATGGGCTGACTCAGTGAAGCCTGATTTTCTAGCAATTAATGAGAAGAATAGGATATCAAAGATAAATCGGAAGTCGTTATGGAGAAATCTTCAGAAGAAGGTATTGGCCCACATTGGGTTGTCTGGCCAACTATGATAATGATGATGATTCTTAATAGCTTATTATATGATTTTTACTACAGTGGAAAGTCTCACATCCGGAATCATCCGGACTTCGGCAAGTCCGCAAAATAGATTTTCCGAATAATAAGTCTGTAAGGTAAACAATCTTCAAAACATCCTTATTCAATAAAGAATAACAAATAGACGATAATTAACGTCAATTTCAGTCAACAGCGTATAAATCCCCATTGAGCTATTTTTGCAGCTTCTGTTACAGATTAGAAGTTCTTTCAAACAAGTTTAGCAAGCATTAAAACATGTTTTTTCAAATACTCACATTCATGATTCTAGAATCTTTTCAAAACCCATTTACCATAGTATAGCCTATAAGTCAGATTGCAACGGGAAACTTTAAACTTACCTATGCTTAAATTTCTCATTTGAGGAGGTAATTCTGACGACACAAGTCTGTACATGATAATCTGATTTAAGCGCACTAAAGTGGCTCTTTTTTCAGCTGCTGTGATGGGATCAGCAGGAACAACTTTATCCTGAAGGGAAGAAAAAAAAATTTCTAATTATTAAACAAGCAAAAAAAAAAATTGCACAATGCTCAAAATGCATATAAGATGATATTTACCCTTATACAAGTGGGAAGTCTTGAATAAGTGCCCAAAGTCAGGACTTCAACAGCACATGGCAGATGAAAACTAGGCAACCTAATAAAATATATATTTTAGAAAATGTTGAATTTCATAGTACAATTTTATTTGTTCTTAATTTTATTTGANAATTATTGCTTTCTTTTCGATTTGTCCTTTAAAAAATTAATATACTGTCAATAAACTTGCACATGTCCATGGGACGAGATATGCACATGAATTGAATATTTTTTTCTGCAAAAGGGGCGTTTAATAAAAATTTACAGATACTGATTTCTTTATTTTTTTTCTGAAAAGATGTCAATTTTGCAAGGATTATTACGATTTTTGTGAAAGTACCGATTATACTGCAATGATTTTAATGAAGGTACGATTTTTGTCAGGTAGATTTTTGTGGAAGTACTGATAAACGGTAGTATAATCCACCTGAATTAGGCCTTGACTACTGAACTCTTCCATGACTTATATATATATAATACACTAGCTTACAGAAAAGCCTTTTTCTGCAGATACTTGGCCATGATAAAACGTGAGGATTGCCATTACAAGTTTAGTTAAAAAGGGATACCTCACAATTCTACTCCCAACTTTGAGATCAAAAATACTGTTCCAACATTTTTTATCAATAGCAATACTTCAATAATATATTAACAATTTGACTACATATGATAACACAATTCTTGGGTATGATCTGGGATAGCACAATAATCATCTGAAAATTTCTAGAAGTAGTCTTTACAAATGGATTAAAGTAAAACTGCTGATTACTCACAATAAACCATAAAAGTAGTTACAAAAGTAAAAAATATCACAAAAGTTTTTTATATATCAGATAAAAATAGGGAAAATGGGAGGAATTCTACCCCTGATAATTGATAGAAATTACTGAACAAAGAGAAGTCACCTTAATGGCTTGATCAGCCAGCTGCGCATCTTTGTGGCTTAGGTGTGGTACATGAGTGACCTGGAGGGGCTTGCTTGGATCATTGGGGTCCATTTGAACACAAAGCTTGCAATGAGTCATTTCTTTGCTCCCTCCTTCCTCATGTTTTGTATGCCTGTAAATAAAAATATATTTTACAACTGCATTTATACATTAAAACTGTTTCTTTCTATAATTCTACTATTTTTTCATTGGTCAAGTTTTCTTACTCTCGATATTAAAACTTAAAGTTCAAGATTATTTCAATTCAAAATCCCACCTCTCTCAATATACTTAAAATTCAACTACTCTAAAGAAAAAGAAAGTTCTTAAACTAAAAGCAATACGAATTCATTTATCTCCTAGAAAGTTAAGTTATATTTTCAGTTGTTTCTCGGATACTCAATTAAAAAATTTTTTTTACATGCTAGAAAGCTCAAATTTCAAGCAAGGGTTCAAATTTTTATAGACACTAAATTCAGTTTTTCATTTATTTGTGAACATTTTATTAATGTTTGGGGAAAATTTTTTTGTGACATCCAGTAAAATGTTACACAGAAGCAACCAACTGTATGCAGCAGTCAATCTGAATTTCTGCACTAAAGTATTTTTTAATGTAACACATCAAAACAAAATGTTAATCTACTTCTTTGGATACTAGATGATTCACTGAAACTAGAAAAAAATATGCATTTACAACTCACTCGTCTTTCACATTTATGCAGCGGTTTTGAGAGTACTTCAGAACTAGAAATAATGCCATTTTGACTTTGTTTACATGTTTCTCTAAAAGGGGGGCTTCTTATTTACATGATAAAATACACCAAAAATAAAAGAGGAAATTACTTTAGAAACTTCCATTTACAGCAACAAAAAAATTTTGTTGTTCCAACAAATAAAATTCATTGGAACAAAAGACTTAGCTCCTGGTAATTTCATTTTATGTTGCAAAAACACTCTTTGGAGTTATATGCAAGAGAAGGGCTGATAAAACTTTCATAAGGTACAAAAGGTTGAATTTTTCAACTGAAACCAAACTTAATCTTCAGTAAAATAAAAGCGGCTATCATCAGTTTGCTTTGATCAAAAACTGAGTTTTGATTTAATTTAGGCATAAGTAGAAGTAGCAACTAAAAACAAAGTACAGTACAGAACCCGTTATCCGGAAAGCAGAAAACCGGAAAACCAAAAAACCGGAACGAAATTAGATAAATTTTCCGCCATTTTTTAAAAAAAAAATTTTTTTTCCTCATAAGATTTTAGGATTTTTCATTCTTTTTTGAAAAATGTTTACCTTACCATCATTTTGGAAAAAATCATTAGTGTTTTTTCTTCTGTTTAAGATTATTTCCAAAAAACTATTTTTTTATTAGTTGGGTTTAAGAATAAAAAAAACGGCTTTTTGTAGCGATTCAGAAAACCGGAAAAATCAGTTATCCGGAATAACGATGGTCCCGAACATTCCGGATAATCGATTCCCTACTGTAATTCTTTGAAAGAATATTAACTTTGTTTTTCAAAAAAAAATGTGCAAAAAAAGTAAAAATGCATAAAACACAAAAAACATATAATTAACTACATTAAACGTTTAATCATAAATTAAAACGAAGTGATTATTACTTTTCAATAGCGGAATGGTTATAATAATCATACATACCTTATTGTAGCTTCACTATTTAGAAGTTGTAATAAAAATTGAAAAAAAATTGAAGTTTTTGAATACATGCCATAGAATTGAAGTTATTTAGTTTATATTTCAAACTCAAAGAAATCACCTGTTTACTAGAACTGATAAAGTGACGCAGCATTATTTTCAGGAAAATTTCAGAAAGATTTCAACTTTTTACAGCCAGCATCAAACACATGACCAGCCTTACTGTAAACTCACAAGTTTTAATTTAAAAAGCCTGTATTTTTTCTCTTTTTAATCCAGCAGGCTTGACAATTTTTGATTTTGTTGAAATTTTCAGAATGTTTTTATAACAAAAAAAACCCCCACTATACACAAGTTTTTTATTTTTACATAAAACGTAATCACTTTAGAAAAATGATGAGATTACCTCCAATATGCTAAAATCAAACGGCTACCAGCTGTGTATTCTTCAACAATAATACAGTCTCTCAGTCTATCACGACACAATCTTAGCACCTGAAATATTTATATTACATTTTAATAAACTACTACTAGCACTAAAAGTGCACAAATGATGGCTAATAAACTATTTTTAATACTAAAATCACTTCCTAATGTTACAGTGTAAAAAAGATTTAGCAGTCCAAAATCAAATGATGGCTCCATATTAAATGATGGCTAATAAACTATTTTTAATACTAAAATCATTTCCTAATGTTACGGGGTAAAAATAATTTAGCAGTCTATTCTATATTAATTTTAAGAATTAAACAATCAACTGTAAACAGAAAATTAAAAAAATAAGGTATAACTGTCATTTTTGACCACTTTCATGTTTGCAAATTCAAACACAAAAAAAAAGTTGAAAAAAGTACATTCAATTCTCAATTTATAGAGAAAAAACAACTTTGTAGAATGACAGCTTATTCCAGGTAAAACAAAGAATAATTTTAATTTTTGGCTATTTTTTAACCATCCAGCAAAAGGCATTTAAAGAATTCCCTTCTTTGAAAAAATAATGAAAATCTTTTTATTTATTAAATGCATAGCATGGCGCTTGGATATATTGGATAAATATTGATTAAAAATAATCACTCTTTATGCAAACAATTTCTGTACCTAAATGTTTTCAACTGACACATGATCAATTTGCTTTTACTTTTCTCCTAATGAAAAATATTCATTACTGCTTTGGCAGAAACACTATAATCGAATCATAAAGTTTTTTTAAAATTTTTTTTGCTTAATTTAAGTTTAAATGAACAAAGGAAATGAATGATTGCCCTATTCCATCTACGATTATTTCTTAAATGCAAGAAATAAAAACTGTTCTTAGTTATTTTATGTCTCTTTTTCCTTCTGCGTCAAAACAACTTGCATGATTTCATTAATGGAGATCATCAAATGAAATGATTCAAAAGTACATTCAAAATCTGCTTTAAAATTAGAAATCAATTCCATTGTTTTCATTTTAAAAGTAACTAAGTTCAAAAGTAAAATTTAAAGTAAGAACACAAAATATCTAAATTATATAATTTTTCAAAATAATCAAAATTTATTGTTTGAACTCAATCCTAACAATTTTATAAAATTTTAAAATAAATAAATTCAAGGATTTATTGAATAACGTTATGCAGAGATTTACATCATATTAAAATCAATTATACTTTAAAAATACAAACCTGAGAATGAAGAACTTCTAACTGCAAACTTTGGCAAAAAGAATCTTTAAAGTAAAATTAAGAAAAAAAAAGCTCACAATTATAAATAAATGTATAAATAGAAGGATTTAAAAAATAAATTAGCAAACACAAAACCAGAAAATACAAAACTGTGAATACATTCACAAAACAAAACATAGTATTGTGCTAAGTTGAAAAGGTAATTTAATTTACTGAAACAAAAACAGATAATAAAATTGTATAGTATTATCAAAGGTATAGTATTATATAAACTTTTTTTAACATTGTAACATGTTAAGATTACAAAAATAGTTTTTAATTGGTTCAGCAAGTGAATCCATCTTAAATCAAAAGTTAAATGCGAGTATACAAATAATAAAAACAATCTAGCTGCATCTATGTGGGCAATAAATAAGATTGTTTATATCAGAAATAAAATGGAATCCCAATAATCAACATCTCACACAAGAGAAGATATGCAGATACAATTTATGAAAGAAATAAATTTTAAAATTACAGTAATTCAAGCATTTTTCGTCAGTTCTCGAGTACATTTAATTAAAAAATGTTTTTTCAGCACATTTATCTTTTTGTTACAATAAAAATTTTTATCAATAATTCAAATCTAGAGCTGTGATGGCTCAGGGGATAGAGTGTTCGCGTTCCAATGAGGTGAATCAGGTTCAAATCCCGGCCATGGCTGGTCGATACGAATTCCGCATCAGGCTTGCACCAACCACAGTGCTGACATAAAATATCCTCAGTGATAGATGCATCATGGGTAAGAGTCCCCTTGCCACCAGGCTAACTGTGAGAGGTTTTCCTTTCCATGTAACACAAATGTGGGTTAGTTCCATAAAAAAAATCCTCCACGAAGGCAAATTTCCCCCCAATACATGATCCAGGAGTTCCCTTGTCTTTTGGATTGAGTTGTAAATCCCAAATTTGGTCGGCTGTTTAACGACAGTTATAAAATAAAATTTAAAAAAATAATAATAAAGTAAATTTAATTTAGCATAAATTCCAAACACTGACTCATTGAAGAACACAGTCATGAATTTCATTCATAAAATTTTTCTATTAATTTTAAAAAAGATTAAGCAGAAAAGGATACGGAGGCAGTTATAGAGTTCGTGAAGAGGCCTCGCATTGTCGATTAGTCTTGACTGAATCAACTGATGAATGTAACTAATTTGAAGTGAATGCACCAGCGCTTCTCCTTCTGGAAATAAAACAATCATTATTTTGATAAGAAAAACATGATCATGCAGTGGATATTAATGTGCAAAACTAATTTATTGCCTCCTGTTTCTTTATCTTCCACTAAAATGACAATGTCCAGTAACCTCCAGGAAACATGAGGACCATCACCCATCAGTGTAAGAGATACCTTGAACGAGCAAAAATAAATATAGTAACCAATATATTGTATATTAATTTTTTAAACATAGAAATTCTATTGCAAAATGTTAAAAAACTACATAAAAATGAAAGTGGGTCGGGTGAGACAAAGTAGTCAGATACTAAATTTAAAACTTTTACTTCAGAATGAATTCTTAATTCTTATTTTAGTTGGCATTCATAATTATTTAAGCCAGATTTCCAAGAAGAATGTTCCTTAAACATTACTTCATGTTAGTCAAATACTATATTTAACTAAAGATACATAAACTTTAATTAAATAGGATTCAACAAAAATTTAATAATAACTTGAAATATTTAGATTTCAGCAGGTATTGAAATAAATCTAATTTCTTACTATGAAGTTCTGCATATTTTTCTTTTAGGATCGAAAATATTTTATTTTGTGTTTTTCCAGATCAAATATAACACTTTATAATTTTAATCTGATGAATGATCTAAAATTTAATTTTGATCTAATGAATATATACTACGAGCAATCAAACTGGTTCAAGAATCTAACCTTAAATACATTTTATAGCAGGTTTTATACATGGAAATTATGAATAATAAAGTGAGAGAAGCAAGTTTGACAATACCTCGAATTCGTGTTCCACACAAAAAGTAACACGTCCATTTTCTGAAAAGGAAATAAGATGTAAATATTATTATTATTAAAATAAATGGAGAAAAAAATTCAGAAAAATTAATGGTAATATTTATAAAAAAAAACGGAATTTTGAAATTAAATGTGAGCACAAGTTATTTGGCTTGAGGCAGTTGTTAATAACATACATTATATACCGAATCAATTACACTTCAAATTTAGAAGCAAAGAAATAAATGAATATGATTTCAGTTATAATTGAAAAGATTTATACAAAGCTGGAAAATTACTGAGATCAAATATGATGAAATTTTAAAAATAAACATGTGAGATCATAAAGAAGATTGACCAAGAAATTAATTATAATCAACTTGGATTTATAACAGTTACACTATTTAACTTTTTTACTCATTCATTTACTTTTATAGATGTAATTTTACTCCTTCATTTATTTTTATAGATATAACGGTAAAACAGAATACTTTAAAAACAAAATTAAAAAAGTTACTCTTTTATAATTAGATTAATAATTTTATAATTTTTTTTATTTAAATAGAATGAATTTATAACTTAATATAATTTACAACTTAGTATAAAGTTTTTCTTATATAATCCCAAAGGAATAGCATCTTCAAATTTCACACAGACCTAGCAAAAAAAATTTAATGAATAAAAAATATTTTTAAAAAGACAAATACTTCCATATTGATATTTTTAAGAATTAAAATTAAATTTTTTCTGAAATAAAGTATTTTCAAAAATAATTTAGCCATATTAGATATTTTATAAAATATCATTAAAAACTGGACAAAACGACATAAAATTTAGCTTTCTAGGTCAAATAACTTTTATCTAACAACTGTTTCAAAATTTTAAAATTGTAAAAAATTTGTAAACTTTTAAGATTTTAAAAGTTTATAACTCAGAAACTAATGGCTCAAAAAGTTTGAAGTTTCGTATTTTGCATGTAACCTTCCAGTTATATCTCTAAGTTGAAATTGAACAAAATACTAATAATAAAAATTTTGATCACTGGTTGATTTAAAATGAAATCAACCATTTTTGAATAAATGTAATTCTAATTTTTGATTACAGACAGATTAGATGACAGGTTATCAACTTACAAAGATATTTATATTAACAAGACAGCGCCATCAACTTATTTTTGAAAGTTTTTAACTCCTTTATCAAACTCCTAATTCACTTTAAAATAAAATAAAAAATAACTAATAGTAAAACAAGTCAAAAATTTTGAGTCAAACAGAGTAGAATTCTAGAAGGATAAACTTTTAGGAAACTCTTACTATTTAACTTAACTCACATGACAGTAACTATATAAAACTATTGCTCTCAAAAGTCTACTTTAGAAGTTAGTGAACATGCTTTCTCAAAAATTAATGTGCTAATCTTCTTGAATTGAAACTTCACAATATTCAAGATATTAATTAGCGATTTATAGAGTTCGTCAGTTTTTATTTAATTAGATTAAAAATTTAATAGCATGTATTTTTTCTATTTTTTTTTTTTTTAACATAACTATCATCAGGTGTCAGTACATATTTTTGTATGCATGCATTATTTTTATTTCATTTAATATAAGGTATTGTTTTCCTAATTTTTCAACAAAAAAAATATGGGTATGGAACAAAAATGATGTGCATTTTATTAAAAAAAATACTCATAATAATTTATTTTTTTATGATTCAACTTCTCCATTCTAAGATCCATTCCTAATGGTTTTAGGAGTTAACCTTAAATAAACCTTTATTCCGTCAGAAAAATGTTTTGAATGTGTTTTTAATTGAATAATTGCTGCATTCTTGATTCAGTAGATGGAGTCGAGTTTTTGATTTTTAAAATATGGAGAGTAAATCTACCATCTGGAAAATTTAGTTCTAATATTCAGTCAAAAGAAGAGTAGTTAGTTTGGACTCTTTAAATGTAAATTTTAAAATGTGCATATTTTAAAAGATTCATGAAACTATTTAAGAAACTCAAAACATTTTTGCACACATTTATATAAAACTGGTTTATCCAAAAAAAAACATTTTATGGAAAAAAGTAATAATTTTTAATTAAAGAATTTAATATTGATAAAAAAAAATTTGCAGTAAAATATAAAAACATTCACACTGTCTTTATGTAATTTTAAATGACAAAATACAAAACTGAATGAAATCAATGAAACAATTTTCAAGAAATAGTAGTTATAAAATAAAACTTTTTCAATTCAATTATTTAAGAACTTTGAAAAGAAGTTCTTTCAAACAAGTTTAGCAAACATTAAAACAGATTTTCTCAAATATTCACATTCATGAATCCAGAACTTTTTCAAAACCTATTCACCATAGTATAGCCTGTAAGTCAGATTGCAACAGGAAACTTTAAACTTACCTATGCTTAAATTTCTCATTTGGGGAGGTAATTCTGACGACACAAGTCTGTACATAATAATCTGATTCAAGCGTATTAAAGTGGCTCTTTTTTCAGCTGCTGTGATGGGATCAGCAGGAACAACTTTATCCTGAAGGGGGAAAAAAATTTCTAATTATTAAACAAAAAAAAATAAAATAAATCGCATAATGATCAAAATGCATATAAGATGATATTTACCCTTATACATGTGGGAAGTCTTGAATAAGTGCCCAAAGTCAGGACTTCAACAGCACATGGCAGATGAAAACTAGGCAACCTAATAAAATATACATTTTAGAAAATGTTGAATTTCATAGTACAATTTTATTTGCTCTTAATTTTATTTGATTATTGCTCATCAATTGCACTGGTTACAATCGTAATGACAGTTTTCCCAAAATATGTAATAAATGTGGTTACTTAAAGCTATCTAAAGCAAAATATAATTCAGAAATCTATTCGTAAATATATTTCTAAAAACTATTTAATTAATTTAGTTTTATATTACTTATATTTCCTATAATTATTACTATTTTTGACATACAACATATTTTTGACAAAAAATTTTAATTTTGTAATTACATCAATTATAATCATTATTTTATAATCAATACAGTTTACGCACATTTTTCTTCAAAATTTGTGGGAATGGTGAATTAATATATTATAGTATGATGATATTGATTAGTGTCACGAGGGGCTAATCCAGAACTTTTAACTAAATACCCATTTTTGTAAAAAATTTTATCCACATTTTAGTTTTGTGAAAATTTTAGCATGTTCTAATTTTCTGTGTGAGAATACCTTCAAAAGTAAAAATGGAAAAAAGAAACATTGATTTTGAAGGAACTATTTTCCTTAATAATGATAAAAAAAACTATTAAGATAAAAAAAACTATTAAGATATAAAAACTTATTTAATATGACACTCACTATTTTTAATTAATACACATATATATTTACAATTAATTCAAATTTACATTATACTTCATAATACCTATCTTAAATACAATTATGAAATTTAATAATAAACAAATTATTCTCCAGCATATGATTATAAATTACATTAAATGGTTCATTCATGTACGTAGACAATAGTTTAAGAAATTTGTATCATGCAATTTGCAGAATTTTTATATGTTGAGATAATTTGATCTACTTAATCATCTAACAATTTTTCCGGATTATTAAATGAAAATTTAATGTTCTTGTAGAAAGACTGCACCTCAATTTAGAACATACCAAACTCATCCTGGAAAGTGTTTCGACAGAAGCTGTTGATTTGGGCAGTATTACACTTAGAATTAATAACTTAAAGTTTCAAGTTTTGGAAATTCAACCCAGATAATGCTTTTCTTACATCATATGTGATTTTTAAATTGCTTGAATATCAATGTGTGATCGGTAAATCTCACGAATACAAGTTGTGATGTGTAAATTTTAAACTGTTAATACAAAGTGTGATTTTTATATCGCAAGAATATGAATCACGATATGTGATCCTTAAATTGTGAGAAGAATCACAATGTAACGATTTTTAAAATACTCGAATACAAATCTTGATATATGATTTTTAAATCATGAGAATAAGAATATGCTGGGGTATATGTTATTAAATTTGCACACATTCATGGGACTTACAAAATATGCACACGTATATATTTATTTATTTATTTTCTAAATTAGAGTCTCACGCTTAATAAAAATGTACAGATCCAGCTGTTTTTATTTATTCTGGGAAGGTGTCGTTATTTAGGCTAATTATGATTTTTTGTGAAAGTATTGGTAATACTCTGCAATGATTTTTGTAAAGGTACTGTTTCTGCAGACTTTTGTGAAAGTACCAATAAATGGTTGCAAATCCACCTGCATTAGGCCTTGGACACATTTAGTTACACAAATAAAACTGGAAATAATTAAAAATTTTAAAATCGATGCAAGAGAATAGAAATTTATTTGAAAGCCCTCACCTTGCATTTACTAGAGTTTCCCTGGACATAACAGACAGCATATCAGCCATTTCAACGAACAACATGGATTGCTTATCTAAAAATGCCATTATCGCCTAAAATTAAGAAATATTGATTAATTTTCTTGGGATCACAACAAAATTCATTCCAAAAATGCAATTCTAAATAAAAATATTCACATAAATAGAATAATGCAATATTGTGAAAAATAAAAAATTTGCACAATATTTCAAGCAATTTTAAAAGTATATATTGGTAAATTTCTTACAGAAGTTGAATGTTTAACAGAAAAAGTAGATTTCAGAGAAATGAAATATTTCAATTAAATGAACTTACAAAAAAGGAAAATCCTATTATTGACAAAATTCATAGATCATAATTACAAATCAGAATAGTATAGATTAAATGCTTTTCAGTAAAATTATATTTAAAGAATAGTATGGATTAGCTAATTATGATTTTTGATGTTAAGTAATATTCAATATGATGTAAATATGACATTTTATTACTGGCAAATTGTAAAGATGAGACTTTACGAAATTTAGAGCTATTTCAATCTTTGATTTATTTATTGATATTTATTCATTATTTATTGCCATTTATTATAATTAAATGTGTTTTCATAAAATGAAAATTTCAAAAATGTATTAAAAAAATTAAGCTCAATTGTTTAGAATGTATTCAATATTAATTGCTTAAAAATGATGAAATAAGTTTAGAAAATATTTAAAAATTTGTGAAATTAAATAACTATATTAATAACAGGGAAAAAAAGGCTGGCAAACTAACCTTTTCTTTTTTTTTCTCATTTCTTAAAAAACTCACTTTATGGGTTTTATTGGGATTTTTAAAAAAAGACCCAACCGGAATTTTTTTGGGCAGGTTGGTAGGTAGACAGCTCTACTCATGGGAGTCCACAATTAGTTAATTCAACAAATGTAAGGATCGGCACTTCCATACAATACAGTAGGGATGCACAACTTGTGGAGAAATCATGAAAGTGATTAATGTGCAGACAGAAGAAAGAAAATATACTTACAGCACATTTTTCTACTTTGGAAGCACTAGCTGCCCACTTAACCAATGCCAGCAAACGGATGAAAAGCTGACGTGTTCGACTAGCGAACTGTACGATCTCAATTTTACGCTCCATGTCCGTTTTTCTCGGCAATCTGGAAATAAAGTCAAATATTTTATGTTGTACTATTTTATTTCACTTTATATCAAAAACTTCTACAGAAAATCAGGATCAAATCTGCAAAGAAATAGATCCAAAGAAAATACTTTTAGATGCATCATCTGCACTGCTTTTGTTCATGATAAAGATGTGTTAAAAATATCATTTTTTACTTACAATCTGTTTTTCATTTTTACCAATTGAATAATTTGAGGCATTAAGAACAATAAGGAGTAGGGAAGTTTTGAATTACTAAAGAAAGAAATCAAGACAGTTGAAGCCATCGCAAAGTGGAGAGTTTGCATTTTTTCTAATGACTCATTTTGAAGTTTAATTAACTACAGAATCATTCCTAATTGTAGAAACAGAATGGCCAGTAGTGAGTTGTAGGGATCAAGCAAACTACCACTAGTCAGGTCCCTTCCTTGCACAAATGATGCATTCAAGTTAAGAACCTTAAATGTGCCAACACAATACACATGTGATAACTGTAGTTTGGTTTCTGTCAGGGTCACGTGATGTAATAACACGCATTTTCTGATGTTGCGAGCAAAAAGCTTGATATTATAGATATGATCATTTTTTGTTTTGGTTTTTGGAAGAATGGATAAAAAGGAATAATAAAATGGTGAATTAGTTTTTGTAGAATTTTGCGTTATTTCTTTTGTAAAAGGTTACGACTGACAGTTTCTATAACTATTTTTAAAAAAACACACAAGTCCATAACTATTATTATTTCTGAATTTGATTACATTGGGCCAGGACAGCCTGGTTGGTAGGACAAGTCACAAAGTCCTCCATGTTCCCATAACAAATCGTACCTCTGGGGGTACTGATCCAGAAGTTTTGTTGTCTTCTGGATTGATTCAAAAATTACAAGGCTACAGAGTTGAACATTGGTAGTCATAAACCCAAAATTGGGTCGGCTGTTCACCGACGGTTTTAAAATATAACAAATTTGATTACATTGCTCAATAGATTTCTTTTTACTCTTACAAGTATAAATAACAGAAGCAAATGGCAAGCAAATATTCAAAATAATGTAGATATTTCCAATTAATAATGTGAAATTCTAATATATTAAAAAAATAACATTTTCTAATTCAAATTATTTTTAACAAATAAAACATTAAAGATATAGTATTTGCATGAAATTACAAAATCTATAAATTCTTCACAAAACACATAACATTAAAATATATTAACTTACAATTCAGCAAGGACGGTCAGTTCATGATAAGTTCTCTGGAGTATAAAATCAATCAATCTGCCTAAACTGATAGTGTTGTTAGCAGCAGGTGACTGCATTGCTTGAGCCATTTTCTTTTAGAGAATTTTATTCACTAAATGACCTTCTACAAAATAAAGTTATAGTAGAAATAAGCATAAAATATATTAAATTACTATTATAGATATTATATTTAATGAATATTATATTATATATAAAATATCATATATAATATAATAAATAAATTTTAAAAAATATTATTATGAAAATAAAAGAGAATAGCCCCAGAGTAAAGGACAGTCACTTATTTGACTCAATTATTTATTTTACAAAAAGAATAAAAACTTGTCTTTAAAAAATATCTTAAATTGACTTTGATTTTATAAAAGGGATAAAGTTCAATTATTCATTCCTAATTGCAATAGATATTAAGAGTAAACTGGATATCACATCTCATGCCAAAATGATAGCTTAATTGGCAGATAAAATGACAAATGAATTGTTAGATATGCCAAATTGGCATAAGAAAAATTAAAAAAAACATACAAACAAAATGGCAAACTCGAAGGGTAACTCTATATGTGCCTATATATCGGCCACTATATGTGGATATTTTTTTAATTTAATTCAAGAGCAAGAACTAGATAAAAGCACTTTATTGCCTTGATGAATACGATTGACCTGATTGGGAACTGATTCAAGAATATTCTCAATAAATGTCTAACAGGGTTTGCCCAATTAAAAGAAAAAACCTGAACTAAACTAAAGTTTTCAATGATGCGTATGATCAATTATTTCCAGTAAAATTATACTAAGAAGATAGAATAAATTATTCTCATAAAAAAAAAAAAAAAAAAAACATTTTTTTATCCCTTTCCCTCAACAAAATTTTCCAATTTATTTTTAAATACAACCCATATAATTCCTTATCTCACAAATAATTTTAAATTCCTACTTGCATTAACATTCTTTGCAGTGGGCCAAAGAAAAAAAAATCAAAGCAATATTAAATTTTTTAAAAAAAATAAGAAAATCTGTTTAAATGGTACCTATACATATACCAAATTTCTTTTGAAAAGGGGCTAACAAATAATAAATCACCTTAACTTTCAGAGAATTTCTGCATTAAATATTTTTATTTTCTGCACATTAAACCTTTGATCTGACTCTTCTTCTTGAAACTCTGAACTTATATTCTTCCTTTCTACAGTTGATTCAGCTTTTGCTACTCAACTACAAACATCTGTTGCTATTCTTAAACAGTAACCCACTATATATTTTTCCTTCTAACCTGAATTTTACAAGTTTCAAAAAATACTACTTTGTAGTAGGATAAATATTTAACACCAATTCATTTGATTGGCTTCTATCGGTTGAGTTCAGTAACGAGGTGAATCCTATTGATAAACTTTCGCAAGAAGTTATTTTTTTCGCATCTGATTTCAGTATTTAATTTTATAACGGACTAAAACATTAAAGAGAACTGTAAACATGAGTAAAACCGTTCACAAACAAAATGGTTACAACAGAAAACATAATTTTCGATGAGTGGGAACTTATTTTACGGATATCTTTCTCCTCTTGAAAGCCCATAAGCAGAATATTTTCAAATGTTCTGCAACAGGACTTATTAATTTACACAAATGTTCTGCTAGCATTTCGCAGTGAAAAAAAAGTCAACTTTACGTTAAAATACTATATTTTCACTTATTAAACTACAGGATCATACTCAGATACACTACATTCTTTTTTAACCGAGGAAAACATTCTTGATTTGTTACTTTTTCAATTTTTTTTTGAAGTGCAAAATTTTGTTAATGACGATGATGATGAATTATTAATAAAATGCCGATGATATGAAGATCCGAACATTAAAATAACGGCTGCCTTAGAACTCTTTTGAAGGGACAAGTGCCAAGATGGTGCACCATTTGCAAACACAAGCATTCGCTGGTCTGTTGTTCCAACAACTTCATCTCCATCGAAAGCATTTGGTCGTTTAGAAACAATTCTGTCAATCGCGGATCCCCACGATTCACAAATTGCTTCTGAAATGGGAATGGAAAATATAAAAGTAAAACTTTATGAAATTGGAAATCTCTGAATTTAATTTTTTTACGGCTTGCTTTAGAAGCTCCCTTGATAAAAATGGTGATTGATTTCTCCTGCTGTATGCTAAAAACTGATACACCAATTTTATAAAAATGTTATAGCCAAAAGCTAATTCATTAATTTCTTCCTCAGAATGGCAAAGATAGATTAATGATAAGTGTGCTGAAATTTGTGCAGGGTGTAAAATGTTCTAAAGCAACATCATTCCTGGGAAATAGCAACTGGTCAAAGCTAAAGAAAATTTTCATTCGTTTAATAATAATATCAATGTTTTCCGCTTTTTCAAAATATATTTTATGCTGCTCCAACATGGAATTAATACAGATTATCATTCGCATTGCATCTGAGGAAAATATAGATAACTCAGAATTATTTAAGACTTCTTATTAAGTAGAATCTTAATATACAATTATACAACATCTTATACAACTTCTTATTATACAATCCTTGAAACATACTTTCTGAATGAGGTGGGAGGAAATGTTCTGCAAAATTATGAGGGGAAGCTTTTAAACCTTCAGGTCAACAGAAGAATGTATGAGATTAGGGTTAGGGATTGTTCTGCAAGGCTACCGGAGGCAGGTGGGCCTGGGGGGGAGTTCGCAGGAAAATGCTGTCAGTTATTAAAAATACAAATTGTTCTGCAGGACTTTGTTTGTTCTGCGACGTACGTCACAGTTTTAGGCACTTTTTGCTTCTGGGCTTGAAAGTATAAAAAATGAAAAGGATATAATAAAGCAAAATAACATAATTCACAGAGAAACTTTTCAAGAAAATTGTTAGCAAAACATATTAGAAAAGATAAAATAAAAGACAGAATGAAAACTAACGTTATTGATATCACTAATGGCATTTTTTTCAGAGTCTACTTAATAGTCTATGCAAGATTCAAGGACATCATCAAATTAAGCTTGAAATTAGTGAAACAGAAACTTTAAAAAAAGAGCTACAAAATTTTTCTTACAAAATGTTTTATTCATGATACACTTTCAATAAAAATATTTAAACTTCCTAGAAGAAAAGAGCCTAAAAGAAATACAATTTGTACAAAATAATTGAATTACATTTTTCTTCTTAAAATAAGATATTTGGTTTAAGAAATAAAATTATATAAAGTGTGTAAGCATCACGGATCGATCGTCTTAAGTTAGTCAGTTAATTGATCTAATAAACATTAAGTTATACAATAACGTAGTTAGAGATTAATTTTTGAGAATTTCAGAAAATTTTTTACTTATTCTAAACATTAACGCAACAATTTCTGGTGTGGAGAATTAGACTTTGCCAAACAACTATTAAAAAAGACATATAAAGTGTAAATCAACTATTAAGATGATATCCCAACATTCTCTCTCTCTATATATAGCACAATAATTTCTCTATAATTTGAATTATGTACATATATATATATATATACAATAATCGAAAATTTTTAAGAAATGGGAGTAGATTAATTAATAAAATCTTACTTTAGTTTATTTTTATTAATTGCTCATAATCTTTCAGACATGTTTGTTGATTTGTGAACTGTGCAAATGTGTTTTTGCTGCCATTACCAACTGTCTAAATAATCTCCTGTGACCTAGCGGAGCTACAATAATAATAAACGAGCTAAAAGCTGGTTGGTAGACAGTATCGAAACTTCAATTGAGTTCCCATCCTAACCTCTTGTTTTTCGCGCTCAGTTATTGTTCGATTATCGCAAAACTAAAATTTTATAACTGGATTTAAACTAATTATGGCAGAAAATCAAAATTCCGATGTTGATAAAGAAACAGAACTCACCATGTGTGATGTTCTCGAAGAAGAAAAGGAACTTGAAAATGATGCTAACGCCGTACTTGGCGGTAGTGATGACAAAAATTGCTCCTACGACCAAGGATATGTGCCGCGACAAGCGTTATATGCTTGCAAGAGCTGTACAGTTGATGGTTTCGCTGGAATCTGTCTGGCTTGCTGTTACGCTTGTCACGATGGCCACGAAGTTGTAGAATTGTACACGAAACGCAATTTTCGATGCGATTGCGGCAACTCGAAATTCACCAATAGCGACTGCGTTTTAAACCCGAACAAACAGACTGTTAATTCTAATAACAAATACAACCAGAACTTCAAAGGCCTCTACTGTATTTGCAGTCGACCTTATCCTGACTTGGAAGATAGTGTTCCCGACGAGATGATCCAGTGTGTGGTGTGCGAGGACTGGTATCATGGACGACACTTGTCTGTTGAGGCTCCCGACGATTACTTCGAAATGATTTGCGGCAAGTGCATGGATTCGCATCCTTTCTTGTTTTCTTACTTAAGCAAATATGATCCTGTCATTGATGTGGTCGAAACAAAGAACGATCAGCAGCCACCCACTGATTCCATTGCACAGAAAGAGGAAGCTGCAAAAGATTCAGCATCGTGCTTACTGAAAAAGCTTGAAGGAGGGAATGTGAAGAAAGCTGGAGCTGCATTTTGGCCGGAGAACTGGCGTAAAAACCTCTGCCGTTGCTCAGAATGCATGAATTTGTATCGTAGTGCAGATTGTGAATTTCTTTTAAATCTCGATGACACCATTCAAGCGTATGAAGAAAAGGGAAAAGGAGGAGAGAATGGTGAGAGTCAGTATGACAAGGGACTGTCTGCTTTGGGTCAACTGGATAGAGTCAAACAGATGGAGGCTATTCGTGCATACACTAGCATGAAAGGACAGCTGAAAGAATACCTCAAAGAGTTTGCGGATAACAAAAAAACAGTAAGGGAATGTGATATAAAAGAATTTTTTGAAAGAATTGGAAAGAAGCAGAAGCTCAATAATGGTGTACCGCATTTTTGTCGTTGATGTATTATATTTTTTTAAATTTACCTAATCAATTTCGATAGAATCTATACTTTTTATTGTTAGTCTCTGAATGGTGAATGTTATATTGCCCATCTTCTTTCAATTAGCTGATTCTTCTGAATGATAAGTTTTTCAATGTATGAGTATGACTAAGGTTTTAATTATCTTACATTTGAATTTTTTTTTTACTTAGCAAAGCATGTTATTTTATTTCTTCTGTGTATGATAAAGTTTTGACTTTATTTTCGGATTTTTAAAATTTTTTCTGACAGGAATTTGGATCAATTGGTTTTATATCAACATCTGTTATTGAAGCTTTTAGATTTTTGTGTTAATTGTGATTGAAAAATGTCAAATAAAAAACAATTTTTACCATTTTATGAGATCATTTATATTATAAAGAAAGATTAAAATAGATTTTGCATAACAGCTGTTTAAAAACGAAGTATTTTACTTTGTATTAGCCTAAACTAAACTCAGTGGCGTTACAGCTCTCTGCTTTAAATTAAGCTCATATATGAGCTTAATTCAAATTCAAAGCTGAAAATAGCATATTGGAGCTTTAAATTCTTGTGTTAATTGTGATTGAAGAGAGTCAAATAAAAAACAATTTTTACCATTTTATGAGATCATTTATATTATAAAGAAAAGTTAAAATAGATGTAGGATGACGGCTGTTTTAGAAAGAAGTATTTTGCTTTGTATTAGCCTAAACTAAACTCAGTAGCACTATAGATCTCAGCTTTAATTTAAGCTCATATATGAGTTAAATGTCATTCACATATTTTTGTTAATGAGAATAATACTATTTAACTATAAAATAATATTTACTACAAAAGCTCAAATATTATTTTAATTGAGAACTTACATTTAAAATTTGTTAACATATTGCAAATGAGATTGAATCCTTTCTGTAAAATAAAAGGGAAACTGCAAAATTTACAAATTATATTTTTATTCATTCATAACTGTTGCTACAAGGAAATAAAAAAATGAATTTTTATGAATTGAAAATAGTTTCAGGGAACAAACTAGCGATCAATACTTAGAGATCAATAAAACCAACTTCTTTCTTCATCTGGAAAGATAAACAAAACACCTGCATCATTAGATTTTCTTTAAAGCAACACTTCAATAGTACCACTTTCAATGGTTGACTCTTCTGCAACGTAAAACCTGTCTTTAATTTTTAAAGTTTCAGTTCTACTGTTACAAAATTACCGACAACAAATATTCTATCATCATGAAGGATTTTGTTTGTTATATCATTCTCAGAAACTGTTGTGAAGACAGTGTAGATTTGAAGAATTTTTTTATTTCCTTTACAGAAAGAGTGATAATTGAGTTTGTAAAAATTCTCAATTTTTTCATGATAAAAACTTTAACACAATGTAATGTTCGTTGGAAAGATTTCAGCATTGGTTGCAATTGACACTACAATCTCTCTTCTTCCTTTTGTGAAGAAAACATCACAAAATATTTTTTCTTAACTTTTTGTTACAATAAATACAACCAAGCGAATATATTTTACATATTTATGATGAAAATGACTACTTTCATGTCCTCTCAGCAACAATTTTTGATATTTAATATCCAACAATTAATTATTGTTTTCTTAAAACAATTTCCATGGTTCAAATTTAATTTACTTTTTAAAATAAAATTTAAAATATTTTAGTAAAAGAAAAAAATTGTTTTGTCTCATGAGAAACATATTAAAAAATTTTGCAGAGAGTACAACTTCATATTTAGTAGGATTCGTCTTCCAAAAATTATTTCCAAAGAAATTTTTTCTTTTATGTATGAGGACTCATAATAATTAGCTAAGAAAATTAAAATGGCATTCCAGTTTTAAACTTAAAGCATATATTCTGTTTCACAGTAAAACATCTTTAACACGGTCTCTCCTCCCCAACAAAGCTACAAAAAAATATAAAATATTTTGGTGAAAAAATAATTAAAAAATTTATTCAGAGTAAAAAAGCATGCAGACTTTCATTATATATTATTTTTGTACCACTAATATTCCTCGTGGCAAAAATGTGACAACACAGCGACATTGTCACAGAATGTTACTGAGTTCTTGCAGAAAGATTTTTCATTTGGGAAGTGAAAAATTTTGGTTTTCTTTTCTGCAAAAATTTTCGAAAGCTTCTATCTTCTCTTCTGAATTATATTCAAAATTATATGTCATTCTTGCACATCGGAGTGGAAAAAAAAGGCTTGTAATTTTTCTACTTTCATTTGAGAATAATGAATTAAAAAGTTTGGTTTTCTTTTCTGCAGAAATATTCGTTCTATTATTTTTTTGGCAGTTATTGCTATTAATTTCCATATAGTTTTTAAAATCTGATACTATTTATTACAACAGCTGAATCTCGAAATGAAAACGCGCATTTGTAACTCCCCATTTTAAAGAGTCAGATTTGGGGTGATTTCGCCGTCGATCTTTTTTTTTTTTTTGTTACTGCTATGGATTTCGCTATTTTAAATTTGATGATGACCTACAAAGAAAGAAAAAGGAAATAATTAGTGTATTTTCTTCCTACAAAATGCGAGAATGTAGCTCATAATAATAGAATAAAAAATATTACATATTCAATTTTAAAAATTACATTATTTTTTCCGAAAAGTTTTTTTTCTTTTGATTGTTGTAGTTGTAGTTAATTTACGTCGCACTAGAGCTGCACAATGGGCTATTGGCGACGGTCTGGGAAACATCCCGGAGGATGATCCGAACACATGCCATCACAATTTTGATCCTCTGCGGAGGGGATGGCAGCCCCCGCTTCGGTAGCCCGACGACCTGCACGCGAAGTCGAGCACTTTACGGTAGAACAGTTTAAAGAGGACCAATACCGTACACCCTCGGTCCCTACGCAGACTAATCCAAGTGGTCACCCACCTGCGCACTGACCGCAGCCAGTGATGCTTGACTTCGGTGATCTGCTGGGAACCGTGTCTTAGCGATCAGTCCACTGCGGGACTTTTTTTTTTTTCTTTTGAAGTTGACCCTTTTGTTGCTTTAAATTAGTAACATATATATTTGTAATGATTGATAGTATCTTGCAGAAAGATATTAATGCTAGAGAAATTTGTTGCAGAAAGCCAGAAAAAATTCTGCCACAGGGCTAATATTTTAAAAACCATGGAAGTCCATTTTATTGTTTTCATTAATGACTATCCAGTAAAATAATATAAATAAAATATGTTATGATATTAATTTTAATGATGTAATTGCTGCTCTATATTTGATTTGAAACTGGTCATTTTTATCTGAAGTTGCTACAATCACGTTCTAATTCACAGTGTTTTCTCAACCTTTCACTATTGTATTAGCAAATTCCGCTATCTAATTCAAAGAAAAAAATTCTAAATCTAGTAGATTTTTAAGTGTGCCTTCATCCTCTTGACTGAAAACATTTTTTTCCAGTTTAAATCTGAGATTAACTAGTCATTTCGTTATTATTAATATTTCGGAAATTTAACACTACCAATTTATAATTTTCTGAGTTTTATCCTATAAATTCTTCCAAAAGAAAAGAAAAACTACAACTTAAAATAAATTGAAAGTAAGAAACTAATTTCTTAATGATTTTGGAATTCTAATATTTGTGTGAAGTTAAGAAGAACACTGACAGATTCATGCATGGTGGAGGTTATTAGAACCAGTAACTTCTTTCTTTATCGGAAACTCAATAAAAGATTATTTTACTTGGTCATTGATTAAGGAGATAGAAAGTGAAGCAATCAGTCATGAACACGAAACTGTTTGAAAACTTTTTCCAGTTTTTAATTTTTTTTTCATTATTTTTGCAAGGAATTGTTATATTTATTTAAAGGTGAAATTTCTTTGTTGAATGAAAATTTTTCTAAATATATAATTAAAAAAATTAGCTAAGAAATTTATATGATGTAAGGTTATAAACATCTAAACTTCTTAAAAGGAACAAATTATTATTTTCTTTTTTGTGTATATATATATAGTTAAATTTTCCGTCATTATATCTACAATTTTATTTTCCATGGGACTAATGCACAAAGCGGGGTAAAAAAATTAAAGCATATTTTTCAGAATTCTCTACCTAATGAACTGCTAGAAAATTGTCTTTTAAAAATAAATTCTAAGAATCAAACGCATTGCCGCCACTTTTTCCTTTCTTTGGAAAAAGAAACCGCTGTTTTAAAATTATGTAAGGCAATTGTTCAAACTAAATAAAGGGGCGGGGAAAAACAGATTAATTTGACTAAGTAAAAAATTGCATCATTAATATGATTTGAAAGAAATTCGAAGTCGCGAAATGAACTGGGAATCAAGACCCCAATCAGCATTAAACAAATTTTAACAGAATACTAACTTTAGTATATTTAGTGTAAAGAATCTTATAAACACTTTAAATTATTATTAAAATCCCATTGATAAGCTGTAGAACACGATTCTCAACAAAACTTGTTCACAAGTTTTAAACACTGCAAATAATATTACATTGTGCTAACGCGTTTCTTTCTTCTTTTTTTTACGGAAACTGCAAAAAATGCGAACACCCTAAGAACTGCAGTACATTTTAATAGTGATAAATTTTTGTCTCATCTGAAATCAAAAAACGTATTCCCTTAGTTTAACATTGATTATAGCTGCTGAAACTGCAGCAAATCTTTGATTTTGTAAGGAAAAGAAATAGCGCAGAAAAAATTTTTCTTTATGTTTCTCTTATGAAGTGGAATTTTTCAGAATAATTTCAAAATGTTTATAATAATTATTGTAAAACGTTATAATCAATCATAATAAAGTTTACGCAAAAGAATGATAAAAAATTTTGGTGTTCTTCAAAGATTTGTATGTTTCCTAATTGTAATTGAGAATATCAACAGAAATAAAAAAATATTTTTCATAAATAAAATTAAAGTTAACAAAACTAAATGAATTTATATAATTGCTAAATTTAACGTTTATTTAGAGCCAAACTAAAGTAACTTTGACAATTCTGGTGTTTTATTTTTAAAAAATTTCCAGCCACATGAGCTATTTTTTCCCTTTAATTTTATAAAATGTAACCTAATTTTTTATTTAAATTATGCGGATGTTCCGTATTATAAATTAATACGCTTTTTAAATTTTGGATAAAAATTAAGCGAAAAAGCAATATTTTTATTGTGGGTTTCAGATTAATATTCATGTAGAAAAATTATCGAATTTTTATATAAAATATAAAAACATACGAAAGCTCAAAAAAGTATGAAAACGGAATAAATAATCAACAAAAATAACAAACAATTCTTTTTTTTTTTTTTTTTNAATTTTTTTTTTTTTTTTTTTATCTCTGAGAATGTTGGGAAACCTATAACAGTTCTCCATCAAACTATGAAAGTTTTCTTAT